AGGAAAATGCCCAGCCTTTACTGTAGTCAGCAAAATGCCCAGCCTTTACTGTGGTCAGCAAAATGCCCAGCCTTTACTGTGGTCAGCAAAATGCCCAGCCTTTACTGTGGTCAGCAAAATGCCCAGCTTTTACCGTAGTCAGCGAAATGCCCAGCCTTTACTGTGGTCAGCAAAATGCCCAGCCTTTAGTCAGCAAAATGCCCAGCATTTAGTCAGCAAAATGCCCAGCCTTAACTGTGGTCAGCAAAATGCCCAGCCTTTACTGTAGTCAGCAAAATGCCCAGCCTTTAGTCAGCAAAATGCCCAGCCTTAACTGTGGTCAGCAAAATGCCCAGCCTTTACTGTGGTCAGCAAAATGCCCAGCCTTTACTGTAGTCAGCAAAATGCCCAGCCTTTAGTCAGCAAAATGCCCAGATTTAACTGTGGTTAGCAAAATGCCCAGCCTTTACTGTGGTCAGCAAAATGCCCAGCCTTTAGTCAGCAAAATGCCCAGCCTTAACTGTGGTCAGCAAAATGCCCAGCCTTTACTGTGGTCAGCAAAATGCCCAGCCTTTAGTCAGCAAAATGCCCAGCCTTTACTGTAGTCAGCGAAATGCCCAGCCTTTACTGTGGTCAGCAAAATGCCCAGCCTTTAGTCAGCAAAATGCCCAGCCTTTACTGTAGTCAGCAAAATGCCCAGCCTTTACTGTGGTCAGCAAAACGCCCAGCCTTTACTGTAGTCAGCAAAATGCCCAGCCTTTACTGTGGTCAGCAAAATGCCCAGCCTTTATTCAGCAAAATGCCCAGCCTTTAATGTAGTCAGCAAAATGCCCAGCCTTTACTGTAGTCAGCAAAATGCCCAGCCTTTAGTCAGCAAAATGCCCAGCCTTAACTGTGGTCAGCAAAATGCACAGCCTTTACTGTGGTCAGCAAAATGCCCAGCCTTTAGTCAGCAAAATGCCCAGCCTTTACTGTAATCAGCAAAATGCCCAGCGTTTACTATGGTCAGCAAAATGCCCAGCCTTTAGTCAGCAAAATGCCCAGCCTTTACTGTAGTCAGCAAAATGCCCAGCCTTTACTGTGGTCAGCAAAATGCCCAGCCTTTAGTCAGCAAAATGCCCAGCCTTTACTGTAGTCAGCAAAATGCCCAGCCTTTACTGTGGTCAGCAAAACGCCCAGCCTTTACTGTAGTCAGCAAAAAGCCCAGCCTTTACTGTGGTCAGCAAAATGCCCAGCCTTTAGTCAGCAAAATGCCCAGCCTTTACTGTAGTCAGCAAAATGCCCAGCCTTTACTGTAGTCAGCAAAATGCCCAGCCTTTAGTCAGCAAAATGCCCAGCCTTAACTGTGGTCAGCAAAATGCCCAGCCTTTACTGTGGTCAGCAAAATGCCCAGCCTTTAGTCAGCAAAATGCCCAGCCTTTACTGTAGTCAGCAAAATGCCCAGCCTTTACTATGGTCAGCAAAATGCCCAGCCTTTAGTCAGCAAAATGCCCAGCCTTTACTGTAGTCAGCAAAATGCCCAGCCTTTACTGTGGTCAGCAAAATGCCCAGCCTTTACTGTGGTCAGCAAAATGCCCAGCCTTTACTGTGGTCAGCAAAATGCCCAGCCTTTACCGTAGTCAGCAAAATGCCCAGCCTTTACTGTGGTCAGCAAAATGCCCAGCCTTTAGTCAGCAAAATGCCCAGCCTTTAGTCAGCAAAATGCCCAGCCTTAACTGTGGTCAGCAAAATGCCCAGCCTTTACTGTAGTCAGCAAAATGCCCAGCCTTTAGTCAGCAAAATGCCCAGCCTTAACTGTGGTCAGCAAAATGCCCAGCCTTTACTGTGGTCAGCAAAATGCCCAGCCTTTACTGTGGTCAGCAAAATGCCCAGCCTTTAGTCAGCAAAATGCCCAGCCTTTACTGTAGTCAGCAAAATGCCCAGCCTTTACTGTGGTCAGCAAAATGCCCAGCCTTTAGTCAGCAAAATGCTCAGCCTTAACTGTGGTCAGCAAAATGCCCAGCCTTTAGTCAGCAAAATGCCCAGCCTTAACTGTGGTCAGCAAAATGCCCAGCCTTTACTGTGGTCAGCAAAATGCCCAGCCTTTACTGTAGTCAGCAAAATGCCCAGCCTTTAGTCAGCAAAATGCCCAGCCTTAACTGTGGTCAGCAAAATGCCCAGCCTTTACTGTGGTCAGCAAAATGCCCAGCCTTTACTGTAATCAGCAAAATGCTCAGCCTTTAGTCAGCAAAATGCCCAGCCTTAACTGTGGTCAGCAAAATGCCCAGCCTTTACTGTGGTCAGCAAAATGCCCAGCCTTTACTGTGGTCAGCAAAATGCCCAGCCTTTACTGTGGTCAGCAAAATGCCCAGCCTTTACTGTAGTCAGCAAAATGCCCAGACTTTACTGTGGTCAGCAAAATTCCCAGCCTTAACTGTGGTCAGCAAAATGCCCAGCCTTTACTGTGGTCAGCAAAATGCCCAGCCTTAACTGTGGTCAGCAAAATGCCCAGCCTTTACTGTGGTCATCAAAATGCCCAGCCTTTAGTCAGCAAAATGCCCAGCCTTTACTATGGTCAGCAAAATGCCCAGCCTTTAGTCAGCAAAATGCCCAGCCTTTACTGTAGTCAGCAAAATGTCCAGCCTTTAGTCAGCAAAATGCCCAGCCTTAACTGTGGTCAGCAAAATGCCCAGCCTTTACTGTGGTCAGCAAAATGCCCAGTCTTTACTGTAGTCAGCAAAATGCCCAGCCTTTACTGTAGTCAGCAAAATGCCCAGCCTTTAGTCATCAAAATGCCCAGCCTTTACTGTAGTCAGCAAAATGCCCAGCCATAACTGTAGTCAGCAAAATGCCCAGCCTTTACTGTGGTCAGCAAAATGCCCAGCCTTTACTGTGGTCAGCAAAATGCCCAGCCTTTAGTCAGCAAAATGCCCAGCCTTTACTATGGTCAGCAAAATGCCCAGCCTTAACTGTGGTCAGCAAAATGCCCAGCCTTTACTGTGGTCAGCAAAATGCCCAGCCTTTACTGTGGTCAGCAAAATGCCCAGCCTTTACTGTGGTCAGCAAAATGCCCAGCCTTTACTGTGGTCAGCAAAATCCCCAGCCTTTACTGTAGTCAGCAAAATGCCCAGCCTTTACTGTGGTCAGCAAAATGCCCAGCCTTAACTTTGGTCAGCAAAATGCCCAGCCTTTACTGTGGTCAGCAAAATGCCCAGCCTTAACTGTGGTCAGCAAAATGCCCAGCCTTTACTGTGGTCATCAAAATGCCCAGCCTTTAGTCAGCAAAATGCCCAGCCTTTACTATGGTCAGCAAAATGCCCAGCCTTTAGTCAGCAAAATGCCCAGCCTTTACTGTAGTCAGCAAAATGTCCAGCCTTTAGTCAGCAAAATGCCCAGCCTTAACTGTGGTCAGCAAAATGCCCAGCCTTTACTGTGCTCAGCAAAATGCCCAGTCTTTACTGTAGTCAGCAAAATGCCCAGCCTTTACTGTAGTCAGCAAAATGCCCAGCCTTTAGTCATCAAAATGCCCAGCCTTTACTGTAGTCAGCAAAATGCCCAGCCTTTACTGTAGTCAGCAAAATGCCCAGCCTTTACTGTGGTCAGCAAAATGCCCAGCCTTTACTGTGGTCAGCAAAATGCCCAGCCTTTAGTCAGCAAAATGCCCAGCCTTTACTATGGTCAGCAAAATGCCCAGCCTTTAGTCAGCAAAATGCCCAGCCTTTACTGTAGTCAGCAAAATGCCCAGCCTTTACTGTGGTCAGCAAAATGCCCAGCCTTTACTGTAGTCAGCAAAATGCCCAGCCTTAACTGTGGTCAGCAAAATGCCCAGCCTTTACTGTGGTCAGCAAAATGCCCAGCCTTTACTGTGGTCAGCAAAATGCCCAGCCTTTAGTCAGCAAAATGCCCAGCCTTTACTATGGTCAGCAAAATGCCCAGCCTTTAGTCAGCAAAATGCCCAGCCTTTACTGTAGTCAGCAAAATGCCCAGCCTTTATTGTGGTCAGCAAAATTCCCAGCGTTTACTGTAGTCAGCAAAATGCCCAGCCTTTACTGTAGTCAGCAAAATGCCCAGCCTTTACTGTGGTCAGCAAAATGCCCAGCCTTTAGTCAACAAAATGCCCAGCCTTTACTGTAGTCAGCAAAATGCCCAGCCTTTACTGTAGTCAGCAAAATGCCCAGCCTTTAGTCAGCAAAATGCCCAGCCTTTACTGTAGTCAGCAAAATGCCCAGCCTTTGCTGTGGTCAGCAAAATGCCCAGCCTTTACTGTGGTCAGCAAAATGCCCAGCCTTTAATCAGCTAAATGCCCAGCCTTTACTGTGGTCAGCAAAATGCCCAGCCTTCAGTCAGCCTCAACTGTGGTCAGCAAAATCCCCAGCCTTTAGTCAGCGTGCTATCAATGCTGGTGGTTGTGGTCTAGGGAAGCATTTTTTTTTAAGTTTACAAAACTATATCCTGATTATTTTGAAAAATTAAACTTACACTTGACTCATGTGTTTAATGGTGTGGTAATTTTTGTTGAGGTCTTCTTTCTTATAAATACTTCTTGAAATAAAAACATGTTTAATTTTCTCTGACTTACAGAAAAAAAGAAGTGAGGTAATTTTAACAAAATCTGAATGTTATACACTTTATTTAGCTTTAAAACTAGATGTTTATGCGATTAAACATTTTAATTCATTCAATACATTGTTCGTACTCAGCACATCAAAATCCAGGTCGCCCTAGAGCTTAGATACGAATTAGGTTTACATAATATGGTGTACACCGTTTAGGGCTAATGACGCTAAAGATCCACAGCTTATGGTAAATTATTTCTAGTCTAGATCTAGAAAATCTAAGTCTACTTCAATAAAAAATAACATTGAACAGCCACATCCATGCCAAAACTCTCAAACCACTACTCGCATAAATTTTTTATTCAACATAAAATTGATGTACACATAATTTTCTAGTGTATTACGTTGTTTGATAGAAATGATGACGCTATCATTACTTTGTCAAAGTTTTGCTGAAGGTTTAGTTTAGGAATCTTGTCAAATAGAGAATGGTTGTCGATTATACTAATAGAAATTATTTTATCGCTAAAACTGAAAATGCATTTTATATGCCTGTTACGTCTTTCGTCTTGGCTCGAATAGGGATTCCAACGCCCATTAAAATGATTGTTTCTCAAAATAATTTCTGCTACAAACTGAAAAGTCTAAACGGGAAAATGAAAACAGTAAGTAGGCCTACTTTTGGACAAATGATCTTCTTACAAATGTTCGCGTTATTACATGCGCACTGAATAAACATTAGGCATTTACGTTTGTTTACACGCTCGTGCGTTCATTACGCATCCAATGCCAAAAGTGAACTGGCAACAGCGGTCAAAGTAAGTGGTCTAGTTACCAACGGTAGGCCTAGATGAATATTTTTTTTGTTTTATCGTTGTTTCAGCAAGAAGCATATTAGAAAATCAGTCCATTGGTTATTGTAAGGTACTTTCAGTACGGTTTTACTCAGTCGTTCATATTAATTAGATTACTTAATTAAAGGATTAGATTAGTCTGAATAAAATGTTTTCAAGATGTATTTTTGCACGCCGCTTTAAACGTCCTTGACATTGCTAATGAAAATCATTGCTTCTAAAACGAAGCATAAGACAGTGTCTGAGTGTACTGGAGTAGACTATCTCCGAGCCAAAAGTCGATTACAAAAGAAATACGGTTTGACTAAGTCTGCTTGAAAAGCAAAGACCCGAATTAACTAAACGTAACGTTAAGTAGTAGATCTAGAGTTTAGATCTATATCTAAATCTCTACTCTTTATTCTAGATCTAGCTAGGCCTATCTCTAGACTGTAAACCATAGTTTATAAATCTAGACTAAAGAACTACTCACCTTAAATATAAATTGGGCTTAAATAGATCTAGATTCAAGACCTTATTAATTAAAGTAGATATACTAGATATCTAGATCTGGATTCTAAATAGATCTATTAAAATAAAGTTCTTAGATTTCCACTGTAAAATTTATTAATTTTCAAATTCAACTAGATCTAGAACATAAGACATAAGTAAGACTACTGTGCCAGTACCAGGCCTTTGCCCTTTTGTCCTTTAGCTTCAGTAGTTTAGTTTGGCCTAATCTAGATTCTAAATCTAGATTTTGATCTAGAATCTAGGCTAGATTCTATAGTTTTAAATAAAATTACATTTACAACAATTTTAACTTCTGTTTTACAAAAGGCTCAAATTCACAAATTGTTTTATTTTTCTTTCAGGTTGCAGCTTGTTCTCATTGCTTGTGCAAAGAGGAAATCTGTGTGAGATTAAAAGTAAATCACCATGTCAGAAAATTGTTCCAGAGAAACAGGTAAAAGATAGATGTATATCTATTTTTTCTTTTTTTTTTTACCAAAATATTGCCTGTTTTTTGGTGATTTTTTTTCAAAATACTAAACTTTAATTCATGCACTAGATTTACTAACATTTCTGTTTATTTTTAAATTTATATTAACATAAAATATATTTTTAAGTAGACTATATATTTCTTTTTAGAAGGTTTGATTTTATCATCTTTTGAAGTTCTACAAGACCATCAAAGTAATGGTAGACAAATTAAACTGACTAATGCCTTTAGTAATGGTCTGGAAGAAAGAAATTCTGCAAAGATTACCCCAGTAAGATATTTATTTAGCTCTTTTTCATTACCCATTGCCATTGGGAAAGTTTTGTAGATCAAGTTAGGGAAGAACTTTCCAAAAAGTCGCCTATGCTTTTTTAAAAATAATGAAATGCCTTTATATTAAATTTATAATATGAATAAAATCATATGAGATATATATGTCTGCTTACCATGGTTATTTACTAACATTTTAAAATTTCTTTTGAAAGTTTGGTACATATTTAAAAAAAAAAAAACTTGCTCTAAGCCTGTATGATGTTACTTAGATTACCTTTACTCAATTTCATTAGTTTGGACAAGGCAATGTTTCAATGAATGACAGTGGCCATTGTGGTCCATGCACTAATGATGGTGATGAAATGTTTGATGATAATTTTCGGGGAGATGAAGCGGTTGACTCACTAGATAATGATACGAACAACAACTCCTTAGACAGAGAAGATGATGGGGATGATGAAGAAGATGATGATGATGATGAGGATGAGGAAGCTAGTCATATTTTACAACAGGAAGAATTACAGGTTCCAATGTTCACTGTTTGCTTCACAGAAATGAATTTTAAAATTTTAATAAAGTTTTGTCAGGTTGTATCTGGCTAAGATGTTACCATTAACTCCTACTGGAGTAAAGAATTGTGTTTAAATGTGTGTAATTTAATTTCAACAGTTATTTTAACATTATGAATTGTAGCCGTTCTATTTAAAATCAGGGCACAAATCAAACTGTATCCATTAACGTTGAGTCAGGAAGTACATCATCTGACCCAAGGAACCATCATAGCTGCCAGGATAACTATGTTAACACATCAATAGGAATGGCAGGACATTCATTTGTTACTGCTTCAAGAAGTATGACTTAACACTTTAATTTTTCAATGAAGTTTTCAACAGCATTGTTTAAATGAAAGTTCTCTTATTTTTAACTGTATTTGTATTTTTATTTGTATTTTTCATGGTTTGTAGATTTACATCAAATTTTTGCTATTTTTATACTATAGTTAAAAAAGTTTTGTTTGGTTGTAGGTCTAATTAAAATAAGGAATAATTTAAAAAAAAGAAAACTAAGAAAAATACTATAAATTCTTTAGACATGATATAGTTTTAGTATGATGGATGTTGGTTAAAGCTAACTCTTTGTTATACTATTAGAAAAAAAAAATTGTATACTAGAATATATTTACTTATTGGAATTAGTTTGTTGTTGGAATTTTCAAATGTAAATTTTGTGTATAAATTTTTATTTCATTAGATAAACTTGGATATATAGAAATTTAAGATAAAATATAAACTACACCCATATATTCTGACAAATAGTTTAACTTGTAGGCCTAATTACATTCACTAAAAAATGGTGAACTCATTTTTAAATTTTAACTATTAAACAATTTCAGTAAATGACAAAATATATTTGACCACTATTAGATAGTAAAATCTACATTTTGATAATCACATCATGCTTGTGTATTAAATGTATCCATATATAGGATTTAATACTTTTATTGTTCAGATACCTGGAAACCAGATCCTACTACTCCAAATGCTAGTGGCAGATACTCAGGAGAGTGGCACATTCCTTTAAGTACTCCAAGCAATGGTCTACGCAGAGACTCAAGAAGGCAAGATGAATTTTCCTCTCCTGATTTGAGTAGAGATGGTGGTGTGGAAGAACAACATTGGAAGTTTGTCCATGGCCATGCAGCAGATCAACATGTAAGTCCCTATTGTTCTGAGTTAATTATTTCTTATACTTGTGTTGTATTTTTACATAGTTGAATTACAGATTAATGTTGGAAGATTAAGCGCGGATCAGTTAGCTAAATCTGAAACTCTGTTTTTAAACTCAGATTAAAATAATTTAATTGACAGAAAGGATAATCACTAACAAATAATTAAGGAAGAAATAAGATTTTCTAAGTCCTTACTTTTTTCCAGTAATTTTCTGTTATAAATTAAATTAATCTATAATTCTGTCTAACTGGAATATTTAAAATTGCCATTCTTTGGTAAACTCACATTTTTACCAAATTTTAAAATGGATTTCTAGCAACACTGGGGTCAAGAAACCAAAGTAGTTGTTGGCTCTGCAAATACCAGCTGGGTCACACCAAAGAGAAGTGAAGATCAAGTCCATGATCTTCAAGGTCTACATCCCCACTCCAATCTTGACCATACCGGTCATTGGAGCCACAATATAAGAACAGGGCAACCCAATGTGCACGGGTGGTCTAAAGAATTAGGTCTGTTCTTTGTTATAAGTATAATTGATAACTATTTTATTTTATTTTACAAACTCTAAATGTGTGCTTAGTTGTAAGAATGGGTTACTTGAATATAGATTTACACTCTATAGGATCTTGTGAAATTTAATGGAATGTTCCACTTATACATTTAGGTGGAGTCTACACCACAGAATCTGAAATTAACAACGTACGAAACTTGTTCACACTGCAACCAGCTCAGCCAGCATTGAATGCTACTGCTGTTAACACTACTTTCAATGACATGCGAGCTGGCAGTGTAAGTTTTATGTTTCACAGCTTTAAATATCATTCTGGTTATATAGTCTCAAACCAGAATATCTAGCTTTAAGTAATTATTATGTTCCGCTCTTTTAGTTTAAAGTGGCTTTTACTAATATAAAATATGTAATACATTCTTAACAGAATTCTACTAGCACATAATTGTATTTTATATTAGCAACCCAGTTTTCATATGCAGTCTGTCTGTAACACTAAACACAAACCACTCTCCCTCGCTAAACCCACCCAACCCTTTCCTGCCATCTTCACACACACCAACTCTAGACTATACCTTTTCAACATCTTGGGGCATCAGTCTTTTACTGATAACTTTAATTGTTAAAATTCTGAATACTTTGTTTTCCAATTATTGGTAAGTTTAACAAAATTAACTGATATGCAAAAAAATAAATTCATGTTAATGTTTGACCAATAGGTAGTCTGAAATTTCTTTTAAGTAAAATGTTTTTTAAGACTCTTGCTGCAGGTATCAAGATAATTAGCCTGTAGAAAAGTATTCAAATTTGAGATTAGATTTCTCTGGTATTTTCAAGGTATGTTTCTAAAGATAGAATTTTTTTTAATGAAATAGACTTGGAACCTAGGCAGCCATCATCCAGCTGGTCAAGCATTAGGAAATTTGCAAAGACCTCTGCTACATCATGATATGGCTTGCCACAGGACAGCACCTACAAATATTTTTCACCAGTCTCCATCTCAGAACTATGCTGGATTTCAGAGTCAAGAGAGAGAAGAATGGCCTGCCTCAGGTACAGATATTGTTTGGTTTATAACTGTGTGTATGCTTCATCATTTAGATTTAGATTTTAGCCCTATCTTTGTTTTTTAAGATCATTATAAGCTTAACATATTTACTGTATAGAAATGTTTGTTGGCCTACTTTTAAAACATAAGCCATTTAATTAGGACTATGCCTGATTACATTTTCATTAAAATTATGATTAACTGAACTTTTTTTTTTTAGCTTTAAGTCCAGGACCATCTGGAATAACAACTGATGTTTCTGCAGACCATTTTAAACTAACTGGGGTACAGAGGAACCCAGTATGCAAGTCAGCTATTCTCAATAAGCAAAGAAAAGGAAGAAACAATCAAGGGGGATCTGCTCTATCTGTCTCAGAGACTCAGATTCCTACTAAAGTTCGCCCAACACTTGACCAGGTAAAGTCATTGATTAAATTATGCCCAGACATCTTAGTTTCCATAATGTGAGTCAGGTACCCTTCAGAGCTGGTAGTATCAGGACTGTCTTACAGACTTGAGCCCAGGGTTCAGACTTAAAATGTTTTAAATTAGTAGTTGTGAGCTCTTCTATCCGACCACACCATCCACATGTAGTGCACCTACTGCATAACCAACATGAATAATATAGGCTCCATACAAATAGAAACAAATAATTTTAACACGATGTTTCTGGAATGAAGATTGAACTTATAAAACCTTTTTAGCTTAATGTTTGATAACAAGACAGCCAAATAAAATTTTGCATGTTTACATAGATTGAAACACTGTTTTGATAAAACGTATGTTAATTTGAAATTACTGAGTGCTCTTGTCATATTAAGGTTCGTGAACAAAGTCATCCTTATCAGATTAAAGAGCAAAAGAAAATTGTGAGAGATGTTTATCCAGCTACATCAGCTAATGTCCACACTTTGAAAGCCTCTCACATTGTGTCATGGTAAGTAAGTCACTTGGTTTTGTGGTTTGTATTTGCTTACAAAATAGACAATAAGTTATATTCTAAATTATGTTTAAATTAATAAGCTATATCTAAGAGGAAATTGTGGTCTTATTGAAATACAGTAAATATGTTTGATTAGGTTTATCATTGATTGTTTGTGATTGCAGGTACATTGATTACCTGATCCATGAGAATGAACATCTAACACAGATCTCCAGAGCTTTCTCACTTCCAGTCAACCTCTTCCATTCAGATGACTTTTATTTTATGGACAGTTTAAAGAAAAAGGTAAAATAAACTAGTTTCTACTGTTGCTACTACCTCATTTTAATCATATTATGTTTAAAATTAGCAAGTTACTCACAGCTGCTGATAGTATTGAAAATTAGTTGCTGCTGGTAGTGATAGTGTTATTACCATACAAGTTTAATCCTTTTATTTAAAAAGTTAACCACAATGGTACATTAAAGATAGCTGATGGCTAGTTATTCTTTAGATCAGGGGTCTCCAAACTTTTCAGTCCGAGGGCCGCATTGACTATCTAAGTTCAGTTCGGGGGCCAGGTTCTTCCAGACATGGCTTTGATTTTTCTGGGAAAAGTTCCTCAGCTATCACCAACAAAAGTTTTTTGCGTGGACAAAAAGATCTCCGCGGGCCGGATGAGAGGACCTCGCGGGCCGCATCCGGCCCGCGGGCCGTAGTTTGGAGACCCCTGCTTTAGATGGTCAGTCACCTTGACAACTCCTGCTGAAGTGAACTTTTGAAAAGAGAAGACATTTTAAATGATGTGTCAAAATCAGACAAGCTCATATCATATAGTTTTTCTGTTTCCTTAACCACAACAATCAAAATATTTTCTAAGCATAATTTGTAATTGGAATTCAAGCTCCTCTGAAAAACTCCAGTTTTATTGGACATGTTTAGAAGAAAAAACTGGATCAGATTAAATTTTTTTACAGGTACATTTTCCAAGTTTGAAGTTCCTCTCCTGGATGCAACAGAATTTGCCAAGTATAAATGTAAATGCCATTGATTTCCATGAAGGAAGACCACCTGCTTTGTCAACATGGAATCAAGACTGGTTCTGGCAGAACAAATCTAGGCGTGACATTATACATGATGTGTTTTTTTACTTTCAACATCGTCGGGTTACTTGTGAAAATTAGCCATACTTCTAATCAGATTTAGAAACAAAAAGCTAAAAAAGTCTTAGTTAATTATTCCTTAAGTTTTTTCTTAAACCCTAATTCTGTTACTTCATTACTTTAATTGTTGGTTACTTATCTCTAGGAGTCTTCATATCTTATGTGTACAACATTAACATGATTACAACCTCAAAATCTACCTAAAAGCTTTCTTTATATGTTACATGTATTGTCATATCTTCCACCTTTCCATTTGCACCTTGTATCTGTATTTTTGTCTCTAAACTTAAAATTTCTTATTTCACTTTTCTTGTTTGATTTGTTTTATTAACCTTTGCTTATTTTTCAACAAGAATTATGGAGTCAAAGGACTGTAAATACTGTAAAAAAAATTATTACTATAACTGATATTCAAAGCATTATTTTAAAATGTTAAAAGTTTTAATATGATATTGTAAAATACAGATTTTAATAATTTTTTTTTATATTGTTAGATTTTTCCTTTAAACAGAGTTGATAATAATGTACAGTATCTTTTGTACCAAACTATTTAAAATATAATTTTATTTTACCTGTTTTAACTAATTACAGATTATAATATTTTTTGAGTAAAATATATAAAAATGACATATTTATATAGTTAAATATTTTTCATTCTACTGTATCACCAGAAAACAGATTTTTTAAATTGATACTAATAACATGCTTGTTATTTTTATTGTTACTACTTGCTTAGACAGTTTAATCAAGTAGTTTGTTTAATCATTTGCTATTTTTTAAAAAGCTAAAATGATTTTTATTAAATACACTCTCAAGCATTACATTGGAATGTTTCTGTTAACTGCAAATGGATGTTAATAAATTTTAAGAAGTTGGCACAAAACTTTTGTTACTTAATTTTATCAACATAAAACTTGTTCAAATTATCAACGTCATTTCCCATCACCCCTGCTGGGGTATGGGCCGCCAACCAAAGATATATTTGTTCACATTGGTGAAGAATAAATAATCTAATAAATATTTATAATGCGTAATTTACTTATATATTTTTGGGCTTCAACTAAAGTAACATTAATTTTATAAAAGTCAAGTGTTGTTGAGCACTAATAAAATAGTAAGTCTAAAACTTGTTTTAACCTAAATAATAGTCCTCTAACAAATCTATGATTGACTGAAATTTAAATCAGGGTTTACAGCAATTTCAAATTAATTTTATAATGTTGCAAAAATTTACACTGAAATTTATTTAATTGCGTGTTTAAATTATAAAATGAATTTTTTAAAATGAAAACTACTTTTAAATTTAATGGTATAAGCAGGACAGCATTCACACATCAAAGTAAAACTTATTAAGACATTGGATAACAAATAGATTAATGGAGGTTAAAACTATTTGGTTTTATTTAATATCTTTTAATACACATCAAAATATTGTAAAATGCTTTAGAATAATCTTAAGATGTTGTTAGCAAAATCAGTACTGAATACTTAAATCCACACTTAAAATTTTATCACATATACAGGCTCTACAATATGTTTGTGTAGATACATATATTTTAAAAAGTGTTTCATAAGTTATTTTTTTATTACATATGTTTGGTTACAAAAAATAATTTCAAATTTTATATCATTTTAATTACAAAAACAGTAGATTAACAAATAAACATTTGAAAGTTAAAGATAAAACAACAATGACAGGCACTATATTTAATGCATTTTACATTGTGAAGGGAAAGATGGTGATTAGTCTCAATTCATAGAGACAGTTTGATCCAGTTTTTCTGTTTTTGTCCAGATGGGCAAACGCATAGAACACCACAAAATTAAAATACAGGCTGCATAGACCAATATTCATACAACATAATGAAACTTGGCAAATCTTTGAGGAGAAATTCTTATTAGAAATAAAATACTCATCTTCTAAGTTCAGAGGCCTTCAGTAACATAACGAGCACACCCATGTTAGATAACCCTAAAAATTTTCTTACATTATTTAAATACAATCATCACTGAAAAAATGTATCACAGTAGTACAAACGAGAAATCCAATTCTTTCAAGCACCCTTCAACCACTCTGCTTGGGTTGAATATTGTAAATGCTGAGTGATTAAAAAATTGTTCATAAATAGTTTGAGTTCAGGGTATATTTTCATACAGCTAAATTTGGTATTTGAAACATCCTAGGAGTACAAAGTTTTTTCCATGCTTTAAAAACCTGAAATTCAAGTATAGTCATTGTTATAAAAACAATAAAGAAATTTAAAAACAAAAATATAGAGGTAAAATGTAATTATTGATATTTATTTTAATTAGTGTTGTGCTTAATTAATATTGCAATAAAACACCTGTTAGCCAATATAGAATCATGATAGAAATGTTAAAATAATGTAAACAAACATTAAGCAAGTCTGACTTTTTAATCTACCACTATGTGTAGCTTACCTGTGATAATGTATGATGATCAAACTTCCTTGTAATTTGATTGATTGATTTTACTTTGGCCAACTGGAGTCTCCACTTCATCCAAGCCCTTTTTTGAACAAACTCTTGCTCCTGATAAATAAACATATTCATTGTAAAGAAAACTTTTCTTAAATACAAACATTTTAAGTTTCAGTTACTATTTGCATTTTAAAAAATAAAAAAAATTGGAAGTATAAAGTAAGGAAATAAGTAAATTAGATGGCGTTGAGTTTTAGACCCTGTGCCAAAAATGACTACTTTCTTTCCAGAACTTACCAAACAAACAGCTGTCACAGACAGATCAACTTTGTTCTTCCAAATTTTGGCATATCTGTCACAGATGAGTTGTTTCTTTTTTTTAACTTGATGTACCACTGCCATCTCTTCTTTCAATGCCAGAATGGCTTTTCTGCTGTTTGATAAAGACAAGAGCAAGCTAAAGGCTAGCTGGGCTAGATAATTAGACAACTAAAATTAGTATAGTTCTGACTCTATTTTCATTGTTTTTAGACAATGTAGGTTTAGATATATTTTAGTTTCTTGTTAAAACACCAGAAAGAGAATACAATATTATATTAAGATGGGTTAAGATCACAGTATAGGGATTAGAGCTAGGGCAATAATACTACAATAGAATAGCTTTAATCAACTACTGGAAATAGTACAACTACCACCTCATTGTCTCATAATAAAAGACACGATAAGAAGAAACATCTATAATAGCAGAAGAAAACATGTCTGTATCTAATTTAACAATTTACTAAAGATATTTATAAATATATTTTTAATTACCACAAAAACATGTTGTGTAATTTAATGGCTTTATCCCAGTTTTCTTTCTCATGTTCTCTCTCAGTCTGCTTCCTATGGATGAATTTTTCCCATCTTCTGACCACTCTTATCACTAGGATATTTTTGTAGCATCTGTGTATGAGAAAAAAAAAAACGTTAGTTCTTATACACCCTAAAGCACTGGGTGTGGTCGGGTGGTAGAGCACATCACTGATAACTTGAGTTCAGCTTCTGGAGTAACACCCTTAACTCACACTATCCATTGATTAACAATACACTATCCATTGATTAACAATACACTATCCATTGATTAGCCAAGGTGAACAAGATAACTCTATCTGTCCTATTGACTGTCAGATCAAGGGTAACTTTCACAAGTGAATATATTAACTATAGATTACCATTAAATGTAAAAAAAAAACAGTTTCAAGTAGAAATGTGTGATTGATATTATGACATGAGCTAATGACAGTACAAGATATTCACAACAAGCAATAACCAAATAACCAAAGCAATAACCAAATAATAAATTAGTGTCAGGTTAAGATTGAAGATAGGTTATTTTTTTTTTTGGGGGGGGGGGGGGGGGGGGGACAATTTACAATAACAGGCATTTGTTGATTCCATTTATCCTGTTGTGTTAGTCAATTAAGCAATTATTGACTTTTGCATGCATTACAGGCCCATTACTGAATAAGATTATCATTTAAAAATTGATTATATTGAGATTTTCACAGTACTATTTATTATTTTATCATAGTGTTAACATAACAGTAGTCTTCATTGTAAAAGTGGTATTCCCATAAGAGAATTTTATAATAAGATATTCACACTTATTTTAAAAAATAATAAATGCTGCAACAACAGTCTTTGAAAAAAAAAATTCCGACCTGGAAGCAAGAACTGCATTAAGTCTGTCTTTCCACAGAACAATCACAGCCCTCATAGTGGCCTGTTCTCTGTTGTGTAAGACTTCCTCAGCTATCTCAGTCAGGCTTGTACAGTACTCTGCTTTCAAACGCATGTTCATAAAGGCGTGTTCCAGAATTCTGAGGTTCACATGGTGACTCACATGGCTCTGCATCTGCCTGAGGAAGTGGTGCTTGTGGGAGTAGTTTCTCCATGATCTGAACACTCTGTTAGATATAAGTCAACACATTTTACAGAAACAAGAAATTAAAAAAATAACCAAAACTACAAACAATGGAAGCACTTCTATCATAAGGCCAAGAATTCCTGAGCCCATTTCGCATCAAGTGTTAACAACTATTCATCTACCTGTAAACTAATGCTGAAGATTAAATCTAGTTTACCATTAAGAAATATAAAGGCTGTTGATGAAAATTAATAGTCTGCCATAAAGGATTAAATATTCGTAAATTTTAAATTCTAGTTTTCCATAAAGAAAATGTAGTCTGAGGATGCAGAATATTAATTTGTCCAAAAGGAAAATATATGAAGATATTGTGAAATAAAAAAAAACGCCCGACTGAAAGTCTATAATTCTATTAACAGGAAATTATTGATTTCACCCAGTACTCATGGATTCCTAACTTTAGGCATGGGGAGTAAAGCCTGCTGTGCATAGTGAGCATACTGAACAGTCTAATTATATCCCGAGACAAGTAAGAAGATAAGCACTAAATTATCTCCCCTGTTGATCTATCACCAGTTACTACATAAAAGAAAAATTTTATTTTAGGTTTTCAATGACCCCATACCTTATCAAAAGTTTCATCTCAACATTTTGTTGGACAGACATTTTGACCCTAGTTACAGCGATCCAGTACTGGAAGTAAACATGAAGACTTCTCTCTTGCAGAGCTTTCTTTAGTGCCAGCCCTCGGATCCGTCTCTCTCTGTTTACTGTATGCAAAATAATTGAAATCAGTAATTTTTGTTTGAAAAAAATATAAAAGTTTTTTTTTTTAAAATTAAAAAGAATTAGTATAAAATATATAATGGTAATTTAGACTTTTTAAATGCAGCAGAATTTGGTGACTAGATTTAAAATTAAATACCAAAGTACATTTTTTCACAAGATTTTCTTTAAAAAATATAATACAAAAATTGCAGTGTCAAAAACCTGTAATTTCTGAATGTAAAAATAAAAAAGAAATTATAATGTGCAGCTAATGAGTTTGGAGTATTTCGATAATGTTTTCCAACAATTCAATATTTTTATCATATTGTGGATATGACTCACATTTGATAAAATGTCTCCATTCAGTCATGACTGTGTACAATACACGATATGTGTACAGTTTCCTAGCCCTGTTGGTGATCAGCTGTGTTTTCCAGGTACGCAGATAATGTTTGAATAAACTTGTATTCTTGCGCTGGGACCAACCATCTAATAAAGTGTACAAAGATTGTACACGTGTCAGTGACAGCTTCCATGCATGGAGACAACGAGATGCCTGTGAGGAGAATTGTTAAACCACATGAATGAAAGGCTGAAGAATTCACTGCTTTCCTAGTTGATTGGTATAAGTAGACTTATGATATTGCATTTTACCTAAAAATTATTGAAAAACTGTAGCCTAGTTATAAAGGGATTAGGGGGTTAGGGGAAATAACTTTTTTAAGTGACATAGATAGCTTTAGCCCATGTTTTCACAGAATAACTTTTACCAAAAGTAAATCTGCTTAGATAAAAAAAAAGATAATATGCTTTAAGTCTTTGAAAAATTTACTTTAAATTAATGCCTACCAGTCTTTTTTCAAAGGAATCTTTCAGCCTTAGTCCTCTTGAAGTTTGAGCTTTCTCCTTCCAGTGAATGGCTAAACGTAAAGCTCTCTGTTCAATGAATACTTGTCTTTTTTCATGAACTAGAAGCCTTGTATTATAGGAGTCTTTCCATTTATAGAACAGATGCTTCACCTAGTGTAGACAGAAATGTGTGTCACAAATGTATATCTTGATACAAAAAATTTACTTCTTGTCTTATATAACTGATCAAGAATAATACTCTTTATCTTATACTTATAGAGCAGATTAAGAATGTATATCTATTATCTTATATATTATTATATTAATTATTATAATTATACAGCAGATGAAATGAGGTTTGCTGTTACAGGGGAGAACACTCTTTACATGTTGGAACAAACTGCTGGGTTAATCCAGGGTTAGTCTGAACACATGGACTGCACACAAGATTTAAACTTAAAATTTTTTTTTTTTTCTCAAAATCTCTTAGACCATGGCCCAATTATTATAAAATGCCAGAATTAAAAATCTGACTCCACACATTGTAAGCTTTACTGATGAAGCAAAATGTAAATTTCCCAATTTTTTAAAACTCATAACACTCAATATGTTTGTGGAATCATGTAAAAAAATAGGGAGTATGTGTTATACAAGTGTCCATTAGTGCCAAATGGGGAATAAGGTTACCTTAAGTAAACTTAACACAAATATAACTTTCTAAATGTCAATGCTAACCCAAAGCCCAAATCCTACCATAACCTAACTCTAATTTCTGAGCCTATCACTAACCCTGAGATTCCAATACCACTATCAACCTAACATGCCTATATGTGGGAGAGTCTATTGACAAAAAGCAGAAATACTCCAAAATTTGTAAGAGAAAGGTGGATCAAAACTCTCAAAATGACTCACCAACAGAGTGTAGGAGTAGACCTGAAACTGAAACACTTTTTCTTTTTCAGCTTTAATTCTGATGACTAGTTCATGCCATTCTCTGAAACAGCTGTAGAAAACATTATAAAAATTGTGAAGTAAAAATGCACAATTAAGAGAAAAACCAAGGCATAAATAATTTTACTGTTATTTAACAAAGCCCATTAGTGAACAAAGCTCATATGTATCTTACACACAAAAGGGAAAAAAATTATGAGAAATGCCCACAATTACACTTTTAAAAGTATATCCATCAGTAAACTGGCAGAGATACATGGGGCAACATGAAGGCATGACATGTACACACTTGTCTAGTGTTCAGGTAAATAACACCATTTTGTTACATAACCATAGTGAGATCAGACTTTGACCACACAGGTTCATACTACACTAACATGCACATTATACTTTTTAAATTTGTTATTGCTAGAGTTAAGAAATTCATCAAAATGAAGCACTGCAACAACATACACTGAAAAGATGCTTGTTTTACAAATACTGATGTTTCTGTGACCAACCACACAATGGAACAAAATACATTCAAATATGTTTTACCTGTGCTGATGTTTTTGTGATCAACAACATAAATAAAAATATATTTTACCTGTGCTGATGTTTTTGTGACCAACAACATAAATAAAAATATATTTTACCTGTGCTGATGTTTTTGTGACCAACCACACAAATTCAAATATGTTTTACCTGTGCTGATGTTTTTGTGACCAACCCCACAAATTCAAATGTTTTACCTGTGCTGATGTTTTGTGACCAACCCCACAAATTCAAATGTTTTACCTGTGCTGGTGTTTTTGTGACAAACAGCACAAATTCAAATGTTTTACCTGTGCTGGTGTTTTTGTGACAAACAGCACAAATTCAAATGTTTTACCTGTGCTGGTGTTTTTGTGACAAACAGCACAAATTAAAATGTTTTACCTGTGCTGATGTTTTTGTGACCAACCGCATGAATTTAAATATGTTTTACCTGTGCTGATGTTTTTGTGACAAACAGCACAAATTAAAATGTTTTACCTGTGCTAATGTTTTTGTGACAAACAGCACAAATTAAAATGTTTTACCTGTGCTGATGTTTTTGTGACCAACCTCACAAATTAAAATGTTTTACCTGTGCTGATGTTTTTGTGACCACTGCCTTTGGGCTTGTCTCAACTTTTCTGTTACAGACTTCCAAAAGTAGAAAAAGGTGATTAAATTTTTACTGCAGTTCTGTTTGATGAATTTATGTTTGAGAGAATGTAGCTGCTGATTTGCTGAAACACAACAAAACATTATCTGATGTAATTAAAAAACATTTTAATAAAATCCTACTGGTAGACAAAAAAATATATTAAATATATGTTACTGGGTGTGATAAAGAATGAACACTTACATTTAGCCCATGTTCTCCATGACAATAAAATAAAATGAAGATAGTTGTGCCAGGCTTGTTTATGGTGTCTATCAACCTCACGGAAAAGTTTTAAACGTTCACACCATTTACTGAATGCCTGGAAAAAATATTAAGTATATAAAAATATGCAAGTGGTGATTGAAAAAGTTAACTTAAATTAGTTGGATGTGAAATAAAAATGTCTGCTAAGTTAGTGGGTGACTGGGTAAAAATCTACAAACAAGATAAAGATGTTGCTTTCAGTATAGACATGTGGATTAACCTCATACAACTAAGGGTTTTTTCTAGTTAAGAACTATATTTCTAACAGTTGTAGACATAATTATCTTCCAATATCTTCTCAATTATTACCATCCCTATTTTCTAAATAAGAAATAATTGTTTTAATATAATTAGATTATAAACAACTTGAAAGTAATCTTAAAGGAAAGTTATTTACCATTCTACTTCTTCGTGTGTGTAACAAGCTTTGGCACTTTTGTGTCATGCAATGATTTTCTTTTGCCCAGTCCGTCCATGCTGTAAATACCCTGGCAGAAAGTGTTTTGAAATATTTTATTCAAAACTATTTCATTTGTTTAAATTAATTAAATTATATCAGCGGTTTCCAAACTGGGAGGTATGTTCAACAGAAACATTTAATATAAAAATATAGATATAAATAAGTTTTAATATCATAATTGTAAACTATTGTCTCCATGTACTTAAATCAAAATGTTTAAGTTGTATTGACAATCAATTTAGTGAGTGTTTTTATTTCTTTCTTTGCTTATCTAAAAGGTTTAAAGATTCAACCTGTTATTTCTTTAAAATGTTTGTGGTTGCACAATTGGTGAGCTATCCAACTATCAAGTTTTGTATCTATGGTAGATACAATTGTTTTAGGATAATTGTTTATTTTTATATTTAAATATTTAAAATTGTGAGTACAATTTTATTATTTTAATATTAAGTACATTTCTTAATGCATATATACCCTCTATGAACCAGTACACGCCTCCACATGGTGGTGTACCCCCATAGTTAAGAAATCCTAGCCATAGATAGTGCAATAACACATTTAAAGATGCTTATTATGGGGTGTAAACTTCAACAGATAAATTAGGGGAACATCTTAACAAGATGTAAGTGATAATTTAAGCATGTGTCATTGGATGGCACACATTTAATGACTATATTTGTGTTTAAATGAAACTTAATTCACTTTACCATTTTAATAAGCTTTGATGGTATACTTGTCTAATTTTAGTTGCTGCACGATACTTTAAAGCCCAGATGGAAAAGTACAAGTTCAAAGATCGCTGTCGTAATTGTTTGGTTAGGTGTGTTTCTAAGGGCAGCAACTCCATTTCTTCAGCTGTGCGGGTAGACCACAACAGCAGAATATGTTTCTTTTGCCTCAAATCCTGAGCCTAAATCATGAACAAAACAAAATTATAAAACTACTATTGTGACAGTTAATGAAACACATTAAAAAATTTTCCAATTCGACCAAAATATTCATATAAATTTGACTTACTTTTTCCAACCACAATGGAAAATATTTGTTGAAAGTAATTTTCATGCAGTGATTCATTGCTGTTTTAGACAGATTCTTCTTATACTTCTTGTCTTCTCGATGTCTGTAAAGAATTTCTAACACAGACCTCTTGATGATGGCATCCTGAACAAAGTAAAGACATTATTTTATAACGTTTTTTTTCTTATACAATGCAAGCCTCAAATAAATAAATTAAATAGTCACTAATTTGACTGCTGCTGCCTTTCCTGATAAGTTAAAAAAGAATATAAATTATAATTGTATTTTCAAATACATTTTTTATAAAATATAGTTTAGTTTAAAAAACAAACAATTGCTGCCTGATACAATTGTGCTACTTTTAGCTAAGCTGTAACCTACATGTAAAAGTGAATTGAAAATAGTTATTGTCCAATGCAACAAAGATGTGAATGGAAAGAGTAGCTTACATCTAATCTAACAAATAACTTGTAAAACAAAAACTTGCCCTGAAGCTCTGTGCCCTGGTGTTGTAGAGATAGCTCTGCTTCCACTCTCTAAACGCCAGCAGGACCTGGATGCTGGAGTGCCGTGACCTCACAGAGGCAGCGGCTGATTTCAACTGGACCTCTCGTTCAGTGAACTCCCTCCACTGGTCAAAGGCCACACACAGTGGCCAGTGTCTGAGTCTGGTGATGACTTGGGTCACATGACTCTAAAATATCACAAAAATATGTTTTACATAATAAAATAGTGCTGATAAACAGGTGAACTACAATTTGCCTGCACTTTAGACCATCAGGTTTACAAGGAATGTTTTTTTTTAATATGGTGAACACATTTTGATGTGCTTTAATTATCTGTGATGTAATTTTAAATGCATTTCAATTTTATTATTTGTATATTAATATAATAAAAGTGACAGTTATAAAAATTGGAGACTTCCATTAATCATTAATTGTATTGAGTTTTAAGTTATAGGTACACAGTTTTACACGCTAGCTAAAAAAAAAATTTCACCTTCAACCTATGGCATTTAGAAACCCTGTGCTGCATAGAGGCTTGAAGTCCCCCACTTAGTAGAGCATATCTATCAGTTTCTGAATCAGCCAAATGTGTACTGCAGGGTATACAACAATGTAGACGTGATAAAATGTTATAGCTTTCAACTGAATATCTTTATTAAACTGATAAGGTTAAAACATGACATTTTTAATACAACTTTTTGCACATGGCAATTATTCTTTCTTTTCTATTATCATTAAAAAAAAGGGAAATTTTAAACAAAAATCACAGTAGGCTTGTTATCAGCTGATACCTTTAGAAAAAATTACCTATTAATTGGAGAAGTCAGATCATTTCCAATGTTTATATGCTCTGTAAGAAGGAAATTAGATTATCAATAAATTTGAATTTGAAAATATAATAAACTTAGTTTAAATAATATGTAAAAAATATATTATCATTACTGTTGATCATCTATATATTGTATAAAAAAGCAGCATCAAATGTTTAAAATCTCATCCCTTACCTTCACTGTTACCCTGGTGTTGACCTACAGCATCCTGCAGCCCTATCTTTTCAGAGAAAATGTGCACAGCATCTGTCATAGATTGTGAGGTGACCTCTCTCCAGGCTGAGAACAATGTCACAAGCACCCTCTGTTGTAGGCTCTTGTGGTAGGCTCTATGGAAACATAAACTAACTCATGATGGACCCATTTAGAACACAACTAGGTAAATAGGGGTTAGGAAAACAGACATGCAGATAAAATGGGCCCTAGGTATGCTATTGATTTATCAATTTTATTTTGTTAAAATTTATAGTATTAATATTTTTTTTACAAAGTTTCACATCATATAAGTTATAATTCACATTTGATAAATTTTAAAATCTGTTTCTGATTATTGTGTCAATTCATTTTTTTCAAAACACAAATTTTGGCAAATTGCTGAATAATTAGAAAACTATGTGAATATCATTTAGGTGCCTGAATAAAAATTTAAGATAAATATCTGTAGAGAAACTAGCCATGCAGATGAGTATGGTTAGGCATGAATTTTCACCACAGTCCTGTTAGTTAGGGACAGAGAGATATATAGGTAAATACCTAGCGATAAGAGTTGATTGCATTTGTCTCCTCCAAGTACAAAAAGCTTTATTAAGATGCTTGTCATTGTGGCCTTGGAAAATCTGGCTAACATGCAGTTCATTCATGTGGACCTGAGTTCTCACATTTTCCAGCCACTGACTAAAACACCATCTCTGTAGCTCCATGTTGTTCTCCTGAAGAATTCAATTTCAATCATGTGTTATTTGAATTTTAAATAATACAAATGTTGTAATAGACCATTGATCAATTTCAAACATGTGTTATTGGAATTGTAAATAATACAAATGTTGTAATAGACCACTGATTAATTTCAATCATGGGTTATTTGAATTTTAAATAATACAAATGTTGTAATAGACCACTGATTAATTTCAATCATGGGTTATTTGAATTTTAAATAATACAAATGTTGTAATAGACCATTGATTAATTTCAAACATGATATTAAGATGTGACACAATAGGTCACTTAACATCATCACCAGGTGGGCACTAAATTGGCACAAAAAACACCTGGAGATGAGAACGTGAGGCTAACAGTGGCAATATTGTGGAGACTGGAGAGAATGGCCAGTCAGAGAACTCTGGATAACTGTGATTGACAGCAGGAGCTAAATGGGTACCCAACAATAATTTACAATATGCAGGTCTTAAATAATTTTTTTTCCATCTTAATTATTAATATATAGTCTTATAGGCAAGTTGATATTTCATTTAGGTGACCATCAATTATTGCACATTATTTTAGTGGCATTAAAATGAAATTAACCAAAGAAACTGTCAATGAAGAAACTTGCTCAGCACCAGGTTGCCTGGAATGCTCTTGTCAGCAACCAATGTCCTAGTTGGATTACAGACTAACTACTACTAACACCTAATAACTTACAAATTTTTCATAAATGATAAGCCTCAATTCTAAGATCTCTCACCCTCTCCTCTTCATCCATGATCCTCTGATTGCTCAGGCTGTTTGCCTTTTCTTTCCAGAAGTAAAACATTCTTTTCACCAGCATTTTATCACGGAAATTTTGTCCCTTCTTTTTACGGAAAATAAAATATTTCCACCCGTCTATTAGAACAAGAAGCAGGCCTTGGGAAATTCTTTGCTTGATTTTGTTCTCTACTTGGTGGATATAGAGCTGACGCCTGCAGACAAAGACATTTATTTTTGTGAACATTCATCAGATACAATAGATCAAGAGAGAAATGTTTCTGATTATGTTGAGTTCTCTCAAGTTTTAGTTTGTATTCTATTTTTGGGATGTTTTTTTTTAATATGTCTGATAAAAACACTAAAAGTAATGTTATGTTGTTAAACTATATTTTTATTTTTTAGACATTTTGTATATTGTTGTAGTTTTATAAGGAGATTTTATTCATTGATAATGTCCAATTAAATAATTAAATACATACTTCCATCTTAAGAATGAAGAACGTAACACTGAGAGTTGCTGAACTTGTTTCCTCTGTTTGCATAATGTCTTTTGCTGAACTAACTTCCTCCATGATAAAAATGCTCTGAAATGATTTGTTTAAAAATATTTCAAGATAGAATAGGGATTTTATTAAACATCCTCCCACATTGATAAAATCATATTTAAAACAGTAATAAAAATGTTACATATAGGCCTACGTTTCATTAAAAGCATAAATATTTTTAATATAAATCTAGAAAAATTTCAATCTGAAATTTACCATTTTTATTTAATAAAGTTATTACACTGAAGCTGAAATTAAAATATATTTAGATAACAGTTTAGAAAACATTATTACAGAGCACAAAACTGATAACAGTTTAGAAAACATTATTACAGAGTACAAAACTGATATCAGAGAGCCATATTCTGACACTCAAGTTGAGACAAATACTTACAGTAAACAGAACTGCTGCTGGCGCTGAAGCACCATAGGCTTTATCCTGAGGACCCTTTGAGTCTCTGTCTGCCACAAGCGGAACTTGCGCTGCAACAGACTGAGCTGCAGCATCTTCTCTTTGGCTTTGGCCTCCTCATTCTCTTTTTGTAGCCTTTCCAGTGAACACAGCCATTGGTGAAATATGACTGTGGATGGTAGTAATTTTTCATACATAGTATACAAATAAGCCATTGCAAATTTGCCAAAGTCATTTTTTCATGTTGTTTGTAAACATACAAAAACTGAGTACATTGTGTATCTCAGAAATTAAAGTTGTTTAAAAATATTTATAATTGGTTTAAGATTTAGATATATGTGTAATAATAAAGCAGAATGTGTGAACTAAGAAAAAATGTGTTTCAAGCATTTGTAAACTGACTGATGACAAAACACAAACATTAAATGTAAGATTTTAAAATATCATTAGTAGGGCATAATATTAAAGTGATGTATGATTGATATTTACTCTGGCACTTTCTGTGTTCTCTAAGAGGCTGTGTATCTTTATAAATTTTGCTCAGCTTTCTTTTGTGGCAAATATGTCTCCATCGGAAAGCAAGTTTCCTGAAAAAAATAATGTTTAAAATCCTTGACACTTTTATGTTAATGTTAAGCAGTTACCAAAAAAATGTATTTGGGTTAGCTTTAACTAAATGCTCAAAGTATCATTGTAAACCTTTGAACATATGCTGGGATAGACTACATATTAAAAGTAAATCTAAATAAAACCTTGGCAATTATTACTATCTTGAAATTTTTCATCATAAAACTAATTTTAAAAAATAATAACAGTGAATGTTCACATACAGCCCCTAATACACAGTTCTCTTATTAAAACTTTATGTTCAGAGAACTTAGAAAAAGTCCTAATTAGTATTAAAACTAAATGTTCAGTGGAAGTTAGAAAAGGTCTTAATTAGTTAATTAACTTCTCACCTGACACAAGCCTCAGACCAAACTCGTTTGGCATTTTCCTCTTCTTGTTTTTTCAGGAAGGAGTCTCTCCACAATGAGAAACAGGACACCATTTTCTTTCTCTTGTAAATTAATATATGATCTAGGATCTTTTTCCTAAAAAAAAAATTGTGATTTCAAATGAATAAAAAAAAAGTATTGTAATTAAAAAAAAAAAAACAGAAGTCTACACTGATTGGAAACAATTAACTTATTCGGGTAGGCTAACATATAGCTCTCACTTGATAATTTTTCTAGCGATGGTAAATGTAAGCCAAGTTTTCCAGGTCTGCTTAAGGTGGCAGCTTTCTAAAAGCAATATGGCAGCTCTGTGTCGACGCTTGATCTGGACAACATTTTGTCTCCATGTCAACAGAGCTCTGTGCATTTGTTTACGTTGTATCATGAGCTCCATTTTCTGCCTGTATGCAATGTTTTCCTTCCATGACGAAAACCATATCGTGAAAGATTTTCTGAAAGAAATCAAAACATAGTTCATCAAGTGTGGGCCCACGAAAAAATTACCAAGTAAAAATGTCATAGGCATATTTTAAAAGGAAATTAATTTTTGACTCAATAATGTTTTTTGGACATTAACCTGTATCAAGTTCCAGTTTGTTATAGCTAATAACGAATCCAAAACTTAAGACAATGTGAAACAACATCCATTGTAGACCCACCACTATTATAAACTGTAGCAAGTAAACTAACACTTTTTTAGCACAACCTTGTTTAAATTTTTGTCCAGATTTTCAATTGGGACATTAAAAGATTTCAAAGAACTTTGGTAGCTTACAGTTCAAACAAGGGCCACTAAGCAGAAGAAGAATTATATTTTAAAAATTATGTCTATCAATAAATGGTCTATAGACATACCTGTAGGTCTTGAAGTTGTATATCCTTCTGGCTTTACAAATTAAAAGCATCTCATGCCACTGAAAAAACGCTGACTGCACAGTCTTTTTATCCCAGTGTTCTTTGCTCTTAGCCATGTCTGCCTCTCTCTCTACTAGACAAACCTGACATGCAGCCTTCCATGCCTTTAATATCTTCGTCATGTAATGATGCCTGTAAGATCATGTTTTTTTGTTACATTTTTAATACATTAACTTGTACTTAGAACTTCACCGTAACAAATTTGGAGAAAAGAAGTTATTTTTCTGTTAATAGTTGTGTTTTAAAAGTATTTAAATTTTGTTTTATTTTAGTTGTTCCCCTCATTACAGCAAACTTAATTTTAAATTCTTGCATGAATTTGATTGAAATAACAAGTTGAATATACAGGTCTATAATAAAGCTTTTTTTTTTAAAAAAAGTTATCATTTTAAAATTTTCAGTTGCAAATTAAATTGCTGAATAATTATAAAACTAAGAACTTAAACAGTTTTTCAATCAAATGTATACCCATTAATGTATATTATGTATTTCAATATGTTTATATACTTATTTTTACCAAAAATGTTGATTAGCTTTTCTTGCCTTGCAGAAGGAGTCCTTCATAACAGTAAATGTTGAATATAAAGTCACATGGTTGTGATGTGATCTGGAATTTAGAGGGAGTTAAATAAATCAATAGCCATAGTAAATCAATATTCAGGAGTCATAGTAAATCAAAAGCCAGGAGCTCTAGTAAATCCATAGCCAGTAGCTCTGTAAATCAATAACCAGTAGCTCTGTAAATCAATAACCAAAAGCTCTAGTAAATCAAAAGCCAGTGGCTCTCTAAATCAATAGCCAGTAGCTCTAGTAAATCAAAAGCCAGGAGCTCTAGTAAATCCATAGCCAGTAGCTCTGTAGATCAATAGCCAGTAGCTCTGTAAATCAATAGGCAGCAGCTCTGTTAATCAGTTCTAAATATGCATATTTTGAACTTTTTAGTTTTTTTTTTTAAATTATTACAAGCACACAGATTTTATTATCTGAATTACTTTATCAATGTGTTTCTAATAATATATTTTGATGTAGGAAATTTAAAAAAAAAAGTAAAATATAAATAATATGAAAATAATATGTATTCATAATATATGGGCTACGGAATATAGTATACTATAGTAATCTTTGGACTTCATTTTTATTTTAATGCATAATAATTTAACAAGAAAACATACATTGCCATTGCTTTCTTCCTGGCTTTTACTTTGCAGCATACAACAAATTGCTTCCAGAGTTTCATAGAGTACTTCAACAACTTTGACCTGAAACATATTCAAAGTGCTTAAAACATGATGCCTTCTTATAATATGAATAATGCTGTTAATTTTGGGACTGAGCTCTCAACCTATTTTTGGTCCAACACTTGTACAGAGTGAGTTCAAGATGAATTGTGTCAAACCATAGGTATAGCAGTACTAAGATAGGTTATAACTAGTTACATTTTTGGACCTTGTTGGTCAATAAGTAGGAGCAAGTAGAGTTGTCCGTTTCTGTGACCTCGGCATATAATGGGATAATGTGGTCAGTTCTATGACCAGCCATCATAACTTGCCCTAATATGAATCAAGGTCACATCAGAGCTAAGTGGACTCAGTGATGTCTTACAGACTCATACTTGAATCCAAACTCAAATCTTTCAGGTTAGCAGTTGTGTGCTCTCTACCTTTAGATCACACTGTCCCATTAGCTGTACTGGATCTTCAATCGCCAGATAGTTGTTTACCTGTAAAAAGTACCGGCCAAATTCTGTTTCCTTTTCTTGTGATACAGTTGATTCCACCATCTGATCACACACAGAATAATGTGTGAGTTTACAACTTGACGCATGTGGCGAATTCTGAAATAAATTAGAAAAAAAAAATAATTAAAATAATTAAAACTTTTAATAAAAAACAGCCCTACTGTTTACAAATGGTTATTTCAGCAACTCACTTTTGTGTGTCCATCACAAAAAGTCTCCATCGTTTCAATGCATTTTCAATTCTTTCACGTCTTTGCTTCCTAGCTTTTGTAAGCCACTTAAGATAGAATAATTTGTAGATAATTAAGAGGTCTAAATTATTAAAATGTTGAATGTTTAAAAAAAGGTAATTTTTATGTTGATTAGAGAATTGACAGTCATGGTTTCAAAGGACTTAGAAAAGTCCACCCAACAGAAAGAAATCAAAACAAACTAGTGATGTTTTGTACCTACTACATTGCTACCTAAATCCTTTAAGTTGAGCCTTTAAGGTTTGAGAAGAGCTAAAAGTTAAAAAATTCAAGTCCAGACAGATAGTTTAAAGTTAAAAAAGACAGGAAAGTGAAGAAATCTTCTACAATTATTATAAGGAAAAAATAAGCCTAGCCTTCCTAATTCAGCCTATTTGGAGCTGAAACATAAAAACTCTTAATGAAAGCTGAGTGACTTACTTTAAAGAAAGTAGCTTTCACCATAACTGTGTTGACTTTAGTCTGCAGTTTCTCGTACTGATGCTTAGATTGACTGAGTGACCACTGTAGAGCCCTAAAGCCTTTGGTCAGCATGTGAGTATGAAACAGCTGATCAGCTAGACGCACCTGCCTGCTGTGCTTAGCTCTGTGCTTCCATGATGTAAAGTAATTTGATAAGGAACGACTAACATAGAGGGACAAGGCTCTGTAGATTAAAAAATATTAAAATAGTATGTTTTACAAACCAACATTAGAGTTAACTGGTAAGTGTATTTCAAATTATAACCATATCAATAATAATATTAATAATGCTTATTTATATCTTCCAAATTAACTTAATATTTATTATTGTAAATTATGTTTGACAAAAGAAAAATGATTCATTGATCACTGCTTACTGCCTAGTTAAAGCTTGTTTCTTCTTCCTCTGCTCTCTAGAATAAATGGCAAACTGTTGCCAGGCCTTAAATACTTCAACCTGTGAATCCATTTGAAAAAAAATCTTTACAAAACACTCCAGCTAGAAAAAAGGCATAGTTTTAAACATGTTGATAGATCTAAATCATTGAATGTTTTGTATTTTAAAATGTCCATTACAGGCCCTATATCACAAATTCCTGATTGTAGATCTTATGGCCGTAGCCTAAAGTATTATGTAGTAGTTACAAAGCCACACATATAATAACTATGGCATATTTTAAATCAGCTAGAAATCATATATTATACAGCCTGTTAGTAGTTTAGAGTCTGATTCTATTTCAGTGTTTTTCTTGGGGGGGGGGGGGGGGCGAGACTAAAACTTTCAGGGAACTGTTGTGGACTAATGAGCAATTATATCTAGATCTATTAGTAAAAATTATTACATTAGATTTTACTGTAACTAGACTAGTAGATCTAAATATGGATAAGAAATCTAGATCTAATCTAGATACAGAAGCTGGACCAGTTAAGATTTTTTTGCTAGCAGTTTTTATCAGACTTTTCAGGGGGGGGGGGGGGGGACGACACTGGTAAAGTGGGTAAACTATTATTACACTCTGGAGAGATGCCTGAAAGAAACTCTCGCTGCTAGTCTAGTGAACTCAAGTTCTAGACTAGTAAGTTGCTGTAAGTAGTGTACAACAGTCTTTGTACTCTTTGGGGCTTGCAGAGGAAATCTTTTTATTTTACACTTAGAATCTAGATTAGATCTATTCTAGATCTAGACTATAGATTAGATCTACCTAAGCCTACGCCCAGATCCACACTCCCTGACTACTTCACTTCACTACACAGTGTGTACTGTGTAGATCTATATAGAGGAGAAACTACCTAGAATCCTGCCCATAATTAGAACTAGATCTAAAGCTAGATCTAATTGCCATTTTAGATTTATTAAATTTTAATAAATTCTAAATAGTAGATCTAATAGATCTAATATTGTAATCGAGGCTAAATTTAACAGACGTGAACTAAAAACGAAAGGCGCTAAAAATGAAAACAATATACGAAAAGCCAAAAATAATTAAATCTACTTGCCAAATAGAAGTGCTTATCAGGTTAGATTGGCATGAGAAACAAAGACATGATTAAATGAGTTATCTTGACATATTTTAAATGAAATTAAAAAAAAACAACTATCATAATAGTATCTTCGTATAGCATTGATTACAATGATTTTGTATTGCTGCACACGTATCAGTTTAAAAATATTTAAAAAAAAAAACAACTGTGCGATACGAGTAAGCTAAACCAAGCTTCATTAGAATTAGATCTATAATCTGCAAACTAAACCTACATTACAATAAAAAAAACGATGTACCACGCTATAGAGCCTATATTATTATTATTTTATGTCATCGTATTTAAATAACCTGGGTCTCTTTCGGACATTTTTTTCTCCTGATAGGGGTGGGCACTGCACTTGAAACTTCCGGCGGGAGAGAGCAATAGTTAATTATATGCATTATTGAAATTCCAAAAAAAAAATATTTTGCCCGGGGGGGGGGGGGGGGGACGCTGTAGGCCTATTATAACAATAACCCATTCAACAATGAAAAAAGCTACAATTATTTTAAACGGATCCTCAATCCAGCAGTAGAAAAATCAAACCTTGGTCATAATGATCTGTCTAGTAACAGGATCGGCCAGATAAAGCATCTGTAGAAGCTTAACTGTGCCAGGCTGGTTGATATGTCCAAGTAACATTTCCGCTGGGCTAGATCTGTTTCCTGGACTGTAAACAACATACGACCATCATTTGTATAATCGATGTTAATTAAAGACATCTATCCATATAATCAATACCACATCGACACAAAATGTTCACGAATCCACTTTGTAATTCATAACGACAGCACAGGTGAATGGTTTATATTTTAATTCGTAATCGGTATTTGTATGTTTGAAAAAAAAGTAATGTGGGTTATATTTTGGCTTACCTTGCATTGAATTGTTCTTTCAAGCGCCTCCATTGTGCATGATTTACAAAATTCAGTTTTTGGTCACTGTGAAAACTTTCAATTAAGGACTCCATCGAATCTGACGTTGACTTCTTTTCAAAGTCGTATTTAGCCGTATGAGTTCTGTCACCTACTAATTTTAAAAAATCCGGCGTGTTCCGGCTTTTAGAATTCAATATCTCTTCGTAAAATAACGACTTTGAATCAGCATCTTTTTCATTGTCTGTAATTTGATCTTTCTCCGTTAATTGTCTTTTTGGTCTCTTGATGGCATGCCCGTGTTGAGTAAATACCAACGCCTTGCCAGTTTTATCTGGCAACTTTAAAGGCGTGCTGGTCAAAAACACAGCAGAGTCAAATTTTTTAGAGCCGTTTCTGCCACTTTCGCTTATAAGGGAATCTTCACCATCGCTGCTGCTCACAAGGGTGCTAGTATCGCTGAGCGAGTCGTTACGAACGTGACTACGTCCAACAGGAGAGCTTCGAAAAGCATGCGCCAAGTTTTCTTGACTGCCCAGCCGTTCAGAAACTTCCCTGTGAAGTTTTTCTACCTTCAGCGCCAAACTATCAACAGAGCTAAGGTCTCTACGGAGTTGATTTCTATCGTGTATACTCCCGTTGGGTGGGGTCTGTATGTTTCTTTCCCTGGAATCTGTCTCCAGAGCGCTTCGAGGGCGTTGCCGAGAGTTTGTTTGATTGGTTACTATAGTCATGTGATTAGTGACAGGCGTCGATGTGTTTCTCACCCTTGAGTTTGTATCTAAAGCGCTTCGAGGACGTTGTCGAGAGCTCTTCTGATTGGTTACCAACGTCACGTGATTAGTCACTGGGGTCAATGAGTTCATTTCCCTTGAGCTTGGATCTATTGCACTTCGTGGACGTTGTCGAGAACACGTCTCATTGGTTGACATAGTCATGTGATTAGAGACTGAGGTCAGTTTGTTTCCTTTCTTTGAGTTTGTATCCAACGCGCTTCGTGGACGCTGTCGAGACGTCTGATTGGTTTCTAACGTCACGTGGTTTGTGAAGTCTAAAGCACTAGTTGGTCGATGAGATGAATCTAATTCATCAAAATGGTACAGTTTGTTTTTAAAAGTTTCTATTGTCATTTTGGAAGGCAATGGCGAGTTAGTGTCACGAAAGATACGCTTATTGTTTACTTTTTCCCCAACATCTTTTGTCTTGTGCTTAGGTGATTCCAGTTTGTTGATGTTGTGTTCGGTATGTTTTTCTAGCGGACCTAATGTCATGTGATGATCAGATTGCCAGGGTCTTGTTTTTGAAACATACTTTTTATCAAAGCTATCTCGTCCTTCTTCAAATTGATGGGTGGTTCGTTTGTTGTTCCTGCTTATAACTTTACCACGTGGGCGAACATGCAGTTTCTCGTTTGCTAACTGATCCGGTTTCGTGATGAATGTGTCTCCATCTCTCTTGCTTGACGATGTGTATCTTTCGTCAACCATGCTTTCAGTTTCAGAATCTTCTTCTTGTGATGCTGGAACTATATGTCCCCGATCCTGTAAAAACTCCAATGCTTTTGTGCTACCTCTGTGAGCTAAAACTTTTTTTGTCAAATGATTCAGTTTCGATCTTTTGTCGATTTCGTTAACAGACGTGAAATAACCGGGTTCTGTACGACTAGTATATGGCGTTTGGGAGTTCATAATTACTTGAGATGTATTGTTGGATTCGTTGAATTCTGGGTCGTAGGATTTTACATTCGTCTGTTTTAATGAACTGGGTGTTGTCGATCTTGACCGTACGCTGCTTTCTGAAAGACTGAAAGCAGGGGAAGAAAGCTGCCGGTGTCCACTGTTCCTTGGAGCGTCATGGGAATGTGCCCCTAAAGGATTTCTTGGAGAGTCATAGGATCGAATGTCTGCGTGATTTCTCGGAGAGTCTAAAGAGCGAAGATCTGCAGGAATACTTGGAGAGGCATTAGAACGTGTCCCGAAAGGATTTCTTGGAGAGTCATAGGATCGAATGTCTGCATGAGAGTCACTATAGCGAATATCTGTATGACTCCTTGGAGAGTCATAAGAACGTTTCTCTTCAAGATTCCTTACAGAATCATGGGAGGGAACCTCTGCAGGTCTATTTAGAGAATCATTGGAACGAAGCTCTGCAAGATTCCTTGGCGTACTAACTGTACTTGGAGACCTTGCAAGATTTCTCAGGTCCGAATCTGAACCACTAAGCAGTTTGCTGGACAAACTGGACAGGCTGTCACCTAAAGCATTCAAGTGTGTCTTTAATGAAGAGGTAGGGTGGGGTACGCCGGTGTAGTGACCGGAAGTTTCCGAATACGCGAGAGACGACTGCGGCCGGATGAGAGAGTTTAGTTTTTGCCTCCCTTCCTTGCTGATCTCCACAACTGAGCGGGGCCTAGTTCTTTCAGGATTGTTTATTTCAGTTTTCTTAAAACTGCTGGCACCCGTAATTTTAGGTGGAGAGTTCGCATATGATTTATCCGTCAAATCATTGGCTTCTGTTGAGTTGAAGTACTCAGTGCGCACGGCAGGATCAAACCTTGACGAGGTCAAGGCCGTTTGAGGCTGATGTGCTGAAGGTGTTTCTGGTGGTTTGGATTGGTGATGGCGTCTGATGACGGCCTTTCTGGTTTTGTCGAAGACCGGCTTAGAGAAAAGTTTGGGCATATTCTCGCGGTCTTCAGTAGTGTCAGATTTTATGGAGCGTGTTTTAAACGTCGGTTCTGGATTTTCATTTTTAATGAGCTGATGCTCAATGGACCGAATACGTTCTGACGCCTCATGATGGCCGTTGTACAGAAAATCTTGGTCGTCAGCTTCATACTTGTTCTCAAAATATCCATCCATCCTATGAAAACCATGGCCTCTCTTTTCAAATCTTTCTGATTGATTTCTTCCAAAGCCATCGATATTCGATTTGAATTTTAATTTAAGTTCGTCAATATCGGCATCATGGGTAATTTGTAACTCGTCCAAGTTATTGTCTGAATCGAGATCGCGCGCGGGAGATTTGGCCACAAATTTGAGTTGACTGCCCACTTCCTGGACATCGTCTGAAAAGCGCCGAGCTATTTTTAGCTTCTGGTTAGAGATATCGTGTTTTGACGGGCTGATGAGCGCGCGAAACGCTTTGATTTTCTCGGTGAAATCAAGCTCACCGGAAGTCTCGCGTTGCTTGTCGTCTGTTCTGTGCTTGAGATTATTTTTATCCAAAAGTCTTTGAATTTGTTTTTTGTGAAAGTCGGCCATGTTGGTGAATCGACCGGTTCAACTAAGAACTAGGTCACGTCTGGAAGTTGTAATCTCATGGTTGTGTCAAAACGTAACCCGTTCCATTTACTCCAACCGTGACGAAAAAGTTGGTTGGATGTTGCAGAAGTCACATTTTATCGTGTGTATAATTAGGCCTATATTTTAAATTTACTGACATAGAAACTCTAGAAAAATATTCTCGATGTTTTAATGTAGCTTTTACTGGTTTTGTAACCACTGTGAAGACGAAGCTCGAAATAGGCTGTGATCTATTTTAGCAATGTCATCAGCTCTGAAATTAGAAAAAAAAAAGCGTTACTGTTAACTTGCCTGCTTTGTAAAAAGTCACGCACATCGCAGCGTTTAATTTAACGCACTCTTTGTAACAAATTGTTTGCCGTGTTTATGATATAAAAATATATTATAACATAAAAATATTATTTTGGAAAAAAATACTATCAACGATAACTAATAAATCAAAAAAATTCTTGCCTTTATTTTGTCACGCTCTTAACTTTATCCGCATTAGCTTATAATTCAGTTAATTGCACCAGTAATAAGTCAATTTTACTAGAAACCCCGACATGTAGGCTACGTTTATTTAAGGAAATACGACTACTATTATATATCCTGATCCTAACATAGAAATCTTATCTATCTGTTATATCTCTAATTCAGTCATCTCCTGTTATATTTAGGCACTTTTCCACAAGACCAATTATTAAATTTCTTAAACCTTACACCGAAGTTACATATTAAGCCTATATCAAAACACACAGCACAGAACCCCACTATATGTCTTTGTATTCTGACCCTAAAAGTTCATTTATCAATACAAACGAACCCATTACCTCATGCTATTTACGTATTCGGACCAAATGATCTCGTACTTCATGTGCACATTTAACGCCGGTACACACTTGTTATATCTGTAAACACCGCCCCACATTACAACATGTCCTGTCTATGTAGGGCCTACTAAATGTGTACTGACATGCCTGTGCAAATACACACTTCCACTGTAGCCGTGCTAGCCACTACACACATGTGCCATGCACGGGGCCATTTATCGTTCAAATCGTCTTTTAATAGACTTACCCTGATTGATATATTTGTTAGATCGCTTTCGAAACAGGTGAACAGGTTATAGAAACGTATCGATCGGTTATCGATTAGCTACATGATCGGAGCTGGTCCCTGCAGTAACCTCTTACACAAGACTTAGCAATTTGTTTTCTCATAAAGTCTATGTTGGGGGGGGGGGGGGGGGTGCGGCACACAAGTTGTCAGTTTAGCGGTGTCGTATAGGCTACCGGTAATGACATAATTAAGGTTGATTGGTCAGAAAAAAAGACAATGGTAAGCTAACACATAACGTAGGCTGCACATACAATGATACGGCTAGCCTATAAGGTAAACACAATGACAGCATGGAAACAATGCTTACGTTAACACGTGATTTAAACGTAGGCCTTTAACTCCTACGACGATTAATTGGGTCTTAATCGGCGCCTCATTTATTCAACAAGCAATAGCTTAGCCCTCCCCCGCACTCCATTCTTGGAGGGACCCGAAACCTATTTTAAAAACCATTTTTTTTTTTTAATTTATTTTTTTTCGACATTTTTTTTTAAAACCGTGGCGTAGGTCGTATTGTCTTTCCATTATATTTATAAACAGGCTTTCTGGTCGGCAGAGATATTTCTTGAAAATGCAAATATTTGGCAATGACATCTGTAGTTATTAATATTTTGAATACACCCCATTGTGAGATTAGCTTAGGGCCTTATCAAATCAAAATCCGGCCCCGGTCACCCGATCTCCTTAGGTAATTAAACTCTTTACATAATCAAAGAAACTGCGAACAATATCAGAAGCCTGCAACCCCTGAATTTATTAGCAATAATTAGAGGTTAATATTGATTAGCAGTACCCTAGTTTGCATAGGCCATTGTTGTTATTGGCAATAACGATCTTTAAAGTTTCAGTTAAGTCTCCACGGTTATTTCTTAGTAGTGTTTATTTTGTGAATAATCCGTCATTGTTTGTGATAGCGAGCTACATATACAGAGATTATGGTATGGCTAACTAGCAAGAATGAACATGTGTTAGTTGGTTCAAGATTTGTTAACATATACCAGTAGCAGAAACTGTGCCAACAAAGAGACATAACTCTGATTTTTTTTTTGTCGATAACATTGTAATGATCCGCGCTTGTTGTTGTAAAGTGTGTTGGTAAGGGATCGCATTCCCCAATTTTAATCGGTTACCTGATCCTCCCCAACACCTCTTAGCTCCCACACACACCCCACACCTGTAAGAGTGTATTGGGTGTTTAGTTAATCTTAAAGCTAGAGCTAAGGCAACACAAACATGAGGTCGAAGGGATCTTTAAAAGAAGAAACACGGCGGCAAATATTGACTGGAACTCTGACTACTGGAGCGTGTCGAGACAGGTAGCCTGCAGTCTCGTGGACCGGTAGCCAGTTGTTGTGTGGGCAGGTAGCCTGTAGGCTCGTGGATCGGTAGCAAGTTGGTGTGTGGGCAGGTAGCCAGTTGTTGTGTGGGCAGGTAGCCAGTTGGTGTGTGGGCAGGTAGCCTGTAGGCTTGTAGGCAGGTAGCCTGTAGGCTGGTGGGTAGGTAGCCTGTAGGCTCGTGGGCAGGTAGCCTGTAAGCTCGTGGACCGGTAGCCAGTTGGTGTGTGGGCAGTTAATATAATAGGCTCATGGGCAGGTAACATTCGGGCTACTAAAAGGAATTACGTCATGTCTGGTGTAAATGTGAATAGCCACGGATAAAGCCTAGATTTCACACATTATATATATATATATATATATATATATATATATATATATATATATATATATATATATATATATATATATATAATGTACATGATGTATACTTACACAAACACACACACACATATATATATATATATATATATATATATATATATATATATATATATATATATATATATATATATATATATATATATATTTATATATGCTTATTATATAAATATGTACATAGGCCTAAACATTGTTACTATTACAAAAATATTCATCCCCTTATCAATAAATACATATACAAAATAAATATATGTATTTACAATTAAATATACATATATTGCCTATATATGTATATATACACATATATGTAATTATATATATATATATATATATATATATATATATATATATATATTGAATAAATATATATATTGAATAAATATATATATATATATATATATATATATATATATATATATATATATATATATATATATATATATATATATATATTGAATAAATAACTTACCGACCCATTTGTTTATTACAGAGCCGAACGATACATCAAAGATTATAAGCAACCTTTTTTAAAAAATGCTTTTATAATACAAATTATCTAGCAGATATTAAAATATACGAACCCGAGTTTTGTTTGAAATATTTTTATACCACACGACATAACATGGTGTCACCTGAAGAGCATTTATTCCCATATGAAACCTGATCAGCAGACGTCACGCAGACGATATCCTGTGACCGTACACATGGCTGGAGGTATGCCCGGGCTAACAATTCTGTTCGGTGCCACTTGAATTCCCCTCTTGTGCCAGTCAAGATCACAAATCCAGCTTGTGATCGATCGATCGATAGATCGATAATAAAGTTATTATCACTTAGGGAGAAATTCCTCGATATAGCACTCGGTCGTTGATAAAAAAAAATGTTTTACATATGCGACAAGGAATGTTGCGTTGTACAACAAACCTATTACTGTACAAGTTATCGCATTCGTCGGATTGTCGTTAAATAAATCGATTTTAAACCAATTGTCGTTAAACCAATGTGTTAAACTAATTATTTTGTTTTGCCTTCTTAAGCCAGTAGCCAGAGATTTGGCGGGAGAAGCAGACACAAAAAAGAGCTTATGTAATTACTAGGGAAAACAAAGGGAATATATTACAATAAGTAGTTGTTCGGTTTAAAAAAAGTATAATAATTAAAAATAAGTAGTCTACTCTCTTTAAAACAACTAGTTTATAAAAATTTGACTGTTTAAAAAAACACAGGTCATGTGATTAATTTCTCGTCTGTTTTCACCTTGACTAATTAATGAAATAGTTAGTCGGTAAGTCAAGTCACCTTTTCGAACACGGCTGTCCATTAGCGAGGGGGCGGCGGGTCAGATGAAGTAGAGTTTACCAGTTTTATTGACCTCGGCATATGCAGGGATAGTTTGGTCTGCAATGTGTCCAGCCGCCTCTCCTTTCCCTAACTTGAGCCAGGTACCCATCAGAGCTGAGAGGACTCAGGGACGTCATACAGTTTCGAGATATTCGGGTTAGTGGCTGTTTGCTCTACCACAAGACCAGGTCGTGCTTTAACTAAATGGTACATGGGTGGAAATATGGTTGTATCGGTTGTGTAATAATGGTTTAATAGTAATGTCAAATGTCATGCTACATCATGTGAATGTCAAATGTCATTTTAAAAAAGAATAAAGTGGATAACAGTATTGTCAAATGTCATGTTACATCATGTGAATGTCAAATGTCATTTAACAAAATAATAAAGTGGATAACAGTCTTGTCAAATGTCATGTTACATAACTTGAATGTTGTTAACAGCACTGTCAAATGTCATGTTAAATCATGTGAATATCAAATGTCATTTAACAAATAATAAAGTGGATTACAGTGTGGTCAAATGTCATGGTACATAACGTCAGTGTGGTTAACAGTAATGTCAAATGTCATGTTACATAACGTGAAGTGCTTAAAAGCAATGTCAAAAGTCATTTTAAATAACGTGAAAGTGGTAAAAAATCATCTCAAATGTCATGATGGTACATAACGTGAAAGTGCGGTGATAAGCTGTCTGGAGAGTTGACAACCCCCACCCCCCCGCCAACCCTGGGCCGGGGACCTACTGGGCGTGTGATTTTAGTCTCTTACTGAGACAATGCTAGATGTCTGTACTGGGGTCAAAGGTGACTTATGGGGGAAACTACACACAAGACTTTCTGTATTACAACAAATCTTTGACAGAATTAAGTCACGTGGCAACTAAATCAAGTCACATGACTTCCTGTATGACAACAAATCTATGACAGAATTAAGTCACGTGGCAACTAAATCAAGTCACATGACTTCCTGTATTACAACAAATCTTTGACAGAATTAAGTCACATGGGCTACTAAATCAAGTCACCAGTGTTTCTTCCAGACTTTTTTCTCCGGGGGGGCACTTGAAATCTTCGGGGGTGCGGTAAACTTCCTTCGGGGGGGGGGGCGGACACTGTTAAAAGTATATATTTTCTATATAAATTATATAAATTTCATTTCGTTCGGGGGGGGGGGCGGTAAAAAAATTTCGGGGGGGGGGGGGGGGGGGGCTTCGCCCCCCCGAAGAGATGCCTGGAAGAAACTCTGCAAGTCACATGACTTTCTGTATTACAACAAATCTATGAAATAATTAAGTCACGTGGCAACTAAATCAAGTCACATGACTTCCTATGTGACAACCAATCTATGACAGTAAATGTCAGAGGTCAGATTCAGAATTTACATTTAGAAAAAGCCAAAGTACAACCAAACGATGAAACGCAGTTCAAAAACTGTAACAATGCCAGATGTCCCGTTACAGTTCTAAGCCATTTATTTTCATAATTAGCAGACAATCAATTTTTTTTTTTGCCGCGTCATAATGAGAAGCGTAAGTCGCACGCTTATAACGCAATTTGTCAAGCTTTCTCGAAAAGCTTTCATAAGACATATGTAAGCAAAGTTACTGACATCTTAAAGAAATGTAACTTGGGCCTTTCATTGGTACTCGTCCTAATACGCTTTAAACCATGATAGTTTTATTTTTTGGAGAATTATAGAAGTGATTTTCGCTGGCTCTACAGCTATCAGTTTATTTATTCAACATAGCTTATTCATTATAATTCATTCAACATAACGTATAAAACAATATTTTAAATTGAAATAACCTTGAAGATATGGAACCTATACAGACTTCAGGTACAGAGGGTAATTCTAGATTTTTTAATTTAAATAGTTGGAGCAACGGTATCTCATCAGATGTTCAGTGTTCGTATGACGAGGTAATGAAGGATTATTCTATATGTAATGCCACCATAGACTTGGATAATGATGACTTGATAGATGAAACTATCGAGGCTTACGATGTGGGAAATGGTGAAATAAACGATGGATTTGTATGTGACGATGTTACAGACATAAATGATGATGATAGAACGGATGAATGTGTAAGTAACGATGAAACCACAAATGAAGAAACCTATAACAATGATGTAACAGCCATATATGATGATGAAACAAGGATTGAAACTAGATGTAACAATGATGCAATAAACAGGGCTAATGATGAAACAAGAAATGAAACCATCTACAACAATGATGCAACTGACATTCACGATGATGAAACAGGATATGAAACCATCTATAACAGTGATGTAACTGGCTTTCATGATGATGAAACAACTGATACAGCTGACTATTATAACGATGTAGCGAGCACAGTCAACGGTAAACTAAACGGGAAATCTATAACTCACCTCAACATCTCGCAGCATCAACCAATGTCAGAAGTTCCCGGCAAGCATAACGGCACTGTGATGGGTACGATGTCATCAGACATTATTTTTACATCATCTTCCGACGTCATATTGACACAGATGACAGTATATTCCCTCACTGAAACATCACCGGTCACGTCAGATACAAAAATGTCACAGGTGACGTCATCTTCTGATGTCGAAGCGTCAAATGTGACGTCATCTACTGATGCCGAAGTATCACACATGACGTCATCTACTGATGTCGAAGCGTCAAATGTGACGTCAGCTACTGATGCCGAAGCGTCACAGTCGCCGTATCGTGACGGCAAGCCAGGCCTCGTCCAGCGTGTATTCTCGTGGCGGTCTGTGATTTTTTTACTGCTGCATCTGTCTTTTATCATCAACACCCTGCCCAGGCTAACCCTACCTATAGCCATCGTCTGTATGGTGGGGCCAGCCCGACAGGACAACGTGACGTCAGGTGACCTTAACGTCACGGGGGGTAGTGATTTTCGTAATACGTCACAAACTTCGGTGAGTCTTAACACAGGTATGGTCGTATGAGGGTGGGGTGGAGGGTTGGGGAGGACATTGGCATTGATAGAGGTAGTCGTGTTTGGATTTTAAAACGTAAATGTCAAGCGGCTGGACTAAAGGGGACTTAAGTCGTGAAGATTAAGCTGTGTTGGAAGCAGTGTTTCTACTAGGCATCTCTTCAGGGACCGAAATAGAATTTATTAAAAATTTTTTTTTTTACCAGTGTCCGCCCTCACCCCCGGAAAAGTTAGTACTTCCCCTCCCCCCCACACCGATAATTGAATATTTAAAGTGACCCCCCCAGGAGAAAAAAGTCTGAAAGAAACACTGGATGGGAGGCGATTCTTTTAAACTGGAGAGCTAGGCTGAGGTTGGCTTGATGAATTTCTTAGCTTACACACAGTTTATAATTTCAAGAGCGATATTTCTACCGACATATGTAACAAAAGAAGTGTTGCTATAACTATGAGGAGTAGAGCGCACGACTACCAACCCACACGTATTGAGTTTTATACATGGGCTCGAATCCGTGGAACATTCATGAGCCAGTGGCGTAGCGAGGTCGGGTGTCACCCGGTGCGGCACTTAATGGTGTCAGCCCCCTAGAGGCTTAGCAACCCTTCCCGGGGACAAACTTTCAAACTTTCGAATTGCACCCCCCCCCCCCTCGAACTTTCGATTTGCACCCCCCCCCTCAAAGTTTTCTCTATGTATTTTACTATTTTTGCCTTGGTGTCACCCCCCTAAATGTGTCACCCGGTGCGGTCCGCACCCCCCCCCCCCCCCCGCCCCTCCCCTCGCTACGCCTCTGTCATGAGCACACCCAGCTCTAATGGGTACCTAACCAGAATCGCTCTTTGTCACTTTACTGTCATCCCCCCCCCCCCCCCAAAAAAAAAACACAAAAAACAAGTTAAATGTAAATTACTTCTAATGCTGAGGTTCGAACCCAGTTAATTAACCCATTGTTTCTGCCCTCTGCCAGAGATCCTACGAGTTCGACTGGGACTCTGACACAGTCGGTCTCAGCCTGTCAGCCATCACCTTCACGGCATGGCTGGCACCTGTCTTCACAGACTTCCTGTCTGCTTACCTGGGAAACAAGGTCACCATGACCTGCATAAGTCTGGCATCGGCCTTGACCACAGTCATCTCCCCTCTGGCCGCAAGGTCCAGCCCGTACTTCCTCATCGCCATCAGGGCCTTGTCTGGACTTGTTATGGTGAGCTGTTGGGTTAGCCGTACCCCCTTATTGTGTAGCCTTACACCTACATATCTAGATACTAATTAAAGTCCAATATATATTTCACTAAAGTCTTAGGAATATTTTTTAAAGCAATAAAGTATTTCTAGATTATTTCTATTACAAACATTTTAGATAACTGTATGAAAAGCTGTATTTGAGAACTGCAAATTACATTCTATGAAGCACATTAAAACAATTTATAATTACTGTTTATGTCCAGTGTCTGAGGAACTTACTTGTTTTTTTAATTAACATTTTGTCTTATAGGGAGGGAATAGCCCCATTGTGTCTGACACGATAGCGTGGTGGACCCCAGAACCGGAGAGGTTAACTGTGACAACTTTAACATACTCAGGTAAATGTAAAAACTTTAACATACTCAGGTAAATGTGACAACTTTAACATACTCAGGTAAATATGACAACTTTAACATACTCAGGTAAATGTGACAACTTTAACATACTCAGGTATATGTGACAACTTTACTTAGGTAAATGTGACAAGTTTAACATACTCAGGTAAATGTGACAAGTTTAACATACTCAGGTAAATGTGACAAGTTTAACATACTCAGGTAAATGTGACAAGTTTAACATACTCAGGTAAATGTGACAACTTTAACATACTCAAGTAAATGTGACAAATTTAACATACTCAGGTAAATGTGACAACTTTAACATACTCAGGTAAATGTGACAAGTTTAACATACTCAGGTAAATGTGACAACTTTAACATACTCAGGTAAATGTGACAACTTTAACATACTCAGGTAAATTTGACACCTTTAACATACGCAGGTAAATGTGACAAGTACATACACAGGTAAATGTGACAAGTTTAACATACTCAGCTAAATGTAACAAATTTAACATACTCCGATAAATGCTACATCTTTAACATTCTAATGTAAAGGTGACAACTTTAACATACACAGGTACATGTTTTTTTTTTACATTTAATGTTGTTTACTAATATTAGTGTGAGTTTTTTTTCGTGTTAATTGTATAACTCATGTAAACAAGACACTCAACAGGTGTGAATGTGGCTGGAATTGTGACATTTTTCATCGCTGGTTTTCTTTGTTCAATCCCACTCGACAACGGCTGGCCGTTCGTATTTTACATTTTTGGTGAGGAATATTATAAGAAATGTATTGAAAGCAGGGGCGTAGCGAGGGGGGGGGGAACATATGTCCCCGGGCGCCGACCTTAGGGGGCGCCAAAATGGGTTGGAAAAGTAAATTGAAAGGTTGAGGGGGGTAGAAATTGAAAGTTTGAGGGGGGTGTGCAAATCGAAATCTTGAGGGGGGGGGGGTGCAAATCGAAGGTTTGATGGGGGGGGGGGGGGGGGTGGTGGTGGAAATTAAAATCTTGAGGGGGGAGGGGATGTGCAAATCGAAAAGTTTGTCCCCGGGCGCCGGGAAGGGTCGCTACGCCTCTGATAGAAAGAACTAAAAATATATGTGCAGCATTTGCATTTATCTGATTAAATTAATTTTAACGTAATTTTCTAGCTTACTAATGAATGTTGATGATATTGATCCCTGTTTTTAGCAAAGTATTTACAATTTATTTACCATTTTTAAATTTCACACAGGGGCCGCAACTGCTATTTATACAATTTTCTGGCATTTCTTGATCGCTCAGAAACCGGAACTCCACTCTTTTGTATCTAAACGAGAAACAGATTACATCATCTCACAACGGCTGGCTAAAGCGAGAACAGGAACAGTAAAGGTGGGTGAGACTCAAATGCTTATTCTTCGCGTTTAAATGTCGTATTGTTCAGGTGAGGTAGAGTATACATGATATTTTTTTTTTTACTGAAACAAGAATATAGGAAATTATTTGGCTAAATTTATCTAATAAAAATAACCACTCGATAACAACTGAGGTTAAATTCTACCGCCAGTTACATTTTTGTATAATGTCTAATCACATTATTTAATCTCACGGTTGAATGAATCTATAATATAAACGGCCAGGTAGTGTGTCAGTCAGTCTGTTAGTCATCGCTATAAGATTCTGGAACCATAATAGGGTCTATTTATGTAACGATTTAAATGTATTGATCGTCGGCAAAGTTTTTACTCTTTTGCATACGTCAACAAAAGAAAGTGAAGAGAATATTAACTACACGCACACTGCTAAAACATCTTACGAATAAATTTCAAAAAATATTTTCGCTTGAATGGTTAGAAAAATGGGTTCATTTTAATAACAGTAGTGTCGAATAAAACAAATCAATTAAATTTTTTTATAATTATGCCAGAGTAGGTAATTTTTTAAAAATTCAACTCGCGCTAAATATTGCTATTTAAGTTATTTTTTTTTCATTCCTACCGCATTGATTATTACATGTTAAGGCTCATAATAAAAAATACTATGTTAAGGTTATTTTTTATTATTTTCTGATTAGTCGGCACAAAACATTCAATGTCACTGTCTCACCACCCAGTTAAACTTTAAAATTTTTTATCATCTTAGTTTCCCTTTGCTACACAGGACACACGGGGAAAGAAAACGCTTTTAACCTTTGCCAGTCTCTAGCAATTTACTGCATAGTTCTCAAGATAGTTCTGCTTCATCCCTTTGTCTTTTCTGCTGTGCGCCTTTAGGCATCCCTTGGCCTTCCCTATTTACTTTTCCTTAAGAAATTCAGTCAAGCACTATTTATTTTTGTGATATTATGCGGACTGATTCTTAAAACTTAGCTCGTCCAGCGTCATCTTCTTTGTTTTTAATTATTTCGGAAACAGTTTCCACTTTTATTTTTCCAAATAATCTACCTACTTTGGAGATGGTCTTGGGCAAGTGGATGCCTTTTATCCTTCGCAGGCAGAAAATTTGTAAAGGTTCCAGTGATCTGTTGGTAGCGGTTTATACTTTCCAGCATTCGTTGACATACAGAAGGATGCTTAGTATATTACTTTTAAAAGCCTGCACTTGATCTTTGATGAGATTTGCTTCGACCTTCATATTTTTTGCATCGTTTCTTTTGTTTTATAAATGCGAATTTTAATTTCAGTCTCCTTCTTAATTGATATCTTTAGCAAAATATACTTACAAACATTAGTATATCAACGCTAATTAAAAAGTCACCTATTACGCCGTTGACTCAATGCAGTTTATTTTTATCCATGCAGTCAGTCAAGCGTGAACGACCGCCTTACAAGAAAGTGTTCACGTCGGTTCCAGTCCTTGCCTTCATCATCGTGGCCAGCATCCACTACATGAACATCATCGTCTTCTTCACCTACATCCCCGTCTACTTCTCTAAGGTGCTGGGCTTTGATGCCGAGACCGTGAGTACACGTGTCTTCTGTATCTTAGATAAACTCACAACTCGGTATTTATGGTGGGGAATAGGTTTAGACAGTGGCGTATTAAGGTCGGGTGTCACCCGGTGCGACACTAAATGGTGTCACCCCCCAAAGGCGTAGCGACCCTTTCTTCCCTCGCCCGGGGACACACTTTCAATTTTCGACTTGCACCCCCCTCAAACTTTCGATTTGCACCCCCCTCCCCGTTAAACTTCGGTTTGCACCCCCCTCCTCCAACCTTGTCGGGATTTGTCAAATTTGCTCTTAAAAAATTTTTTTACACTGGTATTAATCACTTAATTAAGTGGAATTATCATTTCTCTTTATATATTTAGCTATTTTTTGCCTTGGTGTCACCCCCCTAAATGGTGTCACCCGGTGAGGTCCGCCCCCCCCCGCCCCACCCCTCTCGCTACGCCACTGGGTTTAGATTGATAGATTTCCTCTCCTTTTAAATATTAAATTCAATAAATAGGTGATGCAAAGCTATTCGTTGTCTAGTTTGAGAAATTTTATTTAAAAAAAAAATGGAACTGATTTATGGGGATACTATTTTAGCAGGAAACACACTTTTACTTGGCTATTTCCACATTCTGATAAAAAGTGGGTTTAATTGTCACTCAGTCCAACAGTTTAGTACACACCTAACCTACCACCAATGCCTGTGCTACATATGTTTGATATTGCTACACACAGACAGGTGTTCTGGTTTCCGTCATGTCAACGTGTCGTCTGGTCGGAGCGCTCGTCTGGACAGCGGTCATCAATAAACTCATGTCACGTGATGGTATGACCAGAAATAAATGCAGGAAATGTGTAGCAGGTGCAGGTGAGTGACCTACATCCGTCATATGTTGATACAACAGGTGAGTGACCTACATCCGTCATATGTTGGTACAACAGGTGAGTGACCTACATCCGTCATATTTTGCTACAACAGGTGAGTGACCTACATCCGTCATATGTTGGTACTACAGGTGAGTGACCTACATCCGTCATATGTTACTACAACAGGTGAGTGACCTACATCCGTGATATGTTGGTACAACAGGTGAGTGACCTACATCCGTCATATGTTACTACAACAGGTGAGTGACCTACATCCGTGATATGTTGGTACAACAGGTGAGTGACCTACATCCGTCATATTTTGCTACAACAGGTGAGTGACCTACATCCGTCATATGTTGGTACTACAGGTGAGTGACCTACATCCGTCATATGTTACTACAACAGGTGAGTGACCTACATCCGTGATATGTTGGTACTACAGGTGAGTGACCTACATTCGTCATATGTTGATACAACAGGAAATGTATAGCGTGTGCAGGTGCATGAACTGAATTCCACATATGTTGATACACCAAGAAATATAGAGCGTATTTAGGTCTAAATATACTGGTCTTAACAAAGTTTTAAAAAAACATCAACCATAATAAAAAAAAATTAATTTATATAATTTTCACTCTGCTGAGTGATATATCCGACTTTTAAAATAATCTCTTAATTTACTATAATCCGAATTATTTTAATTCCTTCTACTATAAATTTGAAAACACTATTTCTTATGCTGCATATAAAAATGTATTGATAAAATAGAAAAGGTACAAAAGTACAACTACCCCTTTGGACCTGATGGTCAATTGAACAGATGAAGTAGAGTTCATCTATTCACACGACCACAATCTATGAAGTGCTGATTTGTCAGTACTATTCCCAGCCTCAGCTACTATCCCTAATGTGAGCCAGGTACCCATAATAGCTGAGTGAACACAGGGACTTTCTACGGGCGCGAGTCCGAGACCAGAACTGGAGACTTTCGAGTTATCCATTGAGCGCTCTACCACCTGGCCTCGTCGTTGTATCGATACACAAGAGTCCCACAGAAATGTAACACGTACACTAAATGTTGAAAGGGGCATTACAAGATGGCACCAGTGTTGATAGGGCTCATCCATAAATGACGTCACGTTTTTTTGACGATTTTTACCTCCCCCCTCCCCTCCGTCACACGTCGTCACAAAAAGCCAGACCCCCCTAAAATGATGTCACACCTCAGCCTACAACCCCCTCAAAATTGCAGTAGAATTTTTTTCAAAACATCGATATTTTTCTAAAATCTTGTCTGAACTCTGTCAAAATAGAGTATTTTAATCAATTCCTATTAATGTATTAAAACAGTTTTCTAAAACGCGAAATAACGTCTAAAATTCGTTTTCTAACATTGCCTGTTTATAATGCAAAAGTGTGACGTCGCACCATCTGAAACTCCCCCCTCCCCCTCATCACACACCGTCACAAAATTACGGACCACACCTCGAGTGCGACGTCATTTCTGGACGACCCCATAGTGAAAAAAATGACATCCTTATTTTTGTACTGACTGCCTCGTCTCTTGCAGGTGTTCTATTGGGCACCAGCGCGCTGGTGTGTGTGGCTGTCTTCCAGACCACCAATAGATGGCTGACAGTGGTGCTGCTGATTGTCACCATGGTGGGACAGTGTTTCGCGGCTGTCATCATCCCCGCCCTCCCCCTAGATATGGCTCCCAGGTACCTACCGTAGAAACTGTAATGTTGTTGTTATGAGTTCTTATCATGGGTGTGCAATAGGCCTACTCCAAACTTAGGTCTTGAAATACAAACAATAGTATCAAAAGAAGTAGGAAAAGGCTGGAAGGATCAAAATAAACCACACACAACAAATGTTACACACACTTTGTGATCTAACCTATGTGTCTTCTACTTGCAGGTATTCAGGTTTTATTACAGGTGTAGCGACCTCAATCGCAGGGTTGGCGTCTATCCCAGGACCCCTCATAGTGGCACAACTCACCCCCACGGTAAGTTCTAGTGTATTCTAAACATTTGGTAATATAATTTATGTAACTCTTAGTCTCTTAGTCGCAGTTTCTAGAGGCTTCTGTGTCGTAGACTGCTTGTGTTTTCATAATTAAAAAAAAAGAATTTAGTTTAATCTTTCTTACTGTCTTCAAGAGCAATGGGCTCGTAAATTATGAAGCTGGAGTAGAGTTCATGTGTTTCTGTGATCATGGTGTATGAGAGAAGAGTGTGGTTAGTTCAAAACTGACTAATTTAAGCAAGGTACCAATCAGAGCTGAGTGGACTCAAGGATGTACCGATTATTTAACTAGAACCGATAGTAAAACTCGGCTTAGTCCACTCATACATACTTTGGTTATCCTACTATTAAAGTTGTGATAATTGAAAAAAATCTGCAAAAATTTTATTTTACCTTTAAACCCAGAACTCTCCAGAAGAATGGAGGACTGTATGGCTGACCATGTCGGCACTATTTGCCAGCGGCTGCATCATCTTCATCCTACTTGCACAGGCGACACTCCAACCGTGGGCCAACGACGAACCCAAACAAAAAAGTAGTCCCCATATCTTTGCGCCGCTCGCTTCAATGGGCCGGCGGCTCTCTGCTTTCATTGGTGCCCCTCCGCGCGTGCTTGCTATGATTGGACAGGACGTTGGCCCAGCACAAGGGGTAGACAGACAGGATGCACGAGCTTCATCCAACCAAAAAGGCGTCAACCTATAAAAGTTATTTTTAACTCAACTCGCGTGAACAACACTCGCTAGCAAGGGATACAACTAATGAACAATACTATATTTGAGTTACCTCTCTTTGATTAGCCGTACTCCAATTTAAGATTATAAAAATACTTAGACCAAAATCCTTTCTTTGTTGACACCATTCATTATCCCCACAAATCCACAACACACAATTAACACACCCTCCTCTAAAATATCCAAGCCCACCTGAAGCCCACGCCCCTCTAAATTCAAAAGTTACAAGCCCAAGTTTTATATCAAACCGATTGAAACCCTCTTCAGAAACCCTCAAAGCGTGAAACACATGAGACAAAGAGGTCAAACATTGTAAATGAAACATGCGTAGTAGTTACCAAGCAAGCTGATTGTAAAACTAATCAATTATTAGTTTAATCAAGTATAGAAGTAATCAATTAGACCTGGCTCAAAACATCCGATACTTTGTCAAAGAAAACACCAATAAATTTGATACTTACGCAACTTCTTCTCATTTTGTTTTTTCGCTGTTTGAAAAAATAGACAAAATAAAGTATTAAAAAATAACATTTTTAATGAGAAAATGTACACCTTTGCTAGATAGTTAGTCAGATAATCGAAAAAACAAGAGATGCTTCTATTTATGTGTACAGGAGATACTTTTTTTTATATATACAAGATATGATTTTTTACTGAGATTTACCTATAGAATTATGTATTCACAAATTAGTTATGTGGTAATGTTTGAAAACATTTCCAAATATAAACAAGTACATGAACATATTTAAATGTGTGTGGGTGTGTGCGTTAGTCTGTTATATAATTCAAATTTACAAAAGTTTTAATTACAAGAACAAAAAAGGTAAACAATGATTTGTCGATCAAATGAAGGTAATCAAGATTAAAGAAAGACAAAAATGGAATTTTTACTAGTTTAGTCTTAAACGTTTGTACAGTTTGTTTGGGAATTTGTTACAATGCGTACAGCGTCAGAGATTAATTGAAAGTATTAACAACAAGTAATAAATACAATTTTGTATAACATGAATAAGAGCAGGCTATGGATAGCTCAGCTTACACATGAGAATACAATCAAGGTTGAAATTCATGTGAACAAGTAGGATAACAGCTATAGGGTAGTGATGAAATGAGTTGATGGATGATCTTCTAACTACGATGGAACAAGCTCTATTTTTGTAGAGCTGATTGGCAGAAGTGGTTACACGTCTGACTTAAGGCATGGAAGGCGAGGCGATTTGGTGCCGTGTGGAATGGTAGGTTCTGATTCCCCTTTGGGTTCTGATTCCCCTTTGGGTTCTGTCTGTTCTGTCTTTACTTGGACTATATTCTGTACCTTTGTCTGCCCTTGGCGTTGAAATATCACTTTATGTTTATATTGCTATTTTGGTTGATCTTCTAACTACGATGGAACAAAAGTTTTTGATGAAATGAATTCATGGTTGATCTTCTAACTACGATGGAACAAAAGTTTTTGATGAAATGAATTCATGGTTGATCTTCTAACTACGATGTAACAAAAGTAAGTTTTGGTGGAATAAAGGATGAATCTACTTGTAGAGCTAATGTAATAAGACGAATGATTAGATGTGGTAAGAAACCACCTAAATTCAATAAAAACACATGCTTACACCATACTGGAAACAAATTATCGTATTCACAGACATACACACACGCAGACATTCGGACAAAATTGGAAAACTATGTTTTTCCGACTAAGGGAGGTGTAAAACGTCGAGATTTATGAAAATCTCGATTTCAATTTTTTGCACGATTACAATACATCCTCTATACTTTGTATACGAGAAAGTAAAAAGGAAAATAATTCGCATAAAAAGGCAACATAAAGGCTTTGTGATTTTATAAAAATGTTCAATGACCTTATAATAAGAAACTGACAGATAAATGGACTTCAGATTATGACATCACCAAGGTGAGTTCAAAGTTAACGAAGATTAGTGTGACGTTGTCTTCTGATGCCGAAAACAGTGCAACTGTTGTCATCTATTGGTTCTAAAATGTGTCTTTTGTCAGAAAGTCTCAGATACATGAAATGATAGTGCCATTACTATTCCCAGCCGCCTGTAATGTTACAAGCGTGAGTCAGGTACCCATCAGAGCTGAGTGGACTGAGTCCTGCAGATATAATCGGGACCAATATCCGAACTCGAGACTTTCGGTTCAGCAGTCGAACGCTCTACGCCTCGACCACACCTTCCAACCGACGTAATGAGTACTCAAACTAAAAAATTCCAAATTCATCGAAATGAAACAGTTAAAAATAAGATTTGCGTTTTATGTTCCTTACATTTGACCATTGTGTTTTGATATGTACAGCCTAGTTAATGTATATGTATATTGTACTTTGACCACAGCAAGAAATGCGATGTTCGTGAGATATGCCTTGTAGAGGGAGGGGCGCCTCCCTGGTAAGGCGTTAACTAGTACAAGGGGAGGCGCCAAAACTTTAACGTAAAATATACAGACATATACAGTGCCGCAGCGAGGTCGGGTGTCACCTGGTGCGGCACCTAATGGTGTCACCCCCCAGAGGCGTAGCGACCCTTCTCGGGCACAAACTTTCAATTTTCGATTTGCACCTCCCCCCCCCCCTCAAATTTTCGATTTGCACCTCTTAAAAGACTATTTAACACTCGAATTAATCGCTTAATTAAGTGGAATTATCATTTTTCTCTATATATTTTGCTATTTTTTTTGCCTTGGTGTTACCCCCTAAATGCTGTCCGCACCCCCGCTCCCCCCCTCGCTACGTCACTGGACATATATATATATATATATATATATATATATATATATATATATATATATATATATATATATATATATATATATATATATATGTCTGCAATATTAATAACACATTTGAAATCGTATTTGTGGTGGGAGTGCGCATTGCTGATAACCGAGCAAAGTCCAGAGTTCGGACCTCCGCGAGGCTTGTTTGCTACGCACGGCAACCCAACTAGGAGAGAAAACTCCGATATTAAACAGGAGTGGGGTCCCTTAGGTGAAATGATTACTAAATATGTTTGTTTAGGTTCGCCTGCGACACAAACGATGCACAATTGCTTGCGTAACGATTCTCCGTTGGGCCCAAAGGAGAGTGTAAGGAGAGTGGTCAACTTGCTGTCCAGGCCTTCCCCAACGATTACCAAACCGCACTAATCGCATCGTCTATAAGACAAAATATTTATTTATTTATTTATTTATTATTATTATTATTATTATTATTATTATTATTATTATTATTATTATTATTATTATTATTATTATTATTAGTGTTAGTGTTAGTGTTAGAGTTAGTGTTAGTGTTAGTGTTAGTGTTAGTGTTAGTGTTAGTGTTAGTGTTAGTGTTAGTGTTTGTTAGTGTTTGTTAGTGTTTGTTAGTGTTATTATTATTATTATTATTATTATTATTATTAAATCACTATTTTTGTACATTCCGACACACTACAGTTAAAATTATTAAATGGTATTAGTTACTTCCCATACATAAAATTAAAAAACACAGGGGAAAAAAACCTATACACGTTTGCCAAACACTTTCAGCATAAGTAGATTATTAACAACAACAAAAGGTAAAATGCAAATTATTATTAGTATATTGCTAACATAATAATACTAAAATGCGTATTTATATACATCATATATTATCTTTATATTTCATAAATTACTTGATAATCATTGGCTTAAAAAAACAACAAATAAACCAATTTTTAGAAGCTTTATGTTAAACCAATTTTTTACCTGACTTACTAACTTCAAATGGCTAATGGCTATAGTTTAATAAGCAAATTATTGTTGTCTTGAGCTTCAGAAAAACGAAATCAATTTAACCAGTGAGATTCTATTCTCCGAAAGATCCCTCAAGTATCTAACAAAGAAATATTTAAAGAAACACAATCTGAGAGATTGGTTGCGTGTGGTAGCTTCCTCAAAAGAGGCCTTTGAACTGAGATATTTCCAGATTAATCAAGATGATGAAGAGGAGGAGGAAGATTAAAGTCATTTGTAATGAATTGAGTAATAAATAGTATCAGTCAAAAAAAAATACAAAAAAAAAAACTCAAAAAAAAAACCACCATTTATCATTTGTGATTCAGTTTCCTATTGTTGCTTTTTGTGTATTGTTTCATTTATACAGCTTACAAACATTGTAAAGCTATCATTTGTTTCTATTTTAAATTAAAAAAAAATACAGAAACACACGAACTCACACGCTGTATGTAGAGCATCAGAGCGTTCAGGTCACGCAACATTGCTCCTGATGTGTGGGCCACCGCACCCAACCAATCCCCACCCCCTTTCAACCCATGCCGCTATGACCCCGCCCACCCCAGCGATACAGCGCAACATTCTGACATAATGAAACATTTTTTTTGTAAATTTTATTATTGTATTAATTTTTTATGATGTCAGTCAGGACAAGTTCATTTATTTTATACATTTGTTGTTTACACATGTATCACTTTTTTTTTTAAAAAGCGAGGCATTTGAGATGTACATTACTAAGCAGAATACCATTTAAAATTTATTATGTGAGTATAGGGGATTCTTTCCCTTTTTTTTGGAAGTGATCAAAAAGTTAAACTGTAATCTGGAAATGTTGTTATATTTTGTCATTTGTTATATTTAACCGCTTATAATTGTTCCCCTTTTGGTTATTCTTTCGATTTGAACATATCAATTTAACTCCAACATATAATTTGCCATTATGTAAAGTATTATCAACCTACCAGTGTAAAATATGTTGTAATTTGTTTTATGGTAAATAAAAGTTTAAAAAAAAATTATTGTTGTCTTATTAGTTTTAGCAGAGTATTACTTTTTCATACTGTTAGGGATCATTTCTAAAGTTGGTCTTGCCGGGACGTTGAGCAAATGCACCGAGTCCTCATCTCCATGCACTAGAAATGGACTATGCAACTATCACGAAAGTCATCAATGGGGTTGCGCCCATTTTTGTTCCCTCTAGGTCGAGAGATCCGGAGAGGAGCCACCCGGACTACGGTTCGGGTGGCTTAATGAAAACTTGGGCCCAATCCCTTTCAGATATCAAGACAACAATCACAATAGACCAGTCTGATGAAATAGCTCCTGAGCTCTTCGACTCGCCTACAGTAATTCAAGTCACCATCCAATCAACCAACCACCAGAACATCCCTGGTCACCTCTTGCGCAATATCATTAGCCCACACCAGATCCTGCTGCTCAACTATGGACGAGGGGATACCTGGTACTTCTCGTCCAACGAGTTTGATGTAGCGGATCTGGACGGCACCACAAAAACACACGACCCATACACTTTGAAATTCGACAGATACCACAAGGACAAAATCATCGGAACCCTTAGATGGGTCCCGCCAGCCCTGAGCAACGAAACACTGATTAAGGCTCTGCAAACAGTCAGCAAATCTACACCTACAATAACCACAATCCCGCACACAAACAATCGCAGATTCACCATCCAGAACGACAATCCACAACACATCCCACACTACATCCAAATTACATACAAAGACACAACACGTAATATCCTCATCGCACTGCCAGGAAGACGCCAAGTCTGTCAGGTGTGCGGCTCGGACAGACACTGGACCAACCACTGCCAATCATCAACACCAGAGTCAACACCCAATGTTCACCTGTCAACAATACAGGAACCAACTCAACAACCATCCTCACAGACAATTTTAACAGAACCACCTAGAGCACCACCCACACCGCAGCAAACATTGGTAACCCCTAACCCAGGGGTCGGCAACCTGCGGCTCGCGAGCCACATGCGGCTCTTTTGATGTCAAGATGCAGCTCTCCAGCTCCTTGCACAAATACTAATAATCTTAATAAAAAAATAAAATATTTGAAATAAAAAAATGTTAGTGGCTCTTTAAAACCAGGGACATTTTGAAAATTGTAACTTTTGGCTCGTCCGCTTCAAAAGGTTGCCGACCCCTGCCCTAACCTGTCGCATCAAAAAGCGATCCCAAGTACGGCTTACCCGAAGTCACCAACTACATCAACAAAAATAAAAAACACTGGAGAAACACAAAGCCCAGATTCAGAAATAGATAACACCACGTCAATGAAAAGAAAAAATGAAATCAGCCCCACAGAACAAGGAAAATTAACAAAAAAACTCGCGAAACAAATCTTCGATCGCCTGACAAACACCTTAGAAACCCAGCCGCAACAAGAAACTACCACTGAACCAATTCAAATTCCCAAACCTGTAACTCCTGGAAAAGACAAGAGCTGCGGTTATTGCTTTCACAGTTTCAGTACTGGCAGTGAGTGTAAAACACATACAAAAACTTCCCATCCTGATACGAGTAAATGCCCGCATTGCAACAATCTGATCAAAAGCAGAGGAGCAATAAAGCACCACGTACTAAAACACCCTGACACCGCTGTCTTCCAGTGTGGATACTGCCTAACAAGTCTATACACCAAATACGACATAGAAAAACACCTCAACGACCAGCACCCCGACAACGACCCCTGCCACAATCAAATATTCTACATCCTTAACCCAGACAGATCCATTTCTTACATATATGCAGACGACAGAACATAAACAGCGAGAAGGACAACTCTTCAAATATGAAACGCTGTACTCACCACTTAAACAAGTTTTGTCAATCCCTCCTCATCCGGATTCCAACACTATCATTTTACTTTAACCCCTTTTACTGATTATCCCTTAAAATTTTGTATAACAACATATATAAAACAAATATGATAAACATGTACATGCTTATTATTAATACGCTCATCCGGACAAAATGGTTTCATTAGATGATAAAATTTAGTAAAAAAGGTGTATACATTTGTAAATTCATCTTGATATGTTTTTTTTAAGAACATTTAGAAAAATGTAAAATATGCTGATGTTGTTGCACTTGTTTTAAATTGCAAATAAAAGTAAAAAAAAAAAAAAAAAAAAAAAAAAAAAAAAAAAAAAAAAAAAAAAAAAAAAAAAAAAAAAAAAAAACAAAAAAAAAAAAACGTTGAGTTGAGCAAAATTGAACGGCACGAAAACCATGATGACGAGATTCAGTCACTTCCTCTGAGCGAAAGAAAAAAAAAGAAAAAAGAAAAAAAAATTATTGTTAGCTGTGACGGAGTGGTCTAGCTGTAGAAAGCTGGACTACTAACCCGAAAGTCTTGAGTTCGAATCCGGGTTCAAGTCAGCAGACGTTAGGGAAAGTAAAGGCGGCTGAGCCTAGTGCTGAGAGGTCACAGAAACATTTCAAGAGCTTCCCCCCCCCCCCCCCCCCCCCCGGAGAAAAAGTCTGGAAGAAACATTGGTCGAGATGTGTAGGGCTAGGCAACAGTTGATAATAAGTAAAAGAACGGACAGATAGGTAGATCTAGGAAATGGTAGACAGTAGTAGTAGAGAGTATAGAATAGGCTAGTTGGGTAGGGAATTCATTTGATTGTTTAATAAAGGACATTAATCTTTTGGATCGGACTTGTGTGTGTTAATTCCAAACTATAACCAGGCTGGTATTATCTTCATCATCCCCACTCACACATCTGGGTGGTTGTTGTTTATCCCCCCTTCACAACCCCCATACCATGTAATCATCATAACTGCATTACCTGGTCCCCAGGCCCCCACCCCTGTGTTGAAATACTATAATAAAAAATAAAAATAATAATTCCTGACACCCATCCCCTATACCCCTATGACAGGGGTCGGCCCTAAATCGAATCAGCCGCGTCCTCCGGCGTCTCTGCAAGGTGCGATTTGGCGCCCAGTGCTATCCCACGAGTACTACGCGCATACGTTAGTTTTATGGAGCACCCTACAATATTGATAATAAGGCACACGACTTTCGAAGATTAAACCGAGTTAGGGGCTCTACCTAATGCCACTGCGATAGTGTAATCTGTTCACGAGAGCGCCACTTTCCGTCCTCGACACTTATGCGTTGAGTTAGTAACAGTGAAGCACAGGTATTGTTTACATTTAAATAACTCAGTTTTAGAAAACAAGGAAGTAGGCTTCATTGAAATTGGAAGTAACTAAATATTCTAATAAAATAACGAGTGTTTATTGTTTATAATTTATATTTATTATCATATCGTTCATACCGAGTGTTGCAGACTAATATTTTTTATTAGTTTCAAGTATACTATTATCGTCCTTAACGACCTAGTGTTTTAAAGAAATATTTTCAGTGGCAGCATTGGTACTGTCGAATTCACAAATTATGAATTACTGAAAAGTAGAAAATAAAACAACTAAAGAGCGGCGTATGATACGCCGCGGGCCGGCTCGTTATTATTATTTGTACATGGAGCTGAAGAGCCTCACCTCGACATCAAAAGAGCCGCATGCGGCTCGCGAGCCGCAGGTTTCAGACCCCTGCCCTATGATCTTTTCCCTGCTCCTATGATCTCATTACGACTCCACCCACCTTACCACTAGCGTCGAACTGTTTTTTCTCCTCAAATGTAGCCATATATTCTCTGCTGTCAATGTATTATCTTAAATTATTTACTCCAACCCAACACGGCTTTTGTAAACTTGAGATGAACTTAGACGTCCAGACTTTGTACTCCACATACACTTCGCTTGCTTCACGTCTGCCCACCCCTACCCCATACTCAGCAACCACACAACCTATAAACATTGTTAAGACATAAATTATTGAACCAGAACCCTCACATATCCCCACCCCCCATTTCAATGTTTTTGACCCCATAACCCATCCTCTCACTCAACTCTGAATTTATCACTAGCACACACTTATGTTTATTACCTCCCTGTGTACACATTCTATATAAATGTTGTTAAAGATGGTCTAAACAGCATGTCTATTTATTTTTTATATGTATAAATTTGTAAACCCATCTTCAATCTTTTTTAACATGTACTATTATAACTTTTGTAAAATACTTAGGTTTCATTACATGTTTGAAATAATGTAAAATATGTTTATGCTGTTATACTAGTTTTGAATTGCAAATAAAAGTATTTTTAAAAAGTATTTTAAAAATTCCATTTAAAAAGTGGTGCCTTATTATACATTTAAAGAAAATCGTTTACTTTCTCATTTTTAGTGCATAACTAGACCACCAATAATCTGTTGGATAAATGTGGAAATAGGGGTCTAACGCTTGTTAGACGATTTTTATCTTCCCCTCCTTCTCCCCAACTGTCATACATCGTCACAAAATGCCAGACCTCCCCCCCACCCCTGTCTAAAAAAAACGTCGTACCCCAGCCAACATGCACCGATTTTGGCTGAGCACTGTGCTGACCACGCCATCCCTTCAAATGCCGAGGTCACAAAAACAGGTGAACTCTTCTTCACCTGCCCCTTGTCCTGCCAGGCAACTTTATCATACACATCTATAAACAAGGAAACCATTAACACTGACATGATGTGTTTGGAGGTCAAGTATCAAGGCTTCGACCTCCCTACCCCATCGCTATTTCACCCACCACTGTGTAAAAAATCCAGTAAAGTAACTAAAATCATTGAAATAAACGACCAACATTGATTTGATAACACACATATTTAAGTCCAATTCCCACCCCACTCATTTTTTCCTTAAAAAAGCCCAATCTCAGGAGCTATATCACTGATATATCAAAAACATGAACCAAAAGTAGGTTAATCAGTAATGCGTTGATGCCGTCAAAAATGGTGAACAAATTAATTAGAGTTTCTAAGACTGTGAATTCTATATATTGTATGCGTAGCATTTCTGCACGTTATTTTAAGCCCGTTTGTTAATGTTGATTTCGAATAAACTGAATTATTGTCATTTTCATGGGGAGTATTTTTTTACACCAACAAGTAGTATTTATATATATGTATATGTATTTACATACATATGTATATATATATATATATATATATATATATATATATATATATATATATATATATATACATACACTTTTTATTGAATGTAAATTAGTTTTATTGATATTTAAATTTAGTTTTATTTATATTTAATTATTTTATTATTTGTACCTAGTTTAAGTTATTAGCCTTTAGATAGGTTTACACGATTTTACAGTGAATCATGCTTCTTAAGGCATGTCGTAACATTCAGTAGTAAACGACTGACCGACACACTAATTATCATTAATTAGGGGATGTTAGAATGTGTCACAGAATTGGTATAGTTAATTTTTGCGAGTCTTTAATGATTAAGATCGATTTATTCCGTGTTTATTTATACATCAGGGTTTAAAAGTGGGGTTTAAACCTGACGTAACATGTGAATAGTGGGGTTCAAACCTCAGTTACATGTAAATAAAAGGGTTCAAACTTGACGTATCGTGCGAGTGGATGCCACGATGTGGTAGAGTGGTAGAACCAGAAGGTATGGTGCTTGGATCTCGGTTCAGACTCTTCTCTGCAGAACCCAACTCTGATTTGTACCTTACTCACGTTAGGGAATGTACAGGCGGCTGGGCATAGTACTCACTACATCGAGCTCACATAAAACATAAGGACTCTACTTCATCTGCCCTATGGATCGTTTAGGTCTGAATCGGGAAATGTACTTAACATGCGAGTCTATTTTTGTTTAGTTTTTTTTTCTAATTATTTTGTTCTAATTAGTGTGTTCTAGTTAGTTTGCTCTAATTAAAAGTTGTAACAATACTCCTGATCAATAAACGGCCTTGACCTATAACCTTGCTGGTCGGGGCGTGTTGCGTGTAAAAGTACATTAGGAGGGAGCGTGCGTGTCATCAGTTTAACACATGTTAGCTATGCCTGACTCTACACACTACTTTGGTTAAGGTGTTTTCAAGTATTTGTGTACGGTGTTTTCAAGTATTTGTGTACGGTGTTTTCAAGTATTTGTGTACGGTGTTTTCAAGTTATTAATGTAGGCCATTATTGAAGTACTTCAGGTTATTTATTTTGGACATTTTCAATTTTTCAAAGGATGAAGGATGACATTTTAAAAGTATTTCAGATTATTTATTTAGGACATTTTCAATTTTTTAAAGGATGACATTTTAAAAGTATTTCAGGTTATTTATTTAGGACATTTTCCAGTTATTACTGTAGAACATTTTTTAAGTATTTCAGGTATTTATTTATTTAGGACATTTTCCAGTTATTACTGTAGAACATTTTTTAAAGTATTTCAGGTTATTTATTTAGGACATATTCAATTTTTAAAGGATGACATTTTTTAAAGTATTTCAGGTTATTTATTTAGGACATTGTCCAGTTATTAATGTAGGACATATTCAAATAATTTATGTAGGATACTTACAAGTTGTATAGTTGTATGTATTTTCAAGTTATGTATGTTGAAAATAGTATTTAAAAATATGTATAGAATAGTTTTATTTAGGACATTATCACATTACTAATGTAGTATATTTTGAAATTATTTATTTAGGATATTTTCACGCTAATTGTTTATGAGATTTCAAATTATTCATGCGTTGTACTTTTAATTATTTATGTAGTACTTGTAAATGTATGAATGTACAACCTGTCGAACCTTTTCTGTTGGGCAAAGTTGACCAGAATTGGTACAAAGCGTGACGTATAAATTTTAAACATCTACAAGCATACATTAGTATCCCCTCCCTCTACATGTAAAAAGTGAATACAAGTTATGAATATTCAGGACTGTCCGAATTTTTTGATTATTTGTAATTTAATATTTTAAACAGCTATGTTCTTTGTTTTCTGAATAAAAGGATAGTTTAGTCAGTTTTATGCCCAGCCGCCTTTATTTTCCCAAACGTGAGTCAGGTACCCATTAGTGCTGGGTGAACTCAAGGATAGCGTACGCATTCGATCCTCGGAATCGAACTTAAGACAGGTTTGCATTCCAGATTTACATGCAATTACCTTATTATATTTTCTGCTGATGTCTATATGTGTGATTTGTCAACAAAAAAAAAAAAAAAAAAAAAAAAAAAAAAAAAAAAAACCGATTTGACTAAATCTCCCTCCACGCACAGAAGATGATGACGCCGCCCCTGATGTTACTCACGCTGGTCTGCACATGTATCCCCACGTCTGCACAGCGCCAAGTGAGCAGTGTCGTACCCACCAAGCTGGGGTCAGTTCAAGGTCAGCTGGAGCAGGTTCGAACACAGCGAGGACAGGTGGTCGAGGTGGATGTGTTCTGGTCCATACCGTACGCCGCCCCGCCCGTGGGTGAGCTGAGGTTCAAACGCCCCGTGGCTGCGGCGCCCTGGGACGGGGTGCTAGATGTCTCCAGGATGCCGGAGTCTTGTTATCAGGTTTGGGAATCAATTACAAGACCACTCTACACTATATAAACACTTACTAGATGCTATACAATCTTATCATTTTCACAATCAGAAGGCGCTTTGGTGTAACGTCTTTCCAAAGTTAGAAAAATAAAACTTGCATTTTAAAGTACCGCAATACTGTTTGTGAATACATTATCAATATCGCAATTAAAAAAAAATAAAGCAGAATAACTCTGGGCTTAGATTATAAGAATTTTTTTTTATCCTCATGTTATTGATTAGTTTTTTGTTGGTTATCTGCAGTGTTTCTTCCAGACTTTTTTCTCCGGGGGGCACTTGAAATCTTGAAATTTTCGGGGGGGGGGGGGTAGACTTTCTTCGGGAGGGGGCAGACACTGTTAAAAGTATATTTTTTCTATATAAATGATATAAATTTCATTTCGTTCAGGGGGGCAGTAGAATTTTTTTCCCGGGGGGGGGGGGGGGGGAGAGAAGCGAAGAGATGCCTGGAAGAAACTCTGTTTATCTGGCGATATCAACCTAATATCTAAACGCCTTGGTTGTGTTTTCTTTGGTTTTGAAACAAGATAATTTATTTCCACCTAATTTTATGTAGTGATAGAGGTTTTCTTTCGAATTGTACATTATCATAAAATGACAATATATATATATATATATATATATATACATTTTATTTTAGCTTAACTTGTCTATTTAACAGATTTGATATTTCTGTTTTGTGAAGGTGTATGAAAACATATTTTCTAGGTGTACACTAAAGATCCCATCTACGCCCCGAACCCCTCCACAAATGCTAGCGAAGACTGCCTGTACCTGTCCATCTGGCGACCCAGGTGTCACCCCCGGGCTGACCCTGACACGGCAGGCACCAGAGAGCCCGGGGAGGAGCTGGCCACCATGGTGTGGATCCACGGGGGCGGGTACATGACCGGGTCGGTCACCACTTCATGGTACAACGGTGCCGTGCTAGCAGCGACTGAGTGCGTCATAGTCGCTGCCATGAACTACAGGTAGAGCCAGGGGTGGGGCAGGGGGTAGTGGGGTAGAGCCGGTACAGGGGTGGGGCAGGGGGGTAGAGCCGGTACAGGGGTGGGGCAGGGGGGTAGCGGGGTGGAGCCGGTACAGGGGTGGGGCAGGGGGTAGTGGGGTGGAGCCGGTACAGGGGTGGGGCAGGGGGTAGGGCCAGTACAGGGGTGGGGCAGGGGGTAGTGGGGTGGAGCCGGTACAGGGGTGGGGCAGGGGGTAGGGCCAGTACAGGGGTGAGACAGGGGGTAGTGGGTAGAGCCGGTACAGGGTGGGGTAGTGGGGAAGAGCCGGTACAGGGGTGGGACAGGGGTAGTGGGGGGACCTACCTGGGGCTTAAATATTAACCTGAGTTACCAGTAATGTGTTATGCGAAAATGCGTGAGTTCACCTAGTAAGGTTTAGTTTATACAAGACAAATAAGCACAGGTATTTTTTCTCAAAAACTTACCGATCTATTAAACACATGACTACTGTAACATTATATAGATTTATCAAATGCATTGTGTTAAATTTTAAATCTTTGTATTTTCCTGTTTCCCTCATAGTATTTACATTTAATTCTCCTATTAGTTCTAAACAATCCTACTATTTTTTGCCTGCTAAAAATTTAATTTTAAATTAACACTACTTACTTACTTAATCCTCATCACTCCCTGTGGAGTATAGGGCAACAACAAATCTAAATTAACATTAATTATTCCTTTTGTTTTAGATTGGGGGCACTGGGGTTTTTATTTCTGGATATTCCCGATGTCCCTGGTAACATGGGTCTACTGGACATGACCCTAGCAACGACCTGGATCAAAGAGAACATCGCAAGTTTTGGGGGAGACCCGGCAAGGATCACAATCTTTGGTCACAGCGCAGGGGCAGCTAGCACCTCTCTCTTTTTATTATCTCCCCTTACCAGAAATCTGTTTAACAATGCTATCATTCAGGTGGGTATGGTCGTTTTGACTAAGTTAAAATAAAATTGCTCTATCCCTTAAAGTAATATTGTTTTTATGAAATGTTTTGTTATTCATCATTTAATATTTAACAATTAATTTTTTTTCATCAATTATCTCAACACCTCCCCCACCTCACCAAGGCATCTCGTGCCAAAAAAAAAAAAAAAACAACAACACAGCAATCCCCTTAGATATAATACATTATTAAATTATATTTTAAAGTAAACTTGATAATTTTGCAGATGTACATCTCATCAATCGTGTATATTTTTTTGCTTACATTTTGTTTTGCTGTATAATGCTAACATGTATATGTTTTAACAAAAAGCGTGTAATGCTTATAATCCTTGTACTGTTATATCTAATTATCAACAGAGTGGTTCGCCCATAAGTCACGTGGCTCGACAGTCCAGACAATCTGGAATCGAGGCAGCACGTGAGTTTGCTAGACGTCTGAACTGTTTTTCTGAGAGCAACCAGGAGATCTGCAGCTGTTTGATGGAGGTTTGTATGGTGGATGTGTTCTAGTTTACTGGTGGTGTTCTATGTTCTAGTTTCGTGGTGATGTTCTATGTTCTAGTTTTTTGGTGATGTTCTATGTTCTATGTTCTAGTTTCTTGGTGATGTTCTATGTTCTAGTTTCTTGGTGATGTTCTATGTTCTAGTTTTCTGGTGATGTTCTATGTTCTAGTTTTCTGGTGATGTTCTATGTTCTATGTTCTAGTTTCTTGGTGATGTTCTATGTTCTAGTTTCTTGGTGATGTTCTATGTTTTAGTTTTCTGGTGATGTTCTATGCTCTATGTTCTGGATTTTTACAATTGTTCCATTTCTAGCTTTATGCTACTGTTCCATGTTCTAGTTTTCTGGTATGTTCTATGTTCTAGTTTTCTGGTCATGTTCTATGTTCTATGTTCTGGTTTATACAAATGTTTCATTTCTAGTTTTATGCTACTGTTCCATGTTCTAGTTTTCTGGTATGTTCTATGTTCTAGTTTTGAGGCGATGAGCCTTCAACTGTACAGTGTTGATGCAAACACTTCATAACAATTTTAAAAATCAACAAAATTCCCACAATTCATACAATTCCCACAATGCACACAATTCGCACAATACTCACAAATCACATAATTCACATAATTCACATAATTCACATAATTCACATAATTCACATAATTCTCACAATTCACACAATTCATACAATTCACACAATTCACACAACTCATACCATTCACACAATTCACACAATTCACAACATTCACACAATTCACACAATTCACACAATTCACACAATTCACACAATTCACACAATTCACACAATTCCTCTGCCACCGTTGACCCACCATGTTAACATCACACCTTCTCAGGCTGACGCAGGACATCTAGCCCAGGTACAGTTCGAACTGTCACAAGATTATCGATTCATCATGACCGCTGTGGTTGACCAATATTTTTTATTGGAAGATTCGATCACGCTGCTGAGAAATGGAGGTGAGATACGTCTAAAAAAGGTTGTAATATCGATATAGTGACGGCGTGGTCTAGCGGTAGAGCGCTAGACTGCTAACCCGAAAGTCTAGAGTTCAAGTTAGTAGAACGTCCCTGAGTCCACCCAGCTCAGATGGGTACTTAACTAACGCTAAGAAAAATGAAAGCGGCTGGGCATAGTGCTAACCACACTAATCCATTCATATGCCTAGGAAACACGTGAAGTCTATTTCATCTGCCCCTTGTGTCTTGAGCTCGCACGGGGAAATGATGATTGGTCATGGGAAAACTTACTGTAAAATTATATGCAGTGTTTCTTTAAGACTTTTTACCCCGGGGGGGGGGGGGGGGGGGAGACTTGATATTTTCTGGGGGGGGGGGGGAGTGGACACAATTTTTCGGGGACGGACACTGGTAAAGGTATATATTTTCTCTCTCTCTCTCTATATATATATATTTCCATTTCGTTTTGTGGGGGTGGGGGGGGGGGGGTGCGGTAGACTTTCTTCGAAGAGATGCCTGGAAGAAACACTGATTATGTGCTGTTTAAAATTAAGATAAATTATAGACTCTAGTGACTTTAAAATAGATTTTATAAAAAAAAATATTTTTTTAATACAGTCACTTACAACTGCTTAAATCTTCACAAACAGGATAACACCCAAGCGTTAATCTTGTTTAATATTTCTATAAACAAAACTCTTGACAGACTTTAAGCGATGTGACCTGCTCCTTGGGTCGGCCCTGGACGAAGGCACCTACTTCATGGGGCTCAAGTGGCCAAACACCTACAACTTCCACTCGGAGGAAACGGTTCGAATCTGCGAAAAGGTTCAGTACTTAACATATTCAATAGGGACGAACCAGCCATATCAAGTACGTTAATTATTACATAATTAACATTTCTAGACTAGTGTGACTAGTATAAAGTCTTCTTATATATATATATATATATATATATATATATATATATATATATATATATAGGCTATATATATATATATAGGCTATATATATATATATATATATATATATATATATATATATATATATATATATATATATATATATATATATATATGTATATAAATGAATGAATATAACAAGGTACATATAAAGTTTGTTGAGAAATTGGAATGGATGGTCAAAATAAGAATTTCTCATTTTAGGAACTGGATGACAAATTAACGCAGTTTTTCAGTGACTTTCTCAAGCAGGAGTACATTGCTCAAGTTATTCGCGAGGTTAAAGCCTTGTATGATTTGGATTCGTTGAGCACAGAGGTCGAAGACGCTAGTCTGAAACTTTTAGGTCAAGTCATAGGCGACGTTATCAATACATGCCCGGTACGCCAAATGGCTGGGTTTTACTCCAACTCCTCGCAGAGTGCGTACGTTTATTCGTACGAACACGGTCACGATAACCCGACGGTGGCCCGATGGACAGGGGCCATCCACGGCGCGGACCTGCAGTTTGTGTTTGGGTGGCCCACAGTCGACCTGGTGGCCTTCACACAGAGGGAGGCGGAGCTGAGCGGGGCCATGATGGGGTACTGGGCCAACTTCGCTAAATATGGGTAGGTGAAGTAGAGTGATACAGGGAGACAGAGAATGGGGCCATGATGGGCTACTGGGCCAACTTCGCTAAATATGGGTAGGTGAAGTAGAGTCACACAGGGGGAGGCGGAGCTGAGCGGGGCCATGATGGGGTACTGGGCCAACTTCGCTAAATATGGGTAGGTGAAGTAGAGTCACACAGAGGGAGGCGGAGCTGAGCGGGGCCATGATGGAGTACTGGGCCAACTTCGCTAAATATGGGTAGGTGAAGTAGAGTCACACAGGGGGAGGCGGAGCTGAGCGGGGCCATGATGGAGTACTGGGCTAACTTCGCTAAATATGGGTAGGTGAAGTAGAGTCACACAAAGGGTGGGGGCGGAGCTGAGTGGGGCGATGATGGAGTACTGGGCCAACTTCGCTAAATATGGGTAGGTGAAGTAGAGTGATACAGAGAGGCAGAGATGAATGGGGCCATGATGGGGTACTGGGCCAACTTTGCTAAATATGGGTAGGTGAAGTAGAATGATACAGAGAGGCAGAGATGAATGGGGCCATGATGGGGTACTGGGCCAACTTTGCTAAATATGGGTAGGTGAAGTAGAGTGATACAGAGAGGCAGAGATGAATGGGGCCATGATGGGGTACTGGGCCAACTTTGCTAAATATAGGTAGGTGAAGTAGAGCCACACAGTATAATGAAGCACTGGGCATGCTACGATCAACATGAGTAGGTGAAGTAGCGTGATACAGAGAGGGCAGAGCTGAGTTGGGCCATGATGTACTGGGCCAACTTCGCTAAATATGGGTAGGTGAAGTAGAGCAACATATAATAAAAAATTAGGGCATGCTACGATCAATATGGGTAGGTGAAGTAGAACATAGGGAGGAAAGATGCTTTGACGAAGTACTAGCGAGTACTGAAGACAGGTCTGGCTGCGCAATATCACATCACTGCTGCCACACATGGGGAGTAATACCAGAGGCACACCTTTACCTGTACAAACTGACAACAGGTAAAATGAACAGCAGGCTGACGGCAGCATTAGCAGAGTTTCTTCCAGGCATCTCTTCGAAAAAATTTTACCGCCCCCCCCCCCTCCCCCGAACGAAATGAAATTTATATAATTTATATAGAAAATATATACTTTTAACAGTGTCCGCCCCCCCGAAGAAAGTTTACCGCCCCCCCCCCCCCCCCCCCCCCCCCGAAAATTTCAAGTGCCCCCCCGGAGAAAAAAAGTCTGGAAGAAACACTAAGCATTAGCCTCTCAGATTGCTTTATGTGGTAGATTTTTTCTGCAGGTTTCACCAATAATTCTGAAGTGCATACGGCACACATGAACTTAACCCATCTGGAATATAAGCAGATATTTTGAATGGTATAAAACATAGCGTTTTATTAATTGTACATAAATATTGTCTGTTTTTTAGACATCCCAGTGGTCACTCACTTCCGCTTTGGCTGAAGTACAACCGGAAGTACTCAGGTCACGTGCTACGATTCAGTTCATCTACCGCCATCTTGAATGACGTAACAGACGAGAAGCTATGCGACTACTGGCAGAATTTACCTCGTCATTATCTTAATTAATGAGCTTATTGTATTGCTTGTGGTGATACATACACTCATACATTTAAGAGCGTACAATAAACAGTATAAACTAGAATGGTGTTTGAATTTTTTTACCAGTGTCCACACACCCAGCTCACCTCACAGTATTGCCTTCCAGGCGCCCGGGGACAAACTTTTCGATTTGCACCCCCCCCCCTCAAACTTTCGATTTGCACCCCCCCCCCCCCTCAAACTTTCGATTTGCACCCCCCTCAACCTTTCAATTTATTTTTCCAACCCATTTTGGCGCCCCCTATGGTCGGCGCCTGGGGACATATGTCAGCTCATAAAATGTGGTCCTTCCCCCTCTCTCCCCCGACATAAAATTAAATTTGGGAAGGAAGGGGGGAGGTTGTGAAGATCTATGACGAGGGGAAGGGGGGAGGTTCAGGAAGTGTTCAGGAAGAATTTTAGCCGTTGCTTTGAGTTTTAGAAAACTGTTTTATTAAACTGGAAAATAAATTGATTAATATCCTCGATGTTGACCGTGGTAAGTCCTTATTTTTAGAATTAAAGAGATGTTTAAAAAATTAAACTGTAATTTTGATGGGGGTGGGGGATTGTAGAATGAGATGGGATGCCATTTTAATTGGAGGAGCGGTGTTTGGATTTTGAGTGAAGATGCGTGACAAAGGGAAGTAAATATCGTCACAAAACATGTTGTCGTTTATGGATGACCCTTAAATTATTACCGTGTGTTTTTAATTGGCATGTTGAGGATTATGAACCGTTGAGTGGTGTTTTAAATGTTGATGTGTGGTCATGGACACAACTAGCGGTTCAAATGTAGGTACGGTTAAACAACATGTGACAGTAATCCATGTAGGGTTGTTAGCAGATGGTTTGATGGTTGTGGGCGGGTCAGGTTGTACTGTTGTGTGGTAGGTGGGTTGTAGGGTTGTGTGCAGGTTGGAATATAGGGTTGTGTAATGGTTGGGTTGTGGGGTTGTACGCAGGTCGGATTGTAGGGTTGTGAGGTGGTTATGTTTTGGGGTTGTGTGCAGGTTGGTTTGTACAGTTGTGTGTTGGTTGCGTGACAGGGTTGTATGACGTAGATTGGGTTGTATGCTTGTTGTGTTATAGGGTTGGGTACAGATTGAATTGTGTTGTGTGCTGGTTGTGTTAAAGGCTGTGAACAGGTTGTCAGAGGGTTTATATTGAAACCTTTCAGCCAATTACAATTAGTCTAATTACAATTAGTCTAAGCCTACATCGACCATCTATTTCTAGCCTCGGTGAATGACCCCACTTTGTTAATCTTTAAGCATAAATTAGTGGCGACAAATAAAGCACGTCACAAAAACACCTTGTTGTCTACATCAGTTCTAGTCCAACACGGTAAGGTTGCCATGCTTCCACATGGGTGACCTACTTATACTGTCAACAACAACATCAAGTAAAACAGATTCTGATTGGTTCTTTGTTAATGTTATTTTGTAGAGTGGAATGAAACAGCTTTTAGTTAAAAACTCTGATCTGTAACATGGTGTGTGGTTTCTGATTGGGATTCTTTGTTTTGAAAATTATTATTTGGTTTTGGACACTAATGGTTTTTATTATCTGACTCAAATAGTTGATGTCCTAGTTCGAATGGCTTACGTTTTCTGACTTTAAATTTAGTTTGTTTCCTGTCTCAATTAGTTTATATGTTCTGACTCTATTAGGTCATGTTTTCTGACTCTATTAGTTTGTTACCTGGCTCTAATAGTGTTTCTAATTGCTGGCGCTAATATGATGATTTTCTAATTGTTTGTCTACTGACTCTGATAAATGATGACTCTAACTCAAGTAGCTTTTATCTTCTAACTCCAACAAATTATTATCTGTCTCTATTTTTATAAAGACTGTAATATGTGGTTTAAGCATTGTGCGAGAGCAGATGTTTTATAGCCTACTTAAGTATTTAATGGTCAGCAAGAAGATCCGTGGGGTAGCTGAAGTAGAGTTCATCTGTTTCTCCCAGTCCGAGACAGAAGAAAAGATGCAAGGGCCAGCACTAGGCCTAGTCTCAAGTGTTGTAGAGCCACTAGAGTTCAGGGCCCTTTAGGAATGCCTGATCTGAGTCTTTGAACACACAGAACTCTGACGTTATTAATTGAAAAAAAACTAACTGTTGTGACATTTTAATTTTAATAGCTGAATACAAAATATTAACTGTGACTATTTTAATTCTAATTGCTGAAAACAACATATTATTGTGGCATTTTAATTTTATTGCTGAATTTAAAAAAATAATCCCCTGAATATTATTATTTCACAATGTGTAATGAGGCTTATTTTAACATTGCCAAGACGCAATGTATTAGATATTTTTTAATACCGCTAACCGTTCCTGTGCCGTAAGCCTACGTTTAGCAGTGATACTAACTTAAATCCTAATTTAAAAGATTAAAGGACGATAAAAAAAACAGGTACAGTACTATATTTTCTGCTCTTGTTTATTTAAGAAAACCTTTATAATTATCAGGCCGTGGTTCTGAGCACCAAGACAGCCCAGTTTATTTTGCTGCTGTTTCTGGTGATGACGTCATGTCGTATCACCGGCGGCACCCCACAAAACATCGTATTCATCGTAGCAGACGACTTAGGTAATTGTTCTGTAGCAGACGACTTAGGTAATTGTTCTGTAGCAGACGACTTAGGTAATTGTTCTGTAGCAGACGACTTAGGTAATTGTTCTGTAGCAGACGACTTAGGTAATTGTTCTGTAGCAGACGACTTAGGTAATTGTTCTGTAGCAGACGACTTAGGTAATTGTTCTGTAGCAGATGACTTAGGTAATTGTTCTGTAGCAGATGACTTAGGTAATTGTTCTGTAGCAGACGACTTAGGTAATTGTTCTGTAGCAGACGACTTAGGTAATTGTTCTGTAGCAGATGACTTAGGTAATTGTTCTGTAGCAGATGACTTAGGTAATTGTTCTGTAGCAGACGACTTAGGTAATTGTTCTGTAGCAGACGACTTAGGTAATTGTTCTGAAGCAACTACTTATGTAATTGTCATCATTCTAAAACTAGACTGACTACACTGTGGTTTTATATGCTTTTAGATCGAGAGACGGCGTGGGATGGGTGTGAAGGTGGTGGTGGTGGGTGGGGGCGGGGGGGGGGGGGTTATGTGGTAAGTGAGGGGAAGGGGTTAGATATTAGTGACGTCAGACGAGGTGAGGGGTGGAATCTAATTTAGAGGAGAATCATGTTTAAAAAATGCGACGTATTTCTTATTAATAATAAATTAAAACGGCACCATTTTGTAATTAAATCGGGTTATGTAGGTTAGAAGATGAAGTTCTACTTAGGCGATCGGCTTTCTCTGACGATTTGTGATGGTTAGCATCGAGAGTATAAATAATTAAAATTTAATGATGGTTTTATAGACGACCACAACTAAGAATGCCATTCAAGGTGGTAAAAGGTTCAAAGCGAAAATTATTTAGCTGCTTAAATTGATTTATACTCACATACATTATAAATATTATATAATAATTAATAACTAAAACCACATAAATTAATGAAACCATGTTGATTCACTTCCGTGTAGGTTGGAACGACATCGGCTTCAACAACCCAAACATCATCAGCCCAAATTTGGATGCTCTAGCAAGGGAGGGAATCATATTAAACCAGAGTTATGTTCAGCCACTTTGTTCGCCGTAAGTTTTGGGTTATCGATGTAGGGACGATCACTCCGTAAATGTAAAGGCTAAGAAAGATAATCCAAAAAATGTTTCAAGAATATTTATTTTCGTGTTACCTCCCCTGCTATGTTCGGACATTGAACAGGCGTCTATGTTTTATTGCTAATTTAATCAATTCTCTCTCTCTTAAATAAGGTCAAGGGCAGCTTTAATGACTGGATATTATCCATTTCGTCTTGGGCTTCAGGTAATTTAAAAAAAAATTCATCTACTTTATTTTTAAATTATTAAATAACTATTCCTTAACTTAGGAAAAAGGGGAGCCGGAAACTTGCCCGAATGCGACTCGGGCAAGTGTCCATTCGGGCATTTGTCGCATTCGGGCAAGTGTCCGTTCGGGCATTTGTCGCATTCGGGCAAGTGTCCATTCGGGCATTTGTCGCATTCGTGCAAGTGTCCATTCGGGCATTTGTCGCATTCGAGCAAGTGTCCATTCGGGCGTTTGTCGCATTCGGGCAAGTGTCCATTCGGGCATTTGTCGCATTCGGGCAAGTGTCTTTCGGGAATTTGTCGTAAACCCAGGAAAAAGTATTGGATTTAATACTTTACAATTTCATTACCATTATTGACACCATAAAAAAAACGAAAATATCTTAAAAGAGCCAATCGACTAAGTATCAAAATGCAAGCATACCTTAATGCAGGGGTTCCCAACCTTTTTTTACTCTAGAGCACATTCTAAAATATCGGTAGGGTGGCGGGCACCACCTATTTTAAATCAACAAACTCCTTCCATAACTTGTCATTTTCCCCATAGTTTATTTTCTTATTTTCTTATAGTCATAATGTATTAATAAATAATAAACAAAAATGTTTCAAAATAATAAAATTATTTGGCATTTTTTTTACAAATTGCATACACACAGAGAAATGTATTTACAAAACGTAAAGAAAGTAAACAAAACACATAAATACAAAGAAAACATTTAATTAAAAAATATAATAAAGTCAATGTGATCTTTGGCATTGCATTTCATTGGCCAGAGCTTCATAATTAGGAGCGTATTAAAAATTAAAACTGTAACAAATGAATAAAAATAAATCATATTTTAAAATAATGTTTATGAAAAAATAAAGTCTGTTCAGTTAAAAAAAATTATATTAAAAATTAAAAATAAAAAGTAAATTTTGTACGTCACACTTAATTTATTTTTTAACAAATCTTTGTTTTCCTCACCACTAATCCTCTTACCCTCCCCTCCTCCATCCCAACCACCCTTCTCACCAGCACTTTGTGATAGGCCAAGATCAGGCCGTCTGTGTTCCCGCCAACAAGACATTTCTACCCCAGGTCCTGAAGAGCCAGGGATACGCCACACATATGGTCGGCAAGTGAGCAAAATATTAGTCTTATCTTCCTTCGATCACAGCAGTGTTTCTTTCAGACATTTTTTTCTCTTGAGGAGGGAGAGTGCACTTAAATTTTCAAATGGGGGGGGGGGGGAAGACTGGCTGATGTGGTATATATTTTTACATTAATTGTATATTTTTTTCTATTTCGCCTTGAGCGCGGTGCACTAAGCTTCCCCCCCCCCCCCCCCCTCCCCCCAATCCGGCGAACATGATAACACTATGTTTTATGGATACATTTAGTTTGACGTACTCGGACTGTCTGAAATAGGATTAAATGCTAGCCAGAATCACTATCATTAGGACGTTTTTATTTGACTATCAAAAACTGACCAATCAAGTATGTAAGGCGTTCACTGATTGGTCAACTCGTGACCTCTATAGGTGGCACCTGGGCTTCTGCGACTGGGCTTGTACGCCCACATATAGGGGCTTCGATTCCTTTTTTGGTTACTACGGCGCAGCAGAGGACCACTACACCAAAACGATTGGTACGTACACACTGTACACATGCCTTAGTTGATGTACACAGTGTACACATGCGTTAGTTGATGTACACATGTGTTAGTTGATGTACACACTGTACATGTGTGTTAGTTGATGTACACACTGTACACACTTGTTAGTTGATGTACACACTATATACATGCGTTAGTTGATGTACACACTAAATACATGCGTTAGTTGATGTACACACTGTATACATGTGTTAGTTGATGTACACACTGTACACATGTGTTAGTTGATGTACACACTGTACACGTGTGTTAGTTGATGTACACACTGTACACATGTGTTAGTTGATGTACACTTCGTTCAAGTGTGTTAGTTGATGTACACACTGTACGCGTGTGTTAGTTGATGTACATACTGTACACGTGTGTTTGTTTAAACACAACACCTCTTTGTAGCCATTCAGTACATCGTTACTAAAGTATGAAATCATCATCATCTTGTGCCGTTGATACCCAAGACACTAGGGCAGATGAAGTAGAGTTTGTCTGTTTCAGAGATTTCGGCATACAAAGGGATAGTGTGGTCAGCACTATGCCCAGCTTTCCTTAACGTGAGTTAGGTATCCATCAAAGCTTAGTGGACTCAGGGACGGTATACTAATTTGAACCCGGATTCGAACTCGAGACTATCGGGTTAGCAGTCCAGCAGTCTAGCTCTCCGCCACCAGGCCACGACGTCCCATAAAGTATCAAAACATGCTGTAAAAATCTGCTCTTTAATTTTCCGTTCGGATCCACCCCCATCCTCCCTCCCCCTCCTTGATTGAAATTTGAAACTATGATCAACTAATATTTTACGCATATTAGGCACAGGTTATGATTTCCGCGAAAACCTGAACATTCTAGAATCTGCAAGGGGCGTCTACTCTTCGGTAAGTTGCATCCCATTCAGCTTAGCCTAAGCTTAACCTTAAATTTGCCATTGACCACAACCACTCCTAAAATTATGTGTTTGTTTCAGCAGTTTCTTATACTAACAACGGATACATAAACTGTTGTAATGTATTAGTCTGATCTGTTAAAATTTTATTAAATTTACAACCAATAAAAATTACTGCGGGTGCCGTCCTCTGAGAGGCTCATTCAAAGATTTGACACATACACATATTCAGCAAATAAACCAACATATCCATAACATTTAAAATGCATCTTACAATGTATATCATTTATATATATATATATATATATATATATATATATATATATATATATGTATATATATATCTAATATATAAAGCTCAGTTCTGTATGTAATGCATTTGTATGTCGTTGGAATTGTACGAATTGTACGAATTTAAGTGTTAGAAAATTATCGTGCACATTTGTCTAAATTTATGAGCTAAAAAATTACTATTGAAAGTGTTGGGAAATAATTTTCATTTTTCAAATTATAGTAATAATTGTCGGCATGTTCATTAAACACAAGTTTTTAAAAAAATATCATCTTTTACAAAAATTCTAATTATGTCTTTATTTAGTCCTATAGCACTTACTTCCCTTTGATAAATTAGGAAAAACACTTCCCTTTATAAAACCATTGCATTCCGTGAAAATAATTTACTTTTTAATTACTTTGTTTTGGTGTTGGGAAAAAAAATAATTACATAATTAGCGGGGATTGATCAAGTGCAAATGTTGTAGGTATTTTACGGATAAGCTTGGAGTATTAAAATTGTTTATTAAATTGAAACAGGCGCGTTCGTTTAAGTGAGTGCAAAAGACTGTGAATAAGTTGGGGTACTATAGTCGTTCATTAAGCTAAAACAGGTGATTCCGCCCCGGGCGTTTATGTTCGCGTTAGTGTTTTCTTTGTGTTTAGGTGGGTTTGCGTTAGTGGTTGCGTTTTAATTTGGTTCGTTTTTGTTCTTTCTTTTTTCGTTTTTGTTTGTGTTTTTTTTGTTTGGGTTTGTATTTGTGTTTTTGGTTGGTTTTGCGTTTGGATTTGGTTTGTTTTCGTTTGCTTTTTTCGTTGATTTTTTTTTGTTGGTATTGGTGTTTGTGGTTGGGTTTGTTGTTAGGTTTTTGTTTTCGTTTGCTTTTTTGTTTGTTTTTTCTTTGTGTTTGTATTGGTGTTTGTGGGTGTGGTTGTGTTTGTTGTTAAGTTTTTGTTTTCGTTTGTATTTGTAATTGTGTTAGCGTTATGTTTGCGTTTTGTTGTTTTGGTTTTGGTTGGTTGTGGTTTGGGTGGGCAATGCCGGGTTTATGATGATTACTAAACACACAGGTAATGGTCTTTAACAGAAAGGTTTTTCACAGAAGCCAGAGCAGGGCCTGGCCGGGACGGCTAGTATATATATATGTATATATATATATTTATATATAAATACTTATATATATATATATATATATATATATATATATATATATATATATATATATATATATATATATATATATATATATATATATATATATATATATATATATATATATATATATATATATATAAAACAACCAGTATATGGCAAGGTTGAAAATAACATTGAAATTTGAATGCGATATTTATTTCCCATTTCATATTACATTTTAATCAAGGGAGGCAGCCCTTAATGTTTCTTGCAAACATTTAATATAAATATATATTCAAAATAAATTGTAAAGCTCCTTGTTTATATTTAGGTAAAATAGAAATATTTATACTTTATTCGATCGTTTTGTTAATGCTTATTTTTGATGAATATAAAAAAATTAATTATTCCTAGTATAAATGAAAAAACTTTTTAAAATATTAAATACTTGTTGTATAAAAAAAACGAAAGGTTTGTTAACTATTACTTTGTCTAATGATTCGAAGAGGTCTCAATCTTAAGAAAAAAATTATTTTCTCCAATTAATAGTTTAAAATAAAATATCAAGCTATATTATTTTTCTCACAACAAACGTTTGTGCTGACTACTTATCTCTAGATGACCCCCTCACCCTGCAAATGTCCTATATATACTACAAAATTAAATTTTAGCTATTTCCTCAGTCCCTCCCAATTTCCTACAGGGCATTAACTCAACCAATCTTTTAGAACTTAAATTTTCATGTTTTAATAATGTATTTCGATGTTTTGTTTTTTATATAAATAAAATATTGGCAAAGAACGAAAACAGATGTAAGAAGTATTATTATTGTACATCTGCATATGTATTGCTGTCCTCACAAGCCGATGATACTAACACGAACAAAAGGGCAAGATAAACTGCCACTGTCGATTAGCCACACACAACTAAATTTTAAGTAAAAGGAATTTTAAAAATGTTTTAGTGTGGAGATACTTAGCAATGTATATATATATATATATATATATATATATATATATATATATATATATATATATATATATATATATATATATATATATATATATATATATAGGCAATTTTGAACCCACGGCACTGAAAGGGAGGGGGGTGTTAAAGGATACATCTTTAAGAATCAATATATCACTATACAGTTTAACAGCGTTTAGTATAATGTTTTTATATTATTTCTTTATTCCAGTTCTTGTACGCAGACAGAATCCAACAAATTATCAGCACTCATAAGACAGAGGTACCGTTGTACTTGTACCTGGCGTTTCAACAGGTGCACGAACCCTTACAGGTAACATATACTGGCTGTATATGTATAAATAAATATATATATATATGTATACATATATAAACATATATATATATTGTAGTGAACGAGAGAAGGGGATGAATGGGGGTGAATGTTGTTTGTACTTGGTACTCCATCCCGTTCGTCTTTGTTCAGTTCTCGTGCTGTGAGTTGTAATAGTCCAGTTTGTATCAGTTTATGAAAGGGTATATAAGGTGTGAGAAAACGTGTGTGATTGCCTCAGTTTCGTCCAGATCTCCAAGGTTAGTATAGGTTAGGTCTATACTAGTTTTTAGCCTCTGTGTCGTAGTTTTACTACCTTGTGTATTTTGAGTTTAGAATAGACTGTGTAAGTTGTAGATAGTGTAGGTACTATTAAATTCTTTTTAGTTTCAACGAGCCTTTGTTTTCATTCAGTCTTGTTTTGTAAACCGTTTGTGGTTATTTGCAGAGGCGTAGCGACCCTTCCCGGGCCCCAGCGACAAACTTTCGATTTGCACCCCCCCCCCCCCATATATTTTTTATATTAATAATGCACAAATGCAGCTAAAATGAGATTTTAATTTGTTTTTCCAACCCATTTTGGGTCCCTCTAGGTCGGCGCCCGGGGACATACGTACCCCCCACACACCCCGCAACGCCTCTGGAAGGCGTGTCCGTGTGTTCACAATATATATATATATATATATATATATATATATATATATATATATATATATATATATATATATATATATATATATATATATATATATATATATATATATATGTTTATATGCGAGGTGTGATTGTATGTTTGTGTGTGTGCTTTAGTGAGTGTGTAATTGTGTAATTATGTATGTAAGTGAGATGTATTTAGAAACAAAATACAAACTTGCAAAAATCTCATCTTTCATAATAAGAAAATGTAATTAGACACCTGGTTAATTAGCATATTAATATATACTATAGGTGCCAGACGATTACTACAATCTTTACCCGAATGTCACCGACGAAAATAGGCGAAGGTTTGTAGGTGAGTGATGGCGAAGGTTTATATCACTGCTGGGTGTCATGTCAAATGTCACGTCTGTCATTTGGTGATGTCATGTTATTATTTTGTTGGATGTAATGTCATCTTACATGATCAGTGTTGCATACAACAAAAAGTTTTGTGATTTGTTGTATAATATTGTATATGTGTTGAGTTTATTGTATACAACACTAGTGTATTTAAAGTTTATTGGACTATATTGATCTGCTCAAAGTTAACTGTTTAGATAAAAGTGCTGGGTAGAAGAAATCTCTCAAGTTAAAACCAAGTTCATATTTTTAATATCTTTTATATTACAGCAATAGACTGTGTAAATAACGTGATTTTGATTTCTTCTTCTTTCTTCTACTTCGTTCTTAATTTTTTAGTGTTGGAAGGGACCGAGTCATATCTGCCAGTGGGTTTGAACTCGAGATATTTTCGAATTTATCAACCATCAGCTTTTTTTTTGCCGACTCAACCTCGTCTCCATCACAAATTAAGGATACGTGTCAACTGGTAATGCGCCATTTAGGCCATTGACACCGGTTTCAACCAGCTTTTCTTTTGGGATTTACTTCCATAGCAAGAACAAACTACAAGGCAGCGCCTCATCTGCTCGAGGGTTCGAACTCGAAACTTTTCGGTTTATGAACCATGAGCTTTACCGATTCGACCACGCCGCCCCCCTTTGAACAACCAATGCAATAGATTGTGTAAATCACGTGATTTTGATCAACCAATGCCTATTCGTCTCTCAGGTATGGTGACGGCGCTGGATGACGCTGTAGGTCAAGTGGTCAAGGCCCTAAAGGACAGAGGCCTCTACAACAAAACGCTCATCGTTTTTACCGCTGATGCACGTACATTTCCTTTTAATAAAATTCTTATGACATTTTAGAAATAGAGGCCCGACCTTTTTTCTTTATCGTAGATATAGCTAGACTTTCTTACCTGTAACAACTTTTTGATAACATTGTAGAAATATACCTTATTTTATGAGTAAAACATTTTTCGCACTTAATCAAAAAGAGTCCTTGAATTTTAAATTAATAAAATCAATGTTTTAAAAATGTATTATCTCTTTTTATCCAATGTTGATCTTATTTCCATAAATGAGAATCCAAACGTGACTTCATATGAAAAGTAAACACACACATTTCGCGGTTTACTTGTATAAAAAGTAAACAAACACTATTCGCAGTTTACTTGTATAAAAAGTAAACAAACAGTATTCGCAGTTTAATTGTATAAAAAGTGAACAAACACTATTCGCAGTTTACTTGTATAAAAAATAAACAAACACTATTCGCAGTTTAATTGTATAAAAAGTAAACAAACACTATTCGCAGTTTACTTGTATAAAAAGTGAACAAACGCATTTCGCGGTATACTTGTATATGAAAGTGAATAGCCCTGTAAAAATGTTTTTGTGAACGTTAACCATCAAGAAACTCATCACTTACTGGTTAGTGTTACATATTATAGCAACACATACACAAGCATTCCGCAAGCGAACTATTGGGAATCTTACAAGCACTTATAGTAGACTTATATCACCAAAAGAATCGTTTTCCTGAAAAATGTTCTTAAAAATCGTACATCACTAAACGCACCATTATCCTGCTTTCTATTATTTAAAACTAGGTACAGTGTTAATTGTGCGTTCTTAATGCCTTTTTTTCTTTGACAGAACGGCGGGTGGGTGCCGTCAGGGGGCAACAACTTGCCCTTAAGGGGAGGGAAGATGACGGTGTTTGAAGGCGGCACCAGGGCAGTGTCGTTTGTCCATGGACCCATGTTCTACAAGACTGGCATACGATACGACGGGTAGGACGCTGGTAGAAATGTTGGATTAGTATTAAAGCAGTTAATCCCTAGAAACTATGGTAGGGATGCCGGTAGAAATGTTGGATTAGTTTTAAAGAAGTTATATATATTATATATATATATATATATATATATATATATATATATATATATATATATATATATATATATATACAGAAGTTATATATAAAGAAGTTATATATATATATATATATATATATATATATATATATATATATATATATATATATATATATATATATATATATATATATATATATATATATATATATATATATAATCTTCTGCAGTTTAATGCATTTGGTCGACTGGCTCCCAACGTTAGCTGAAGCGTCTGGCTCTAATTATAAAGGTTGAATACTTTACTTGTGTTGTTTTAGCCTCTTTAAGTCGACACCTCATTACACAAACAATAACAGCCTGTCCATGTCTATTAAAGCAACATAGTATGGAAATGTCTTTGTATTATGTACTAAAAATTATATACACGCATTATCTTGAACATCAAATATCAACAAAGATCGTAAGGATAGTATGTTGTAAATCGTGTTTTAAACAGGCTCCACAAACACATTATTAAATATTTTTTTAAAAAAATAACTATAGTATGTGGAATGTTTAGAAAAACGAATTAATTTCACGATTGTCTTAGACCCTGATGCCGACGGTGTCAGCCAGTGGAACTCCCTGCTGTCCCTCAGTCTACCTTCTGCTAGACAGGAAGTTGTCTACAACTTAGACTTCAGCCTTGACCCACTCCAGGGTAGGGCCGCTATACGGTACGACAAGTCACGTTTACAAGTTTTTAAAAATAAAATCTCACTTCACTTTATAACTTATGTACATGTTATACGAGCTGATTCTCTAAATACAATATGGTTTGTCTAGAGTCGGGGACTATAAACTTGTCGCTGGATTCCCTGGGTTGTATGACGACTGGTACACCCCCGGGGAAGTAGCCACGCCCAGTTTACAGAACTGGGGTGCCGTGGGGCACAACGACACCACCAACTGGCACCTGATCAGTCAGCTGCTCATCAAGGAAACTTCTGGAACCAGGTGTACACCCTACTATCTTTTCAACCTAAAAGGTAGGTCATTGGTTTCCGTTTTAAGCAGCGTAAGAAATAGGTAAAATTATGAAAGAATAACCATCTGATTAGAATTTTAAAAATTCATTTAAAATATGAACCGTGCACACAAAAAATGTTCGACATCAAATTTTTTTCTTCAACTGACGAATTCAACACGAGGTAAAACAAAGCGCATACAACATGGTAGTTTTTTTTTTACCTCTACTGCTGTGTGACGTCACGTGTTCTCCACAGATGACCCAGCCGAGCGCACCAATATTTACGATGACCACCCAGACATTGTCCTGCAACTAGAGGACAGACTCAGCTACCACAAACAACATTACATCCCACCCAACTTCCCCCCTGGTTCACCTGCAGCTAATCCAGCTCATTACGGAGGGGCCTGGACACCTGGATGGTGTTAGGACACCTGGATGGTGTTAGGACACCTGGATGGTGTTAGGGAACACCTGGATGGTGTTAGGACACCTGGGTGGTGTCAGGACACCTGGATGGTGTTAGGACACCTGGATGGTGTTAGGACACCTGGATGGTGTTAGGACACCTGGGTGGTGTCAGGACACCTGGATGGTGTTAGGACACCTGGATGGCGTTAGGACAACCGGATGTTGTTAGGACATGGTGTTAGGACACCTGGATGGTGTTAGGACACCTGGATGGCGTTATTAAACCTTGATACTGTACAACACATTGATGGTGTTAGGATACATAGATGGTGTACAGACATCTAGAAGGTTTTGAAACACCTGGATTGTGTTAGGCATCACCAAACTGGAAGGGGCGTTACCAAACTGGTAGTGTTACCACTGAACTGGTAGGGTCATCAATAAATTAGGAGTTTCACCACTAAAAGGGGAGTGTCACCACTAAACTGGTAGGGTCACCACTAAACTGGAGGGTCACTATTAAACTGGTAGGGTCACCACTAAACTGGCTCATTCAAAGATTTGACACATACACAAGGTTGAAAAATATAAACAATATTGAACATTAAAAGTTAAATGCGAGTTTTACTTCCCATTTCATATTACATCTTAAACAAGGGAGACAAAAACTTACAATTTATCTGGAATATTTAAAATAAGTATAAATTCAAAGTAAAATGTAAAGTTCATTAATTTAATTGGAAAACATAGAATGTTAATATTGGTATTCGATTTATTAATAACACTTTATAGTTTATGGAATGATAGAAATTTGATTATTTCTATTCTAAACATAAAGAGTTTAAGTATTAAATACATTTTTGTAAAGAAGTTAAAGTTTTGATTGTCATCCATAATGTATTGAAAATTAACAGTTTTATCTGACATATTTGCTCTGCTGTAATAATTAATTTACATAAATTACAATAACATTTAACATCTCAAATGATAGGTAAAATCAAATTGCAGTATGCTATAGTTATTGCACTGACTTTGGCTAGCCCCTTATAGGGCCCGCTGCCGGGGTCGACAGGTGGTCAAATCAACCAAGCAATCAATTACAAATCTCACCATCTATCGCTGTGGGTGGGGCTACGCCCAGAGGCGCAGCGAGGGGGGGGGGGGTGCAAATCGAAAGTTCGAGGAGGGGGAGGGGGTGCAAATCGAAAGTTTGAGGGGGGGGGGCGCAAATCGAAAATTTGAAAGTTTGACCTCGGGAAGGGCCGCTACGCCTCTGGGGGGGGGGGGGGGGGGGGGGTGGGGGTGACACCATTAATTGCCGCACCGGGTGACACCCGACCTCGCTACGCCACTGGTTACGCCCACACATCCCCTATAGAGCACCAGGCCCTCGAGATGAGTCACCCAGTACCTGTATTGGGTGGCTTCCAAATGTACGAGTGGATCCTTAATTTTCTATTATTTCAGCTTGACGACACCCACCTAGGAGAAATCTTAGATGAGAGGTCCCGTCACAAATACCATCAAATCAATTCAACATCTCTCAAAGCTCAACCACGTAACACAACCCCCGATACCAACAAAATCACGATTAGTCAACTCTCGTAAAATAAACACTACTTCGTCCATTTCAGCTACCCGACTACGCAAGAATACAAAACTCTACAAAGCATTGGACTACTCTTCAACAGCATTATTCCGCCAAATTCAACTACGCAAGAATACCCTACGATACCTCCCCACTCTCGCTATAACTACCCTCACAATGAAACAAATCAACCTTTTCAAAACGATATCTCAACACGATGACGCCAGATCTAAATATGTTTTAATGTATACATTTATATGTGAAAAGGAAAAGTTTGAAAGCTTTAATTTAATAACTGAACTATACAATATCTAAACTGAATGGACCCAACCTAGAATAGCCTCGAAATTCTTCAAAAGGCCGTTTAAATATATATATTTTTTTTAAAACGAACACCACCCCTCCCTCTCACACACACGCACACGACCGTCCCACTTATTACTTACCATAAACCCGCTTAGTCAAATCATTAGGCCTAGAATCTTTGTTGTCAAAGTTAACACCAGTTCATTTGTTACTGCTACTCAATTGATGGACGACCCTTTATCAAGTTTGAAAAACTCTTTGTTGGGCACACAGAGTCAGAAAACCAGTTTGTTAAATAAATGAATCAAGACCTTGAAAAAAACTCGTGCTCTTTGTAATTTTTTTTATTTACTGGATTTTAAAAAAGATATGTGTGCAGAGGCGTAGCGACCCTTCCCGGCGCTTGGGGACAAACTTTTCGATTTGAACCCCCCCCCCCCCTCAAGATTTTGATTTGCACACCCCCCTCAAACTTTCGATTTGCACCCCCCCCCTCAAGATTTCGATTAGCACCCCCCTCAAACTTTCAATTTGCACCCCCCTCAACCTTTCAATTTATTTTTCCAACCCATTTTGGCGCCCCCTAAGGTCGGCGCCAGGGGACATATGTCACCCCCCCCCCCGCCCCCCCCCCCCCCCTCGCTACGCTACTGTATTTGTGATCTGACCCATATTTGTGAAATAAAGCTTTAAGAACCTAACAACAAGCTGCTTTTGTTTGAGTGCTGATTTAAGTTTTAAAAAAAACAATATAAACTACGACCAGTTAACAGGTCACGTGGTATGGGGTTACTTGAACTGAAAACTAAGAATTGATTTGTTAAATGTAAGCCCTGCTAGGGGGGGATACCTTAAATCTACCCTTCTAGGCTTAACTAACTAATCTGTCCGGTCAGTGCAACCGTGGTAGAACCCACAGTGGTTAATAACCTAACCTTAGTCTAAATTAAAAACAAAAAAACTACTAAAATAAAACAAAAACTTTTACAGTTAATAAAATTTATTGCATGGAACCAAAAGTTATAAAAAAAGAATAGATATAAACTGACACAAAACAGAACCAAACGAAACAAACTTTTTACATCAAACACAACACCCAATTTCGGACTACGTCCTAGAAAAAGGAAAACAAATAAATTAATTACTTTACAAAGAAAAGTTATATACAAAGCATTAACCACAGGCTGGCTGGATTACATCTCCACCGCCTGCAGGTAGTTCACACAGAATATACTTTAACAATTAACTGGAACACTGCCAGGACACTGAGCTCAAACTACTAGCTCAACACAGTTACCAGCCTAACAAAAGGCTAAGTAAAATAAAATCTATTAAAAACAAGTGTACCTTCACAGTGACTAGAACGAACCGAACACTCTCCTGGGGATCAACATGATCACCACAGGAAGCGAAAGGTCACTATAAAGATAAAAATATAACCAAACCCGACAGTCCGGAACGAACCGTGACTGTGGGTCAGGTAACAACAACTCTACTACTTAACCCAACAGCCAGGAGTAAACCGTAGCTGCGGGTCAAGTCTAAAAATACCTTTATCCCTGGCTTAACACCAGCCCAAGGGATACAATCAATAGAATACGTATACCACTTAACCCAACAGCCAGGAGTAAACCATAACTGTGGGCCAAGTATAAATAAGCAGTATCCTTGGCTTCACACAAGCCCAAGAGATACAACAAAGTAATAAAATGACCATAAAAACTCAGAATCTGAGTCCACATGGCCTGACCACAATGGCGGTCAGAAGACAACCACAAAAAAACTTATGGCCAGTAACCAAAATAAAGAGCATAGCAAAAAAATAGACATAGTAAAGAAATAAACTTATATCTAACTTACCAGGACTACGACGAACACAAACACAAAATAAATATGGCTGGATGGTGCGAATTTGCTATTCTTTTCACCCGATGACCAGAGAGACTGCCTGCTCCCTTCACCGCAGCTTTCCACACAAAAGACAGAGTTGAACAAGCCGGAAACCGACTTCCACACACCTCACACGCTACACGTAAACAAATAGTCCCTAATTCACGGATAACAAACCAAACACGACGAAACATGCAACAGAATATTATAAAAAGACACTTACTATAAACAATGACAACAATATAAACGAAATATATATAAACTAGCTATAACCAGGGACATAAACAGTGAGACAGCGGCGCCATAATACGGGACTACACGACTAAAAAAAATACGAACAATTTACGACATGAAACGAAACGATACATTCGCCTTCTAAGTTACAAATAATAAAAATACACTCCAGCCGCTCACATACACGCCCCCTAAAGCTTGCGGTCACCGCAAGCTAACAAACTTGAAAAAAACAGCCCACAGGGCATAATCATAAATGTTACAAAAAAACTTTGCAGGAAGAACTTGCAAAAAAATCAGCCCACCGGGCACAATCATAAATTTTACAAAAAAACAATCTTTGCCAGAAAATCAGCCCACAGGGCATAAACATACATGTTACAAAAAACAAAACTTTGCAAAAGAACTTGCAAAAAAATCAGCCCACAGGGCACGATCATAAATTTTACAAAAAAACATTGTCAAAAAAATCAGCCCACAGGGCACAATCACAAGTCTAGCCTACTAGGGACTCTGCGCTCCCTGACCGACCTACGCAGAGGTATGTCAGGTACTGTGGGGTTACCGGCTGCTCTGGTCCCCGGCAATTGGACCTTATAAATTATGTGGCTGTAGCCTGGAGTAGCCGGCGGTATCACTTTGACCGGCCTTGGGGAGGGTGGTTGAGCCCGGGGAGGCACATATCTCCTGATCTGGGTGCTGGCCACCCGGCGGGTGCCAGAAGGGCCATCTTTCTTTTTAATGGCGTAACACCCGCCGGTGATCGGAGGTACTTCGACCACGACGTAAACTGTCGGGTCGTCCAGGTCTGCCATTTTGCGTCTGCCTAGTGGGGGTTGTCTCAGAAGGACCAGATCGCCTATGGCCAGTTCAGCTACAGGTGCCTTTTTGACCTGCTTGTCCTTCTTGCTCGACTCTGTCTGGGGGCATCCCCCAGCACCACCACCCGGTGCCTTAATTAAGGATGGGTTAGGTGGAACCATTGCCTCTAGTTCCTCAGATTGGTCCACCTTTATACTGGTTATGCTGGCGCGTAGGCAGGATGTTGGGCCTGATACCACTGACGGATCTGGGTGAAATTGTTGGTCTAATGGCTGTACCACCTTGTCGTCCTTCATTCCGGGGTCTCCTTTCGTCGCCTGAATGGTTGGTACACTCTTGGCAGACACCAGAGTCCTTTCGCGGGGGCGGAGGACCTTGTCCCCTCGCCATACCTTCGGTGTCACCCCTGGGGGCTTGATCAGGTGGGCCAATGTGGTCAGGTCCTGGAGAACGTTCATGCCCAACAAACAGGGGGGAGCTGATGAGCCACCCACTGGATCCTTTATCACAAGGAACCCCTTGTCGCGTATTTCTTCCTTGTTGATCTCCAGGTCAGTAATAAAATAGCCATTGTATGGGATGGCCAACCCATTTGCTGCCCTCAAGGACAGGGGTGTGTCTGTTCTTAGGATAATGTTCTTGAGGCTCCTGTTACAAAATGTTTCAGTGACCGTGCTGACTTGTGAGCCACTATCTATAACGGCCGTCACCGGTACACCTTGTAAATACACAGTCAGGGTGGGGCACTGTCCAGCCAGCTTGTGAATGGTGGAGCTTGGGCTCTGCCCACCAGCAGTAGTAAGACTCTGAATCACTGCGGCCTCCTGCTTCTTTGAGTTTCGACAATTGCGGGCGAGGTGACCTTGCTGGTTACAATTGTAACACATTCTTGTTTCCGCCTCTGGACGTCGGCGGGGTACCCTTCGGCTAGATGACACTTGAGGGTTCTGTGCCAACTGAGTCAACAGAGCCGATAGCTGCTCTGCGAGCTTGTCCACCCTGTCTTCCAGCTTAGACCTGGGCAGGGTGGGTTCTTCCTTGGGGCGGGCATGTAGAGCTGCCACATAGGCAGGTTCTGTCCCGGGGTCCTCGTCTCCAGACCATCGAATGGCCGCATCCCTTATGGCCAGGAAGGGGATCTTAGGGTCCCTGAAAACTAGTTCTTGCAACTGACGTCTGACTGAGGACTGGCTCAGCTTTTCCATAAACTGGTCCCTTAGGAACTCAGCATTCGTCTGAGGGACCTGCAGGGTGCCCTGTCTGGCAACAAGGGCCTTGAAGGCCCTGTGCAGGCGGTGCGAGTAGGCCCTCACCGACTCGTGTTGGCCCTGCACAACCATTTGGAGTTGCGCCATTAGCTGGGAGACGCTCCTCTTCTCCCCATAGACTTCTCGGAGGAGCCTGATGGAGGCCTCTGGGTCACGTTGCAGGTCATCTCCCCTGCAGCTCAGTTCTTCTCTCACAGCTTCCCCCAGGTACTGCCAGAGAAGGTCCTTCCTCTCTTCCACTGAGACGTCTCTTCTGGCCCTCCAGAGAGACTGGACCTCGTCAATGAATCGTTCCACCTCATAGCCGTGGCTGTCCCCATGAAACTTCCGGATGAGGATCTCCCTGGGTGGAACGATGCTGATAGTTTGTGCCACCTCCGCCATCTCGTCCGAATTGGGTGTTAAGACTACAAACAATTCCTACACTAAACAAAAACTAAACACATATGGTTCCATAAAGGGCCTATCAAAAACAAAAAATTTAACTAAGCTACACTAGCCCTAGTACAAAAAAACAAAAATTTAACTAGACTAAAGCACTGACCCCACTCGTGCTACCAATTTGTAAGCCCTGCTAGGGGGGGATACCTTAAATCTACCCTTCTAGGCTTAACTAACTAATCTGTCCGGTCAGTGCAACCGTGGTAGAACCCACAGTGGTTAATAACCTAACCTTAGTCTAAATTAAAAACAAAAAAACTACTAAAATAAAACAAAAACTTTTACAGTTAATAAAATTTATTGCATGGAACCAAAAGTTATAAAAAAAGAATAGATATAAACTGACACAAAACAGAACCAAACGAAACAAACTTTTTACATCAAACACAACACCCAATTTCGGACTACGTCCTAGAAAAAGGAAAACAAATAAATTAATTACTTTACAAAGAAAAGTTATATACAAAGCATTAACCACAGGCTGGCTGGATTACATCTCCACCGCCTGCAGGTAGTTCACACAGAATATACTTTAACAATTAACTGGAACACTGCCAGGACACTGAGCTCAAACTACTAGCTCAACACAGTTACCAGCCTAACAAAAGGCTAAGTAAAATAAAATCTATTAAAAACAAGTGTACCTTCACAGTGACTAGAACGAACCGAACACTCTCCTGGGGATCAACATGATCACCACAGGAAGCGAAAGGTCACTATAAAGATAAAAATATAACCAAACCCGACAGTCCGGAACGAACCGTGACTGTGGGTCAGGTAACAACAACTCTACTACTTAACCCAACAGCCAGGAGTAAACCGTAGCTGCGGGTCAAGTCTAAAAATACCTTTATCCCTGGCTTAACACCAGCCCAAGGGATACAATCAATAGAATACGTATACCACTTAACCCAACAGCCAGGAGTAAACCATAACTGTGGGCCAAGTATAAATAAGCAGTATCCTTGGCTTCACACAAGCCCAAGAGATACAACAAAGTAATAAAATGACCATAAAAACTCAGAATCTGAGTCCACATGGCCTGACCACAATGGCGGTCAGAAGACAACCACAAAAAAACTTATGGCCAGTAACCAAAATAAAGAGCATAGCAAAAAAATAGACATAGTAAAGAAATAAACTTATATCTAACTTACCAGGACTACGACGAACACAAACACAAAATAAATATGGCTGGATGGTGCGAATTTGCTATTCTTTTCACCCGATGACCAGAGAGACTGCCTGCTCCCTTCACCGCAGCTTTCCACACAAAAGACAGAGTTGAACAAGCCGGAAACCGACTTCCACACACCTCACACGCTACACGTAAACAAATAGTCCCTAATTCACGGATAACAAACCAAACACGACGAAACATGCAACAGAATATTATAAAAAGACACTTACTATAAACAATGACAACAATATAAACGAAATATATATAAACTAGCTATAACCAGGGACATAAACAGTGAGACAGCGGCGCCATAATACGGGACTACACGACTAAAAAAAATACGAACAATTTACGACATGAAACGAAACGATACATTCGCCTTCTAAGTTACAAATAATAAAAATACACTCCAGCCGCTCACATACACGCCCCCTAAAGCTTGCGGTCACCGCAAGCTAACAAACTTGAAAAAAACAGCCCACAGGGCATAATCATAAATGTTACAAAAAAACTTTGCAGGAAGAACTTGCAAAAAAATCAGCCCACCGGGCACAATCATAAATTTTACAAAAAAACAATCTTTGCCAGAAAATCAGCCCACAGGGCATAAACATACATGTTACAAAAAACAAAACTTTGCAAAAGAACTTGCAAAAAAATCAGCCCACAGGGCACGATCATAAATTTTACAAAAAAACATTGTCAAAAAAATCAGCCCACAGGGCACAATCACAAGTCTAGCCTACTAGGGACTCTGCGCTCCCTGACCGACCTACGCAGAGGTATGTCAGGTACTGTGGGGTTACCGGCTGCTCTGGTCCCCGGCAATTGGACCTTATAAATTATGTGGCTGTAGCCTGGAGTAGCCGGCGGTATCACTTTGACCGGCCTTGGGGAGGGTGGTTGAGCCCGGGGAGGCACATATCTCCTGATCTGGGTGCTGGCCACCCGGCGGGTGCCAGAAGGGCCATCTTTCTTTTTAATGGCGTAACACCCGCCGGTGATCGGAGGTACTTCGACCACGACGTAAACTGTCGGGTCGTCCAGGTCTGCCATTTTGCGTCTGCCTAGTGGGGGTTGTCTCAGAAGGACCAGATCGCCTATGGCCAGTTCAGCTACAGGTGCCTTTTTGACCTGCTTGTCCTTCTTGCTCGACTCTGTCTGGGGGCATCCCCCAGCACCACCACCCGGTGCCTTAATTAAGGATGGGTTAGGTGGAACCATTGCCTCTAGTTCCTCAGATTGGTCCACCTTTATACTGGTTATGCTGGCGCGTAGGCAGGATGTTGGGCCTGATACCACTGACGGATCTGGGTGAAATTGTTGGTCTAATGGCTGTACCACCTTGTCGTCCTTCATTCCGGGGTCTCCTTTCGTCGCCTGAATGGTTGGTACACTCTTGGCAGACACCAGAGTCCTTTCGCGGGGGCGGAGGACCTTGTCCCCTCGCCATACCTTCGGTGTCACCCCTGGGGGCTTGATCAGGTGGGCCAATGTGGTCAGGTCCTGGAGAACGTTCATGCCCAACAAACAGGGGGGAGCTGATGAGCCACCCACTGGATCCTTTATCACAAGGAACCCCTTGTCGCGTATTTCTTCCTTGTTGATCTCCAGGTCAGTAATAAAATAGCCATTGTATGGGATGGCCAACCCATTTGCTGCCCTCAAGGACAGGGGTGTGTCTGTTCTTAGGATAATGTTCTTGAGGCTCCTGTTACAAAATGTTTCAGTGACCGTGCTGACTTGTGAGCCACTATCTATAACGGCCGTCACCGGTACACCTTGTAAATACACAGTCAGGGTGGGGCACTGTCCAGCCAGCTTGTGAATGGTGGAGCTTGGGCTCTGCCCACCAGCAGTAGTAAGACTCTGAATCACTGCGGCCTCCTGCTTCTTTGAGTTTCGACAATTGCGGGCGAGGTGACCTTGCTGGTTACAATTGTAACACATTCTTGTTTCCGCCTCTGGACGTCGGCGGGGTACCCTTCGGCTAGATGACACTTGAGGGTTCTGTGCCAACTGAGTCAACAGAGCCGATAGCTGCTCTGCGAGCTTGTCCACCCTGTCTTCCAGCTTAGACCTGGGCAGGGTGGGTTCTTCCTTGGGGCGGGCATGTAGAGCTGCCACATAGGCAGGTTCTGTCCCGGGGTCCTCGTCTCCAGACCATCGAATGGCCGCATCCCTTATGGCCAGGAAGGGGATCTTAGGGTCCCTGAAAACTAGTTCTTGCAACTGACGTCTGACTGAGGACTGGCTCAGCTTTTCCATAAACTGGTCCCTTAGGAACTCAGCATTCGTCTGAGGGACCTGCAGGGTGCCCTGTCTGGCAACAAGGGCCTTGAAGGCCCTGTGCAGGCGGTGCGAGTAGGCCCTCACCGACTCGTGTTGGCCCTGCACAACCATTTGGAGTTGCGCCATTAGCTGGGAGACGCTCCTCTTCTCCCCATAGACTTCTCGGAGGAGCCTGATGGAGGCCTCTGGGTCACGTTGCAGGTCATCTCCCCTGCAGCTCAGTTCTTCTCTCACAGCTTCCCCCAGGTACTGCCAGAGAAGGTCCTTCCTCTCTTCCACTGAGACGTCTCTTCTGGCCCTCCAGAGAGACTGGACCTCGTCAATGAATCGTTCCACCTCATAGCCGTGGCTGTCCCCATGAAACTTCCGGATGAGGATCTCCCTGGGTGGAACGATGCTGATAGTTTGTGCCACCTCCGCCATCTCGTCCGAATTGGGTGTTAAGACTACAAACAATTCCTACACTAAACAAAAACTAAACACATATGGTTCCATAAAGGGCCTATCAAAAACAAAAAATTTAACTAAGCTACACTAGCCCTAGTACAAAAAAACAAAAATTTAACTAGACTAAAGCACTGACCCCACTCGTGCTACCAATTTGTAAGCCCTGCTAGGGGGGGATACCTTAAATCTACCCTTCTAGGCTTAACTAACTAATCTGTCCGGTCAGTGCAACCGTGGTAGAACCCACAGTGGTTAATAACCTAACCTTAGTCTAAATTAAAAACAAAAAAACTACTAAAATAAAACAAAAACTTTTACAGTTAATAAAATTTATTGCATGGAACCAAAAGTTATAAAAAAAGAATAGATATAAACTGACACAAAACAGAACCAAACGAAACAAACTTTTTACATCAAACACAACACCCAATTTCGGACTACGTCCTAGAAAAAGGAAAACAAATAAATTAATTACTTTACAAAGAAAAGTTATATACAAAGCATTAACCACAGGCTGGCTGGATTACATCTCCACCGCCTGCAGGTAGTTCACACAGAATATACTTTAACAATTAACTGGAACACTGCCAGGACACTGAGCTCAAACTACTAGCTCAACACAGTTACCAGCCTAACAAAAGGCTAAGTAAAATAAAATCTATTAAAAACAAGTGTACCTTCACAGTGACTAGAACGAACCGAACACTCTCCTGGGGATCAACATGATCACCACAGGAAGCGAAAGGTCACTATAAAGATAAAAATATAACCAAACCCGACAGTCCGGAACGAACCGTGACTGTGGGTCAGGTAACAACAACTCTACTACTTAACCCAACAGCCAGGAGTAAACCGTAGCTGCGGGTCAAGTCTAAAAATACCTTTATCCCTGGCTTAACACCAGCCCAAGGGATACAATCAATAGAATACGTATACCACTTAACCCAACAGCCAGGAGTAAACCATAACTGTGGGCCAAGTATAAATAAGCAGTATCCTTGGCTTCACACAAGCCCAAGAGATACAACAAAGTAATAAAATGACCATAAAAACTCAGAATCTGAGTCCACATGGCCTGACCACAATGGCGGTCAGAAGACAACCACAAAAAAACTTATGGCCAGTAACCAAAATAAAGAGCATAGCAAAAAAATAGACATAGTAAAGAAATAAACTTATATCTAACTTACCAGGACTACGACGAACACAAACACAAAATAAATATGGCTGGATGGTGCGAATTTGCTATTCTTTTCACCCGATGACCAGAGAGACTGCCTGCTCCCTTCACCGCAGCTTTCCACACAAAAGACAGAGTTGAACAAGCCGGAAACCGACTTCCACACACCTCACACGCTACACGTAAACAAATAGTCCCTAATTCACGGATAACAAACCAAACACGACGAAACATGCAACAGAATATTATAAAAAGACACTTACTATAAACAATGACAACAATATAAACGAAATATATATAAACTAGCTATAACCAGGGACATAAACAGTGAGACAGCGGCGCCATAATACGGGACTACACGACTAAAAAAAATACGAACAATTTACGACATGAAACGAAACGATACATTCGCCTTCTAAGTTACAAATAATAAAAATACACTCCAGCCGCTCACATAAAATCTTTTTCGTGGATAATTCAATTAATGTTTCAATAGTATTATTCTAGTTTCGGCCTCCCACCCCTTCAAGTTTAAATCCTTATACCCATGCCTATGATGCCAAGTTTCGTTTTTTAAATGGTTCACAACAACCGACACCTTAGTCGAGTGAACAGAAAACACACCAAATGAGAGACATTTTACATTACACATTGTCAACACATTGAAAGCAGATATTCAAACACCTACATCTTTAAAAAAGGTTTAATAATTATTCAAAACATTGACAAGTCAAAAGATGTCTTAAGATGGGATGAAAATTATATTGTTGGGTTAAGCATAATAAACAGAAGTCATAGATGACGGGATATTGTGAATTAGTAATTAGAATTGTATTTGTAATTTGAAAAAAATACAATAAACGTAATAGAAACAGATATAGGCTACGTAATATCTAAGTGACTTGACAAATAGTCTTGTTATTTGAATTGTATTCCTAATATGAAGTAAAACAAAGAACATAATAGAATCAGGTGTACAAAACATCCAAGTGGCTTGATAAATAATCTTGTTATTAGAATCGCATTCCTAATATGAAGTAAAACAAAGAACATAATAAAATCAGGTCTACAAAACATCCAAGTGACTTGACAAATAATTAAGTAATTAGAATTGTATTCTTATTTCGAAATAAAACAATAAATATAATAGAAACAGGTGTACATAGCATCTAAGTGACTTGACAAATAATTAAGTGATTAGAATAGTATCCCTAGTTTGAAGTAAAACAATAAATATAATAAAAACATGTGTACAAAATAATATCTAAGTGTTTAGACACACAAAGGCTGGCGAAATGAAACACTTTTGGAATTGGGTTGTTGCATGTTGGCTGGTTGTTGCATGTTGGCTGGTTGTTGCATGTTGGCTGGTTGTTGCATGTTGGCTGGTTGTTGCATGTTGGCTGGTTGTTGCATGTTGGCTGGTTGTTGCATGTTGGCTGGTTGTTACATGTTGGCTGGTTGTTACATGTTGGCTGGTTGTTGCATGTTGGCTGGCTGCTTGTTTTAGCAGCCTAGTTGGCTGGCTAACTGTATGGTTCTATTCTGGCTGGCTGGCTGCTTGTTTTAGCAGCCTGGCTGGCTGGCTGCTTGTTTTAGCAGCCTAGTTGGCTGGCTGTTGGTTCTATTCTGGCTGGCTGGCTGCTTGTTTTAGCAGCCTAGTTGGCTGGCTGTTGGTTCTATTCTGGCTGGCTGGCTTTGATGCTGATTAGCGTGGGCTTCATATTGGATTGTTGACAGTATTGGGTTGTTCATGGTAGGTTGTCAGCTAGAGTGTTTTCTTCCATGTGTTGTCATATAGTGGTCGGACTGCTGCTAGAATTATCTTGATTATCTGGTTGTTTGTCTGCTCCTGGGCTTGTAGTTCAGGGCTGGTTGTTGGCTCCTGAGCTGGTTGGCTTCTTGGCTGGTTGGCTTCTGGACTAGTTGGCTCCTGGGCTGCTCGTTCAGTGGTTGGCTCCTGGGCTTGTAGTTCAGTGGTTGGCTCCAGAGCTGGTCGTTCAGTGGTTGGCTCCTGGGCTTGTAGTTCAGGGCTGGTTGTTGGCTCCTGGGCTGGTTGGCTCCTGGGCTGGTTGGCTCCAGAGCTGGTCGTTCAGTGGTTGGCTCCTGGGCTTGTAGTTCAGGGCTGGTTGTTGGCTCCTGGGCTGGTTGGCTCCTGGGCTGGTTGGCTCCTGGGCTGGTTGGCTCCTGGGCTTGTAGTTCAGTGGTTGGCTCCTGGGCTGGTCGTTGGCTCCTGGGCTGGTCGTTGGCTCCTGGGCTGGTTGGCTCCTGGGCTGGTTGGCTCCTGGGCTGGTTGGCTCCTGGGATGGTTGGCTCCTGGGCTGGTTGGCTCCTGGGCTGGTTGGCTCCTGGGCTGGTTGGCTCCTGGGCTGGATGGCTCCTGGCTGCTAGTACCGAGGTTGGCACCTGGATGGCTGGTTGGCTCCTGGGCTGCTCTTAGAATTGACAGCTTAGGGGCTGGATGCTGGTTAACTTCTGGCTAATGGTTAGGTTCGTTGGTCCGTTGAAAATTAGTGGTATTTGTTAGTTTTGTTTTCGTCCGTTGTTTGGTTGTCTGTTATTTGGTTAGTTGTCGTTCGTTTGTCAGTTGTCGGTTAGTGGTGTTAGTTAGGTTTGGTTTTCGTCAGTTGGTTGGTTGTCTGTTAGTTGGTTAGTTGTCGTTCGTTTGTCCGTTGTCGGTTAGTGGTGTTAGTTAGGTTTGGTTTTCGTCAGTTGGTTGGTTGTCTGTTAGTTGGTTAGTTGTCGTTCGTTTGTCCGTTGTCGGTTAGTGGTGTTAGTTAGGTTTGGTTTTCGTCAGTTGCTTGGTTGTCTGTTAGTTGGTTAGTTGTCGTTCGTTTGTCCGTTGTCGGTTAGTGGTGTTAGTTAGGTTTGGTTTTCGTCAGTTGGTTGGTTGTCTGTTAGTTGGTTAGTTGTCGTTCGTTTGTCCGTTGTCAGTTAGTGGAGTTAGTTAGGTTTGGTTTTCGTCAGTTGGTTGGTTGTCTGTTAGTTGGTTAGTTGTCGTTCGTTTGTCCGTTGTCGGTTAGTGGTGTTAGTTAGGTTTGGTTTTCGTCAGTTGGTTGGTTGTCTGTTAGTTGGTTAGTTGTCGTTCGTTTGTCCGTTGTCGGTTAGTGGTGTTAGTTAGGTTCGTTGGTTGGTTTTGGTCAGTTGGTTAGTTGTCTGTTAGTTGGTCAGTTGTCGTTCGTATGACCGTTGTCGTCCGTTGGTTGGTTGTCGGTTAGTAGTTCTTCCAGGCATCCAAGTGTAACACCCCCCCCCCCCTCTGAACGAAATGGAATTTATATAGAAAATATATTTTTTAACAGCGTTTGCCCACCCCCCCCCCCCTCTCCCGAAAATTTCAAGTACCCCCCCCCCCCCCCCGGAGAAAAAAGTCTGGAAAAAACACTGGATACCGATGTATACATGCAGGGTGTAACCAGTTTTGTAATTTCAGCAGATTAAGTAGTCGGGAGATTTAGAACGAAATTCTTTTGACCAGGCGTGTCAATTATAGTATGCTTACAACTGCACGTGTAGATCCTTTGTTACGTAAAGAATTAAAAAAAAACTGTTTTACTTGAATTATGGTTATGTTTTAGGTAAATAGGAAGCTTAAAAACTAAGTTTGGCTCATTTTTGGATCAGTGTCGTGATGACTATTTCTGCTTAACAGTTTGATAAAGCATCTTTACCTTCAGAATCAATTGAGGCGGTTTGTTCGAGTAGGGAACGCTCATGGTTGCTAAACCGAAAAGTCTCTAGTTCGAATCCTCGGGCAGATGAGGCTCGTTAGCTGGGAACAGCCACGCTTCTAGGAGAGACAACTCCAAAATCAAACAACTGCTGCCTTGTTGTTTGTTCTTGGTTGGACAAAGGCTATGGAAGCAAATCCAAAAAGAAAAACAGGCTGAAATCGGAGTCAATGGCCTCAATGGCGCATAACCAGTTGACACGTAATCCTAAATTGTGATGGAAGCATGGTCGAGTCGGCAAAGCTCATGGTTGTTAAATTCGAAAAAGAAAGTCTCGAGTTCGAACCCTCTGGCAGATAAGGCTCGATCCATTCGAGCACTAAAAATTTAAGAACGAAGAAGAAGAAGAACCGATTAAATTGTTTTAATAACGAAATAGTAGGATGGTTTTAGTCAAAAGTTATAAATATTTAATCTAAAATGTCCATCACATTTTGAGATGCGCTATCATTTTTCGTTTTTTGATTAACTCAAAATGATTTTTGCAATCCAGAAAAAAAAAACAGGGATGAAAGTGAATTCAACAGACTGCGTGGCAACTAAAAAGTTTACACAAAACTCTTAATTGTTTAGAGGCAATTCGCTTTAAATATAAAAGTTAGATCTAAAGAGAAGTTTAAGAAAACGTTTGAAAAAAAAAACAATTTTATTAATAATTATGTTTTAAAAATAATTTATTTTTGACTTCAAAAGTATTTTGAAAATTTTTTCTTGTAAATGCTTTTACTAAATAAAAACACGAAAATTATTAGTAGATTTAAAATATTAGCTGATCACAGTGTATGAGTCGAAGTTCGAGGCACGACTCCATTGACTCCCCGACTCTATTGAACACTGCAGCTCTCTGCATCTAATAGGGTTTTTCCCCAGCGTAGTTTCCTCTGTAAATACATGATGAGTAAAAAAAAAATGAACAGGTCTCTTTACATTACTGTTACATTTATACTTATCATTGTGGACATGTTGTTTAACACAATGTTTTGAAAAATAAACCGAGAGTGATCTCCCCTAAACTTTCTCGAATATTCTTATATAAAACAACAGAGGATGAAAACTCGGGATATAGACATGCTTTTCAATTCATTTTTAATTACTAAAATTTTTTAAATAGAATAAAATCTTGAAGAAAAATGAATTGCACACCACGTGAACGCAAAGCGAAATGTGTATAATAGTGCAGAATATTAATAGTACTTTATAAATTCACATGCGTTTTTGAGAAATCGGAATAGCAAAAATTACTCAACGGAATTTACTCAAAATTTGACTGAAGGCAGAGAAAGATTAGATCTTTTACTTACGTGTGAAGTTTCATTCATCTAATTGAACTAGATTCTAGTACTCAAGCTATAGGCTCTTGAAAAATTGAAAGTAGAAAAAGTTCTACTTTCGGCTATCGCAAACCGCTCAGAAGTCAATACTAATATATGATTTTGATATAATACTTATACATGGAATTTCATCAATCTAGCTTTAACGGCAATCAAGTTATCGTGTTCACACACACACACACACACACACACACACACACACACACACACACGCACGCACACACACACACACACGCACGCACACACACACACACGCACGCACACACACACACACACGCACGCACGCACACACACACACACACGCACGCACACACACACATTCACACACACATGCGGACAAGATTGCAAAGCTATGTTTTTCCAACTCAGGGAGGTATAAAACGTCGAGATTTGCAAAAATCTCTATTTTCTCTTTACTTCGTATATAGGAGAAAGTAAAAAAGACAAGGACAATGTTTAGTTATTTTTAAAGTATAAAACAAAAATTACGATTAATTCGTATGTTATATAGTTTGTAATCACTGTGAGCTTTAGCAATAAAGTCTAGTGTTGAAATAAAAGCTGTATTAATGTGTTCGTAGTCATAGTATAGATAATTATATAATATCAAATTTTGGTTCTCCTAGATTTTGGTATTGAAACAAATGTGTACTAATGGCTATATAAGGAGCAATTATTGTAAAACAAATGTGTACTAATTAATAAATATATAAATAAATAGTTTGAAATAAAATGTATACAAATGGGTATATAGGGAACTAGATTGAAATAGAATGTGTATTTATTTTCCAACGCAGTGTTACTGTATAATGTATAAAATTTGTTGTGAACAAATTGTTCAACAATGGTCTAGTACGTTTTAAAAAATCAACTCACGGTGGATCATAGTTGCACGACACAAGATTAGGAAATATCTCAGGATTATTTTCACACTGAGTGATGGCACATCCAAGATGTAATGAATCTCTCCACACCACCTAAAAATAACGAAATCGTACAGTGATTTAGTAAAAGCTTATACGCGAAATAGTTCTATTCATAAAACGCAATCAAGGATTGATTGTTTAACAAATATTAGAATTTTAGCGATATGAAAGACGCAAAGTCAGAATAGATAAGAGAAAAATAGTGCGCTTTACCTAAGGACACTGCGGTCTCAATTTAAGTAAGACAGTTATACTGCTAGCTGTTATTCGTTGTTATTTTTTTAAAAGAAAACATTTTATGAGATAGCTATTACATCAGAGGCGTAGCGATGGGGGGGGGGGGGGAGTACATATGTCTCCGGGCGCCGACCTTAGGGGCGCCAAAATGGGTTGTAAAAACAAATTAAAATGTCATTTTAGCTGCATTTTTGCAGTTTGAGGGGGGCGGGGGGGGGGGGTGCAAATCGAAAGTTTGAGGAGGGTTGCAAATCGAAAATTTGAGGGAGGGGGGGATGTGCAAATCGAAAGTTTGAGGGGGTGCAAATTGAAAATTTGCTCCCGAGGGGGGCGCCAAATTGAAAGTTTGTCCCCGGGCGCCAGGAAGGGTCGCTACGCCTCTGTATTACATTGCAATTTTTGTGTTTACTAATATTTTTTAATGCTGGAAATGTGCTTGTATAACCAAAAATATTCTGACAACGTAGGAATGTGACATCAAACGATAAAATAAAATTTAACAACGTCTTAAGATGCTTGTGAAACGATGATATACGAAATTTACCAATAATGTTTAAAAATGCATTAATAAAACAATTTTAGGGATATTTATTTCCTCAATTTTTTAAATAAAAAAAACACATTTTTAGTTTTTCTTTATTTATTTAACTTAGGAACATTTTCAACCAATTATTTTTTAAACTATTGATTAGTAGTTTTATTAAAAAAATCAACATAACTACATAATATTATATCTAATTAAAAAACGACGCTTAATTTTAATTAATTAATATTTTTTATACTAATCATCCAATTTTAATAATTGTTTCAGTAATCTAATCAAGTGAAGCTTTGTTTTTTTCTTCGAGTAATATTATTTTCAATTTAACACCGTTTTACTTAAGTGAATAAATAAACTTCATATGCGTTAGTGCAGTTTTAACCAATCACAGAGCTCCGTTTTTTTTAGTTTTTCCAAAACCATTTTTTGACACCTTGTGCACGATTTTTCAAAAAGTTACAAAGCTGTGTGACTCAAATTTTGTAATTATGTTTAGTATTTACCATTCTTTAAATTGCATTACTTTTTTTCAGATATCAAAAACACTGTTGAAGATATTGGCGTTTTTTCTTGCACGAGAGTAAAACATTCATAAAATATTTATTATCCTTCAAAATCAAATTACATTGGTACAAAGTACATATCATTTCATAAAAACATAAGTACATATTTTCTGCTCTTAAACATTAATACTTTTTCATAATCGTGCATATGAATATGCTACTAAATATAGTAATAGCTGCTTTTTAAAGGTAATTTCAAGGTCACAACTATTGTAAACTATATATTTTCTTACTTGTTTTTATATGTATAGTACTGGTATAAAATTTTAGCCACGTAAGTTTAAAAATATAAAACTTTCTCTTTTGGGATGATACCTAATCTTAATGTCTAAACTATGTTGCTTAAAACGTTTTATCTAATGACAGTTAATGACAATTTAGCAATGATTTGTTTGTCTCACTAATAAGTTTCACTAATTATGTTTTATATTTAACTTATTAGATTTCAAGTTTCATTTATTAGATATTTTGTTTTATCTGTGGCGTTTTATGATGTATCAATTATAATTCTTTAATGTGCCTCTCATTGACCAATGTCCACCCTTTACTTTTTTAAAGATATTTTTAAAAAAACGTTATAATATTGTAAATATAGATGTATCAATATCTTAACAGTCGACGTGTTTTAGTTCTTCACCAGCTATGTTTAATACATCGACGATTATTTTTTAAGTGTTTCACTAACAACCCTAATATATAAAAGCCATGCGCGCACTTTTCTCTCTATCTCCCTGTCCGCAATTGGCAATGTGCTGAGTATGTTCAGCGATTAATGGAGAACTTAAAGATACGGACTTTTGTTGAAAAATATGATGGGTGTTATAAATGTATAAACTTGATTTTATTTAAAGAAGGACAATAAAAATAAAGGCATATTCGAATGTAGAAACACATTTCTAACTAAAGTGTTTATTGTCGTGACAAGAAAGCAATAAACAATGACGTCACATGCCACATGTTTAAAATAAGGAAAGAACACAAAACTTATGGCGTCATCTTCCAATTTTAGAAAACAAAGAAACTATTTCATTTAAATTGATTTAGATCTACTTATCAAGACGAACGCTATAAAAATATACAATTTTCTCGTCCTAAACTTATAAAACTTACTTTATCTATTTAGATTCTAGATTTAGATCTAAAGCTACCGAAGAACTAGACTTAAGCCAGTCGTAGATTTTAGATCTAGACTCTAGATTAATCTAGATCTATGCCAATAATGCGTTTCTATACTAAACTTTAGGCTTTAATTATCTTATATTTTGTTTGTTTACGCTTTGATATCTCAACAATAAGACTTTACTGTCTCACCCATATTGTATTAAGATTTTATTTATTGTCCGCTAGTAAGGGACTAATGGTGAGTGATTATTGTTTTGGAGTTTTAAAATGTCTAGCTGCTGATATTTAAGCGTCTCACTTGTGAGTAGTGACCACATGAGTCACCGATACAATTCCAATCAGAGTCCACATTTGCCAGTTCTTCCACCCAAGATTCCACGCTGTTGTAGGCCAAATACGTGACGTTGTTGGTTAAGGCTGAAACATGGCAGACATGTTATTCGTCACAATAAGAATCACTGTCGAAATTTGACCATGGTAGGTGAATTATAAGATGGGTCTACTTCTGATTAGTAAACTATTAGGTCGTTGTACTTGTTTTTTAGTAAACCATGAGATGGATCTACTTCTGTTTGGTAAACTATGATATGGGCTTAATTGTGTTTGGTAAACTATGAGATGGGTCTACTTATGTTTGGTACATTATGAGATGGGCCTACTACTGTTTTGTAAAGTATGATATGAGTTTAAGTGTGTTTGGTAAAATATGAGAAGGGTCTACTTCTCTTTGTCAAACTGTGCGATGTATCTACTATTTCTGTTTGGTAAACTGTGTGGTGGATCTACTACTTCTCTTTGGCAAACTGTGTGGTGGATCTACTACTTCTCTTTGGTAAACTGTGTGGTGGATCTACTACTTCTCTTTGGTAAACTGTGTGGTGGATTGTGTGGTGGATCTACTACTTCTCTTTGGTAAACTGTGTGGTGGATTGTGTGGTGAATCTACTACTTCTCTTTGGTAAACTGTGTGGTGGATCTACTACTTCTCTTTTGTAAACTTTGTGGTGGATCTACTACTTCTCTTTTGTAAACTTTGTGGTGGATCTACTACTTCTCTTTTGTAAACTTTGTGGTGGATCTACCACTTCTCTTTGGTAAACTTTGTGGTGGATCTACCACTTCTCTTTGGTAAACTATGTGGTGGATCTACTACTTCTCTTTTGTAAACTTTGTGGTGGATCTACCACTTCTCTTTGGTAAACTTTGTGGTGGATCTACTACTTCTCTTTGGTAAACTGTGCGGTGGGGCTACTACTTCTCTTTGGTAAACTGTGTGGTGGATCTACTACTTCTCTTTTGTAAACTGTGTAGTGGGTCTACTACTTCTCTTTTGTAAACTATGTGGTGGATCTACAAATTCTCTTTTGTAAACTTTGTGGTGGATCTACCACTTCTCTTTGGTAAACTTTGTGGTGGATCTACTACTTCTCTTTTGTAAACTTTGTGGTGGATCTACTACTTCTCTTTTGTAAACTATGTGGTGGATCTACAAATTCTCTTTTGTAAACTTTGTGGTGGATCTACCACTTCTCTTTGGTAAACTTTGTGGTGGATCTACTACTTCTCTTTGGTAAACTGTGCGGTGGGGCTACTACTTCTCTTTGGTAAACTGTGTGGTGGATCTACTACTTCTCTTTTGTAAACTGTGTGGTGGGTCTACTACTTCTCTTTTTTAAACTGTGCGGTGGGGCTACTACTTCTCTTTGGTAAACTGTGTGGTGGATCTACTACTTCTCTTTGGTAAACTGTGTGGTGGATCTACTACTTCTCTTTGGTAAACTGTGTGGTGGATCTACTACTTCTCTTTGGTAAACTGTGTGGTGGATCTACTACTTCTCTTTGGTAAACTGTGTGGTGGATCTACTTCTTCTCTTTGGTAAACTATTAGATGGGTGTACTTCTGTTTGGATAAATATAGGATGTCTCTAATTCTGTTTGGTTAATTTATGGCAAGCAATTACTTCTGGAAGAATAACTATTGTACGGTTTTATTAATATTATGGTAAACTACAGGCTAGGTTTACCTCTGCTAGTTTGAATATGTCATAAACTTAATAATATACGGCTACTTCTGCTAGACTAATGATGGTAAGGATCCATGAATGTTAGGTTAACAATTGTGTGTGCCTACTTCTAATCACATTATTATGGTATGTGTCTACTTTTGCTAAGCCAACTATGGTTAAGGCCTACTACATATAAACTAATGATGGCGATCTTACGTGAGGATGCGTATAGATTTTCGCCGTAAGGTCCATCGCTGTGTTCAAACACACACCTAGAAGTCCAGTCCCCTGCAAAATCGGCCAGTTTAGTGTCCCATTCCTGTTGATAAAATATATTTCAAAAATTAAATATGTTGCGTAGACAATGACTAGAATCCCGGTCCCTCTATTCTCTCCCAACATACAATGCAACGACTTGGCTTCCATGCCAAAAAAAGTTTGAGGCTAGTTAAAATGATTCACTGTGTTTAGCGCAAACGGCGCTTCAATGGATATCCGTTTGCTAGCATGTGGATACACCGAGGTTGTGAAAACAACTATGGAATATAATTGGGTCAAAGGCGTGTAAATTTTGAAAGATATCGACTTCAATTGGATGGGTCACCAATTAGAAGCTGTTCTAATTTCTTTGGTTTTGTACAGAAAATCTCTCATAAAAATATTTTTAGGGACAAGGCTTTTATTATATTCACAAATCACACATTCAGAAAAAAATAAGAATTCATTAAATAGTGAAAAATAAATAGAGTTTAGTTTAACCTAATTAAAGCTATTTGCTAGTGTGACTAAAAAATTCAGTCTTATGCAATGAGTTAGGTTTTAGTTGCGTGAAATCTGGAGAACTGTTGAATTCTATTTAAATAGCGTAAGTAACGTTGTCTCAACTCACAAGAGCGAGAAGCACAAAAAATACAAAACACGATCAACCTACCAGAGATGGGATATCCAGAGCATTCCTCACGTCGTTGTGAGCCTTCAAGAACGCTTCAATGTCATCAGACGACAAGGTCAAGGTCACGCCTGCCTGGGCCACAGCTATCACAGCCAGCAACAACAGGATGGTCTTCATGGTAGGTAGAGCTACGTTAAAAAAACATTTCCATAGATTTATGAAAACAATCAGCTGAATTAACCAATTCTCTTGGAGATATAAGAAAAGCAACTTTATTTCAAATTTTACACATTTAACACAATTCTAAAGCTGCTGAATGTTAATTTGAAATTACTAAGACTTCATGCAAGTGTGAATGCATTATTTTGCGTTTAATAAAGTCTTTTTTTTTACAAGCAATTTTTTAACTTGGTTACTCTGTCTGAAGTCAGTCTGTCGTCAGTCTGCCGACAGTCGGTCTATCTAAATCATAATCTTTTACCACCAGCTAAAAATTTAAAGTGCATTTCTTCAAACTAATATTTTTATGAATTTTCAAATTGTGGGTCCGTTCAAAACAATTTTTTAACGCCCCCGAATTCCCCACAAATCTCGACATTTTACACTCCCTGAGTCGGAACAACATGGTTTTGCAATCTTTTCCGTATGTCCATGTGTGTGTGTGTGTGTGTGCGTGCGTGCGTGCGTGTGTGTGAGTGTGTGTAAACACGATAACTTGAGTACTGTTATAGCTAGGTTGATGACATTTCATATATGAGTGTTATATCAAATTTGTAGATTCGTACCACCTTTTCAGCGATTTCCGATAACCGGTTGTAATTTTTTTCTGCTTTTAATTTTTGAAAAGCCTATAACTTGTTACTGTTTCAGATAGATAAATGAAATTTCACAAGTAAGTAAAAGATTTATTTCTCTGCATTCTAGCAAATTTTTTTTCTATTTCCGTTGATCAGAAGTAGCAGTCTAGGTTTGCGATTTCTCAAAAAAAAAACGCATGTGAATT